CAAATCCTCCGGCTATCCAGTGGTGCCACAAAAGGTCAGCATGGAGTCGAGCTTTGGATTAACACTCATCAGCCGATTGGCAAGACCAGAGGCCATGAGCAGAAAATACAAGCTAGACAGGTGCAAGTGATTCATGCAGACCCCCGCCGTCTAATTGCACGCCTTGCCCATCCGTGCATTGATTGCCTGTTTATGGTTCTTCATGCGCCACAAAGTGGACGGCCATTACATGAGCGCCGGAACTGGTGGAGTGAGACACAAGGAATTCTTCATCAGTATCGAGGCAATCTGCCGATTTATGTTATGATGGATGCAAATGCAAAAACGGGTCCAAGACACATGCCATATATCCATGGAGGAGATGATGTCACATCGGTGAACACAGAATTCCTCAGAGAATTTCTGCAAACCAATGAGCTGTGCTTGCCTTGTACCACGGACCTCCATGAAGGTACTCAGACAACGTGGACTGCCATAGACGGACAATCGGTACACCGCATCGATTATGTAGCCATTCCTCACAATGAACTGCAAAACTGTACGATGTCAAGGGTTTTACAGGAACTTGATCCGGGTAATGGAACAGAAGATCATTGCGCAGCTGTGATTCAGCTTGCATGGCAGGGAAGACATCACCTGCAGCATGAGATTCATAGTCACATTCCATCGCATGACCGAATCGCCATTCCGCACCGTAGGCATCAGATTGTTCTTGAGGATATCACTGTAGGGACATGGCAAGATGACATAGAAAAGCAGGTTCAAGGTTTCAACCAGCAGATCCTTGATACGTTGCATCAGGTATGTCCAAAGCCCAGACAAGGACCGAAAAAGCCGTTCCTATCTGATGAAGTGTGGGCACTCAGATCAGCAAAGTTGCATCTGCGGAAGCGCCTACATGTTGCAAGAAAGCATCAAAGCTTAGATTGCCTGCGTCTGATGTTCTGGACATGGTCATCCACTTGCACCCAGAAAGATGCACAGTATTCACCACAACCTGAACAGATACGGCAGCATGAGCGTCATGTAGATACTGTTTGTTGCGCACTGGTCCATCTCACATGCCGATACTACAGTTTGACCAAAGCATTGAAGCGCACTCTGCAACGAAGCAGACAAGCCCAGATCGTCCAGGAGGTCAAAAGCATGAATGACAAGACAGCCGCGGGGGAGATCATACATCGCCTTCGGCCTTTCATCGGTCCCTCCAATCCAAAGAAACAGAAGAAAAAAGGGCTCCCGGCCGTCAACAATGCTGACGGCAGCCCATGCCAAACACCAGAAGAAGCACGTGATCGCTGGATCCAGTTTTTCTGTACAATGGAAGGAGGGGACGGAATGTCACATGCTCAGTACCGAGAACATTGGATTCGAAGTCTTGCTCGTTTCCGCAATGCTGATCCTTTCAGCATTGATGTCTCAGAAATCCCAAGCCTGGTGGATTTGGAGAATGCTTACCGTAGAGTTGCAGTAGGCAAAGCAATTGGAGAAGATGGAGTGCCCCCCGAACTATGTCGGTTCAAAGCTGTTGACATGGCCAGGTTCACATACTCCATGATGCTTAAAGTCTTGCTATTTTGACAAGAAGCGGCAAACACAAGGGTGGTAGACTGGCCATCGCCTCTACGCACAGGTCGCTCCTTGTATCTAGCCATGTGGGTAAGACACTGCATCGGGCGTTGAGGCAAAAGCACAACTCTCTCTACACCAGGTTCATGCAAGCGCAACAACTTGGAGGAAGACCAAAAATGCCAGTAGGGATTCCACTCCATGTCACGAGAGCTTTCATGAGATGGCAGGCGCGTCTAGGCAGACCAACGGCCCTCATTTTTCTCGATCTGACCGAAGCCTTTTATCGGGTTGTACGCCCACTCGCTCTGGGCGGAGATATCTCCGAAAGTTAGGCCTCCAAAATGATGCCTTGCACGAATTCCATGCAAAGCTGGCTGAACCTAGTGCAATTGCGGAAGCAGGTGCCTCTCAGACAGTCCAACGATTCTTGCAGGCCATCCATGCCGAGACGTGGTTTCGTTTAGGTGACCAGCCAGACATCGTGAAAACATCCATGGGGTCGAGACCGGGGGACTCGTATGCAGACGTAGTGTTCGGCTTTTTGTGGTCCAAGCTTTTACACTCATATGTGGATGTCCTTGCTGAACATGACATTTTGGAAAGGATTCCCATCTGCGATGTCCCAGACTTAGATCCCGACACACATGCCACCCTGGAAACCCAGCAGTTTTTAGGGCCAAACTGGATGGACGACTTGAACGTATGCCTTGCAGCATCTTCCAATGCAGGAATCGAACGCAAAGCTGGGGTTGCACTGAGCATATTGCTAGATAAATGCAAAAGCTTATACATGGCCCCAAACTTATGCAAAGGGAAAACAGAAACGATGTCCACCTTCAGGGGTGCAGAATCCAGGTCTTACCGCAGGAAGTACTTTGCCCAGGCTTCCTTCATCGCTGTCGTGGGAGAACACGGCACCAGTCAGGTGTCTGTCGTCAGCAGATATCTGCATCTCGGAGGCCTTCTTCATCACAGGGACATTGACAAAATTGAAGTCACCCGCCGCTTGGCCATTGCGCATCAAGCATTTACCAGCCACCGCAAGATTCTTTTCCACAACCGTTGCATTGAATGGAGCAAGAGGAAGGACATGTTTGTGACGCTAGTGTTGAGCAAACTAGTGTATGGGCTGGAGTCTTGGACCATGAAGGCCCAGAAAACCAAAGATCAGTTTTACGGCGGAGTGATGAAACTTTACCGAAGACTTCTCAGGTTGCCTCATGATTGCCACATCACAGATCTGGACTTATTAGTGCGAGTTGGACTGCCAAAGCCCGATGAGTTGCTGCGACAATGCCGCCTCAGGTATTATGGCACCCTGCACAACTGTGGACAAAGTGCGCAATGGGGGGTACTGCGAGAAGATCACGAGTGGATGACCTTATTAAAAGATGACATGCACTGGCTATGGAGCCAGATATGCAACACCTCGCATCTTGGGGATCCACAGACGCACTATCCAGCATGGAAGGATCTCTTATTCCACCATGGTGGATATTGGAAGAAGCTCATCAAAAGAGGCATTCTGCATGCGATTGCGCAGAGAGCCAATTATCTGGTTGCATTGCGTTTGCATTCTGATGTCGGTATGACACTCTTGCAGCAGAAATGGGTTGAAAGCTTGCCTGGCAACGAGGTGATTGCGAGGCCGGCTGAGCATTATGGATGCATGCAATGCCAATCTCAGCAATTGTCTCGAAGTGGAGAAAGTGTACACATGTTCAAGTGTCATGGACATGTGGCCCAGGCTCGACACCTGTTTGCAGAGACGCACTGCCCTGCGTGTCTGAGAGAATACCACACCCGAGCAAAGGTTCTAGCCCATTTGCGCCACTCCACCTATTGCAGACAATGCCTCATCGGCCAAAGAATGCAATGTCAGCCGGCACCGGGCACAGGGTCCAAGACTGACCAAGAGCTAGCAGCCTGTACGGATGGAGCCATTCCGTTCCAGCAGGCACAAGGACCCAGATCCAACCACAATCGATTGAGAGAATTTGAGCCTCACTGCATCCGATTGCTGGAAGACCTGTATTTGGCCTTGTTGGATATGCAGGATTCAGAGCACATGGAGTATGTTCTACGAACAGAAATCCACCGACACCCAGTCAGTTGGACAACATGTCGATGCACGTTGGTTCAATTTCTGGAAGACTTCACACCACAAGATGCCGAAGTTTTGCCATGCACCTATCAGGATGTGCGCGATTGCCTTCAGAAGCTCTGCCAAGTTGATGCTTGGCCTTTTTTGCAGCAGACATGTTGCAGAGCAGGCGAACAGATGTCTACAGACATTAGTAAGTGGGAAACATGGTGTACTGATTTGGCCTTCCAGACGGAAGCACCTTGGACTCGTCTCCAGCCGTTGCCCCGCACGTTGAGCAGGCAAAAAGTGATTTTGCATGCGTATGCAGGATTGATGCTGCGGCCAAACAATTTTCCACGTTCATGATTTTTGTGGCATCAGTTGACATTGTCATCGACGCGGTCTATGGGGATATTTCGCGAGATGAGACAAGAGAATACTGGATGGGCCACATCGCTCAAGGGCACGTGGTCGGCTTTTTTGCAGGGCCACCGTGCAACACATGGAGCCGAGCACGGCATCACAGCCTGGGATCAAAAGATGGACCATTTGGTGGACCGAGGGTGGTCCGCACCCCAACAGAACCTTGGGGTGTTTCGTCTCTGCGATTGAGGGAGCTGGCGCAGGTGAACATTGGAACTTTGCTTCTGGGATTTTCCTTCAATTGCATCGTTGCCTTGGCGATGAGATCTGGCACAGGATTCGTGGAGCATCCTAAAGACCCAGACCAGGAAGAGATGGTGAGTATTTGGCGCCTACCTATCCTGCGCATGATCCTGGCCTTACCGAACCTGCGGCTGGTCCATTTAGCCCAGGGTTTGTTTGGCGCAGCCTCAGCGAAGCCCACGACTCTGCTTGTACTTGGAATGCCTGACATTGAGGTTATGCTGCATAAACAGCGGATCACGGCACATCTACCCCATGGCGCATCCGTAGGTCGTGGCCAAGACGGCCAATTCAGAACGGCTCCATTGAAAGAGTATCCGCCGGCGTTTTGTCAAGCGCTGGCGGATGCACTCATCAAAGAACTCACTAGCACGGAGTGCAGTGAGACCAATTTGCCCGCTGACCTCATCACGCGATGTAAAGAGATGAAGGGACAGCTTTTTGGGCACCATATTGGGCACGATGGATAGACATCTGTGCCGCTTCCTGAATTCACAGACCTCTGAACCTGCCGCTGCGTGAGACGCATCTGAGTGCAGTTGTGAAAAATATATATATATATTGTCTATGTATGTATACATCAGCCTGCTTCATTACTACCATGATTGCCAACTGTAAAAAGTCAGCCGTTGTTAAAGAACTGCATCTTTCGTGTGAAACCAATCAGCCGAGCTGCAGGATGCATAAGTCACCGGCACCACCGGCTTGCCGTGTAAATCCACTTCGCTGGGCGCTCGCTGCGCCTCGGCTTCGAAGGCATCCAAGGACCTCGGGGAACGCCGAGGAGTGAACAGAACTGAGCCATAAATCATAAGTCATAAATCCATTCAACAGTAGTATAGCTTGAATCCTAAATCAACATAATCTACTATAATCTACTTATGACCTAGACCTAGAATTGAACTCTATGATGGTATACAATGTGTTTTTCCCATAGATAATTTGGTGAAACTATATGGACCATATATATATTTTTTTTTATACCGTACCAGTATCTACCATCATCAATGTACCTTGGGGGCCTCACATTGTCCACTCATCTCCCGGGGAGCTTCCAGTGTTGCCGTTTTTGCGGAGCTGCAAAGTGTGGTCACAGGCTGGTTCTGCATCACTCCAGACTTTCAACCACAACAAGGACAATTCCGCTTACCCTCTGGTATTTTAACGTAGCTATTGGAAATGGCCATTTATAGTGGATTTTCCCAAAAAAAATGGTGATTTTCCATAGCTATGTTAAATTGCCAGAGGGTACATGACTTACATGGTGCAAATCCCAACGCTACATAACGCTACATTGATTTTGCATGGACAGCATAATGCAGGCATTGGCAGCTGGAGGATGGCGGTCCGAAACATCCACGACACTTTGCTGCAGTCTATAGGGCACGGAGGCACAGCAGGTTGAAACGATGAAAGTAAATCTGGGGAAAACTCAGGGAAACCTGGTATATCCTGGTATATCCTGTCTCTCCACAAATTCCACCTTCCACGTTCCGTAGCATTGAAGGCCTTATCACTCAGCGCTTGTTTGAGGGGGCGACCTAGCTTCGGCGGCTGCCGTGCCTTGTGGACCAAGTGCTTCAACGCATCTGCATCAACCAGTTTCGCGGCAAACAAGGCAAAGGACCGACCATGCGGCCGTGATGTGAGAACAGCCAAGGACCGGAGAGATGCAAAGGGCATCAAAGGGCAACATGCGTCTGGGGAATTTGCTGCGAAAAAGCGCGGGTCCTCATGATTCTCTCACTCTTATGTTTGTCGCTCAAATCCCAGTTGTTTCCTGATTCCCGTGATTCCCATTGCATAAATCCAAGTTACTTGTTGCATCTTGTTGCTTAAATCGAATCCCATCTTCCACCCCACCACCAGCGACCACAGCCAGGGCACACCGGCATGGCACAGCCTGTTCCCGGCAGCCACCTGGGGGGCAACCGCTTCAACTCATGGCGATACGCAGTCCAGAGCCTTGGTGAGGGATTGCAAACCATCGGAATGTGATGGGAAACCAATGGAAACCATATGCATATATAAACAGTAGAAGAAGAGAGAGAGAGATATATATATATATATATATACACATATACACATATACAGATACATATACAATGCAATGTATATATGGGTGTGCAGATGTATATGTGTGTTTGACCATATTTGTATGCGTGTGTATGTATATATATATATATATATACACACCATATGCATGCATGTTCTATACACTGACATATAGACTGGGCTTCACCAAGAGAAAATCGGAGTTTGCGATGAAACATGTATAAATGGCTGGCAGAGAATAAAGAAAGTGAAGTTTCCCAGCACAAAATTAGGGATTTTACCTAGCAAAATGAGGATTTCAGCCATGATCAAGGAATTCAAACAACCAAGTGTGGAAGTCACTGGCAGAATGGTTATTTCATTCATCGAAATGCTGTTGTCCCAGCAGAGGCTACTCTTGCAACAGTTTCTGTACAACCACGAGGTGGATTGTCATAGAATCAAAGTTCTCTTGAAAATGCGGAGGTCTCAAAACACGTTCCGAGCTTTTCAAGCTCATCCTTCAAAGACTTCGGCTTAAAACACACCACAGCAACTTTTGGCAACAAAATTGTGTGTCTTCTCACTATTGGATTTTATGTCGCGTTTAGGATACGCCAGGCTTTCAAAATTTCAACCCCAAAAAAATCCGGCAATCTCCGGTCGCTGAAGGTCGCCAGGTCGCTGTCCGACCGGCACTGCCAAGACGTTGACGCTGGTTGCAGGGAGGGGCGGAAAAAAGCCATAGGGCCGGCTGCTGGCAACATGAAGATGCCCTAAGTCGCCTGGAGACTCAATCCCATCCTCTATGGAAAATAGACCTTGTTGACAAATGGACCCCAAAATGAACAAATCGAATTCTAAACCAGGGTTTTATTTAAGGATAATCATGTAATATCAAGGGGGAAAGGATTGCCAGCGTCAAAAATTGGGGATTAAACCACACAAAACAGTATGGTAGAAGTAAACTTGGTTGCAGTAAACTATCCGACTTTTGGGGTTAGCACCATTCAGAATTCCAATAATGGCGCACCTGCGTCTACATAAGTTCTTGGATTTCTGCGAGCAAAAATGCCAAGCGTATAACCTTGTAATGTGTGAAAATTGTCGGTGAAAGTAAGGATCCAACAAGAAATACAACTTCATTGCTCTCCGATGTTTCTCATGCTACCAGTCCCAATAGAGAAAGAAGGGAGCATCCCACGTGCAAGAATAGAGGTAAACACAGGTAAATACACATTATGACAAGTTTTGGCTAGTCTAGTCATGTCTATGAACATGGGATGAATGGCAATTGAATGGCAACGGACCAAAGCCATTTCCAACACAACACCCCAATGTTAAAAGTCCATTTTTCATCCAACAGCCCAAAAAACGGCAGATGACCATACTGCAGGCTTTCGGCTTCCCAAGGTTTTTTCAAACCCTGCGCCTTGGGGCAGTGGCCCAATGCTTCCTGACGCATCCTCCACCTGCGCCTTCTGCATGGATCGGCTGCGGCAGTGCACATCAAGGCCCAAGGCTGCAATGGCCATGTGGCCCAACAAGGCCTGGCGACAAACAAGGCCTGGCGACAAACAAACTCATAGGATACCCCCCAAAAAAAAGAGAAAATGACGAAATTCCCAAAAAAGAATGATACCCCAAAGTCTAGTGGTCAAGAAAATCATGTTATGTCATGTTATATCATGTTCCCTATACGCTTGGACTCTGAATGGCTTTGCCCATGATTTTTGATGACGTATCCAGCGCATCCTGGGCACACCGGCTCCGGGCCACACCGGCTTTGCGCACTTTGTGTTTAGATGGGTTTATCCATGCATTTCCTATATGGTTAGTCATAACGTTTCCCATGAAATTGGTGGATAGATCAGTTTCCGAGGGAAACCACGGTTGTTGTCCATCTTCATGTGTTAATTTACTGGCAGGTAGAAGTTGGTTTACAACCCGTCTTACTGTATAACTAGCTACTTAACTGACTCCTAAACTAACTACTTCACTAACCAACCGACCGACCGACGGGCTGGCTGGCGGGCTTACTGACTGACTGACTCACTCACTCACTCACTGACTGACTGACTGACTGACCAATTAACCCAATACATATGTAGATGTGTATATATATATATATGTGTGTGTGTGCATGTCTATGTATATATATATATATATATGTACACACATACATCCATCATACATCCATCATACATCCAACAGTTGGCCTAGGTATTTCAACCAACTTACCTATCTTTACCTATCAACCAGCCACATCTTTTCAGCCTTGGCACCTCATCAGAACAAGGCTCCTCCGCGCACGCCTGGAAGCGCTCCTGCAAAGGTGGAAAACTTGGGAAGTTTAGCAAAAAACACCTTGAGGTTACTTCCACTGAAAAGAATGGGAATGGAAAATCCATCTGCTACAGTATATGGTGGTAACCGACAGAATTATGGGGAAAAAAAAAACGTTCAACTTAGACAGGCGGCGCCTGCGTCCGATTTTTCCATAATTGGATTTTTCCCCATAAGGGTTCAAAATATCCCGGAAGTGATCCGAACTTTTTTTTTCCATAATTCTTGGAGGTGGCCATTATTTCCATAATTGATTTTTCCTGTGAAATCAGGGGGCTAGGGCAGATTGACCGGTTTTTCCATAATTATTTTTTCCATAATTAATGTTTGGGGCTCCACCTGTTGGACATGTCATGGATCCACAATTCAAACCATTTTTTGGGGGTTATGGAAGCGAATGGTGAAATGGGGTTTATATGTACATACCCGTATACATGATATTATGTATATCAATGGCAGGCTTTAGGGGCATATACCAGATCTTTAGACACATATTTTCTATAATTCAATGTTCCCCCTTAAAATGCATTCAAATTGCGAACATCACATGATATTATGTATATCAATGGAAGACTTAGGGGCATATACCAGATCTTTAGACACAAATTTTCTATAATTCAATATTCCCCCTTAAAATGCATTCAAATTGCGAATCGATGGACATACAGTCACCGACAGAATTATGGAAAAAAAATATGGAAACAATAATTATGGAAAAAAAAAGTTCGTAACTTTTCTATCATAGACAGGCGGCGCCTGTAAATTGAAACGTTTTATTTTTTCCATAATTCTGCCGGGTGCTGTATATATATATAATCATATATATATATATATATATGTGTGTGTAAACATATATATTAAACATATATATATATTCATATGTACATATGTAATCATATATATATATGATAGGTATGCCCATGTATGTAGTCGGGTGATTCTCACAATATGTGTGGGGTCCCTGACCAAGTTGTGAACCCAGTGCCTCGGGGACAACCGTAAGCACTGCTGCACAGCGCTGCCCATTCACGGTCAACACCACCTGGCCAAATGAAGCCCAACTTTGATCAGGGGCCAACCATTAAATCGAGTTGGGTTCAATTTTTTCCCCAAAAAATCCATCATCAAAAATCCAAGTGGCAAATTTTCATAACTGTCCCCATTAGTCATAACTGTCATAAGTGTCATAACTGTCCCAGTCTTGAAGCCTTGGGTGGGGCTACAACCCCCACCTCGTAAGCATCGTAGGCCTCGTCCCCCGTGGAAGTTTCGTAGGTCACCTTGGCGGCCGGACTGAAACCCATCTCGCAGATGAAAACGGATCAGGAAATCCCTGTGTTATATATATATATATATATGTGTGTGTGTATAATATATATATATGTATTATATATATATATATAGTTGTATGATTGTCAATCTGTATGATCTAGTTGTATGATTCTATATGATCTAGTACTATCTAGTTGCATGGCGTTTATGGTGTTAAAATTGGTAACGGGATTTGAATGGGTCGAATTGCCACTCCTCACTGAGAATTGGGAATGGCTAGACCGTCTTATAATACAACCCAATTGAACATGTGTTGACTTGGGGGTTTAATGTGTTGGATATGTGTTGGAAAAAGACATCTATATTGACAAAAGACCACTTACATAAGATGGATGTGTAGTTACCAGTAATCTATAGTAATCTGGTAAACCCAAAAGAACTTCCAAATTCTTCGAAAGGTCATACCATCCATTTCCACCCATGTCCGCAAAACCGAGGGATTTTACATCAGTTTGCCTGACTTCATTGAGAAAATCCCCGAAAGATTCCCCAAAGTTTGGCTCCAAGACGCTCCTCGTGCCACCACCGGCAGCGCTGGCAGATGCCGCAGCAGCCCTTCCCGCAGCTCGCAGTCGGAGGAGCCGCTGTCCACCAGGGCGCGCTCCACGACCTGGAGATGGAAGTTGATGGCTAAGGATTTTGGGGAAATTTACCATTTATAGTGAATTTTCCCATGAAAAATTGTGATTTTCCATAGTTATGTTAGTTTACCAGAGGGTAAACATTTTAAAGTTTAAACCACCTTAAAGCCTGAAAAGTTACTCGGAAATTATGGTTTGAGATGGTTTGTTTTTTTCTGTGCTTACTTGCTCGAAATATTTTTACGTTGTGGCTTCAATGCTCAGTACATGGTCCCTAAGGAATTTGGCGAAGGGAGTCGCAACGCAGTACATGATAGTCGCTAATCATCATGTCAAATTGGGTGGGTGATAATGACGAATGTATACAAATATGGTCCCACCAGCTAACATTCACCTTGCCATGAGTTGAGGGTTAAAGAAGCATTCATGTTCCCAAGGGGGTAATTGGAAATCATTGGGTTTGACTATGATTCTGGACGCAAAAAATGCCCTCCGGGAATCTGTCCTAGCAATGGGGAATCAATTTGTGAACTTGCAAAACATTACCATATTATTACCATACGTATTATTATCATGTTGTTACCATAGGTTAGATTGCCACTGGGGCGCAAAGCATCATATAATGAACTGCTTCAGAACTGGATTGTACAGGTCTGATGATCCCAGTGCCCAGTTGATTCATTCCTTCACCTAACAAAACCCAGAAAGTCCTGCGCGTACTGACTTACTGTATTTGTCCTGAAGTCTCATATATATTCATATATGATATATATATATATATATGGAGTTCTGAGTTGGGGGAAGATTAACATACCTCAACCTTGAAAACGATCCCGTCCAACAATCCCACTTTGCCGAACCGCTCTGGAAATTTGGCCTGATGGAACATCCAAGGTGGTAACTCCCATCCGATCCTGAAAAATATGAGCCAAACATATGAATGGAATCACCAAACGCTTCAGCATGTGTTTCATCATGTTTCCCAGCCTTTGGGTAGGATTTGATTTTGATTTAACCACCTGAAGCTTGAATAATGTTTGGAGCCCTGCACAAAAATTCGAAGAAATAAGGCTAGGGGCAAAAGAATTGAGCACTGCAACGCTTAAAAATCCCCGTCGGTACAAAAACGTGGGGTACAGTCCTAGAAAAAAATCGGTCTAAAATGATGACCCCTAACCCTTGAGAGAGGTCATCATAACTTTAAATTCCTGTCTCCTAACCTCTGAAGCCGAAATCTCACTTCCAACCACCTTTTTGAATTTTCTTTGCTAATTTCCTGGTGCCCAACGTCCAACATACAATAAAGTTACCCCTCTGATATCCAGGTAAAAAAAATATTTCCTGGATGCTTGCGTTGGTAACATGCCGTATCTTCCCCCCCCTCAATCTGATACGGAAAAAAATTAATTCCTGGCACCTGACTTCCCGGCTGACAGCTCGCAGTTTTTCAGAGTCCACGGCTTCACGAGTGCGGTCCGGCAGATGCCCACGGCAATGCGCAACCCTTTTGCATGGACAAATGTATCTTCAGGAAAAAATCATGTGTTTTGCAATTTGGGCGCGCGTTGACACAAAATTCTTCAATTTGTCCCATCATGTCCTATCAGTGGATGATTGGCCTGGTGATGCGATTTTTTTCCTGTGGGGCCAGCCTTTGAAGATCATCCACAAGAATTCGGCCAAAAAAAGGTCCAGCCCCTTGGATTTTATTTTTGACACCTGCGCCTCAGCCTCTTCAAGTCACCTTTTTTTGGTTGGTGAAGCTGAACATATGTGGTTGTACCCTTTTGCAAGGACAAATGCATTTTCAGCAAAAAACATATGTTTTGTAATTTGGGCGCGCGTTGACACAAAATTCTTGAATTCGTCCCATCATGTCCTATCAGTGGATGATTGGCCTGGAGATGCGACTTTTTTCCTGTGGGCCAACCTTTGAAGATTATCCGCAAGTATTCAGTCAAAAAAAAGGTCCAGCCCCTTGGATTTTATTTTTGACACCTGCGCCTCGGCCTCTTCAAGTCACTTTTTTGGTTGGTGAAGCTGAACATGTGTGTCTGTACCCTTTTGCAAGGACAACTGTATTTTCAGCAAAAAAACATGTGTTTTGCAATTTGGGGGCGCGTTGACACAAAATTCTTCAATTTGTCCCATCATGTCCTATCAGTGGATGATTGGCCTGGTGATGCGATTTTTTTCCTGTGGGGCCAGCCTTTGAAGATCATCCGCAAGTATTCAGTCAAAAAAGGCCCAGCCCCTTGAATTTTATTTTTGACACCTGCGCCTCGGCCTCTTCAAGTCACTTTTTTGGTTGGTGAAGCTGAACATGTGTGTCTGCACCCTTTTGCAAGGACAACTGTAGTTTCAGCAAAAAAACATGTGTTTTGCAATTTGGGCGCGCGTTGACACAAAATTCTTCAATTTGTCCCATCATGTCCTATCAGTGGATGACTGGCCTGGTGATGCGACTTTTTTCCTGTGGGGCCAACCTTTGAAGATCATCCGCAAGTATTCAGTCAAAAAAGGTCCAGCCCCTTGGATTTTATTTTTGACCCCTGCACCTTGGCCTCTTGAAGTCACTTTTTTGGTTGGTGAAGGTGAACATATGTGTTTGTACCCTTTTGCAAAGTCATGTAAAGAATCATACCCCCTCAATTAATCATGGTACATTTTTTTCCTGGGGTTTGACATTTAGATATGTTCTAGTAAACTCCCATTTGATCCATCCACCTTCAAATTCCTGGCTACTAACCTTGGGAATTCTACAAACTTACCCATTATCAGAGTCATTCATGATTGATTTCCTGATGCCTTACATACACAGACTGATAGATCAACCCCCCCTCAATCACAACAGACAGAATTGATTTCCTGTCACTGTACGTCGGGAAGCTTTCAGGAAAAAAAATCTGGGCCTTTTTTGGTATGATATTTTATTCCTGGCCCCATATCATGCCCCGGGACCCTCACCCACTGTCTGCTAGATTTTTGGAAAATAGTGTTTTTTAAAAAGCGTACTGAACCCCCAGGAAAAAAAACTGGTAGTACAGAGGAGGATCTTAAAAAGAACCAGTTGTGGTTCCAACCAACTCGGAATCTTAGTGTAGCATCAGTTATAGTGTTTTTCACTAGATATCTCTGAAAGGTGGCGCCCCCATAGTTCAGTTGGTTTTTAAAACTCCAATGACTAGGGTATATGGTAGATATAGTTACTATATTTTACTATGGTTTAATAAGCCAACAAACATCACCGGTGGGGCACCACCTTGTGGTAAGAGGCCTGATTCCTATCCATGCCGAGACGGCCGAGACGGCCGAGACGGTTCCCAGCAAGGTGCGACTCCAGGACCATCAGGGCAGCATGGCGATGTGAAACAGCACCTCCTGGGCGAGTGACGCGTGGTAAATCCCCAGTGCTGGTAGGTTTACCCTCTGGTTATGTCAAAATAGCTATTGAAAATGGCCATAGAAATAGTTGATTTACCCATGAATAGCATGGGGATTTTCCATGGCTATGTAAACGTTTACCAGAGGTTTATGGTTTTGGTTTTCCCATGGTTTCCCCCATGACTTAAAGGAGCTGAGCATCGCAAAGACCAAGCTGGAGTTGGGTCGCAAGACTCGGCCCACCGCACGCGCCAACGGTGATGCCGCGGCCTGATGCTGCAGCTAAAACTACAACTGCATGCAGCTACAACTAGGCTACACTACACTAGGCTTCAACTACACTGCACTACAACTACAACTACAATTTAACTGCAACTGCCACTGCGACTGCAGCTACACTACACTGCACCAAACTACGACTACACTACACTACACCACACTACACTGCACTATGCTACACTGCAACTAACAAAATAGTTACAACCACACCTACACCTACACCCACAACTACACTACAACTATCTACAACTACAACTACACCTACAACTACATCTACACTGGACTACAACTACACTACGCTACACTACACTAGACTACACTGCACCACAACTACAACTGCAACTACAACTACACTAATTACACTTCGATCCATCCGTCAGTGGGTTCGCTCTGCCATCCATGCAATCACAACAACTCACCTCTCCTATAGTGTCTTATCTTTGAAACTTCCGTCACCGCCTTGTGCGGCACTGGTATATCATTTATGTCTAGAATGCATAGCTAGTAATGTAACATAATGTAAGTAATATATAAATTGCATTTAAATAGCTAATTAAATCTAATTAATGCATTATAATCATTATTACCTGCTAATTATACCTGGTTCCCCCATTGATCCCCTCATAAATTCCTCACTCCGGACCTCCGCAGGCGCGGGCAGCGCCACCGCGGAGCGCACCGTCTTCAGCCACCGCGGCGCCGGCTCCGCCGCGGTGGCGCCGTTGCTGGCGCCGTGGGAGTCTGCGGCATCCGCGTTGGTGGCTCCGCGGAGGTTGGCACCCATGGCGAAATAGCGAAGGGATGCGAAGGGCTGAAAGATATGGGGAAAATATGCAGGAAATCTATAGCTAAAACAGAGCAAAACCCTGGGTTTGATGATGTTTTAACAAAACAATGGTGGTCAGTGGTGATCATACTTTTTCTTGCTGTCTTGTTTTTGATTTTGGGAGGATTGCATGGTTTCACTTTAGCCACCAAGTTTAGTGATGAGTAATCCCCCAAATGGCAAAAAAAGTGTGGTGAACACAATAGTTGGATTTCGAACCTCACGGCTAGGTTGGGCTTACCTTGAGAAAATCAGGGCATCAAGTCGGACACCGCAGCACGATGCAGCAGGGCTTGCCTCAAGCTACCAAAGCCGCCCTTTCAACCCTCCTTTGAAGGACAGCAAACACATCTTGGCACATCCCTCAAGGCCTCCACATCCGAAACCTTCCCTTGTATGAGCGCTGCTCTGAATGGAGTCTTCTTGGCCATATTCCGTGCCTGCGAAGACTGCGCCATGCCCTGAAAATCTACTGAGGCTTCGGAGCTTCGTCAAATTTCGTCAAAAACCTGTGTCCACCTACACACAGGAACACTCAAGGAAAAGGAACTTTAGCCCCTGACTTTTGGCACCCTTTCGCGTTTGTTGTGAGCGTGTCCAATCATTTAACATGTCGGAGAAGAAAAACATCCCTCAGGGTTGGTGAAACCAATCCCTACAGGACTCGATCCACGGCTCGACCGAGGTACCAAGGTAATGACACCAGTCCATGCAGGCGCCGCCTCAGTATTCTGACCGAACTTGACCCACATCTCAGGGGTGAGTTTCTGCACCCTTGAGTTTTCCGGGCCATGGTGCTGCCTCATCTTCAGAAGGTTCCAACTGGGGATAGTAATTGCAAGTGTGGTTGGAAAAACTTGCCAAAGACCAAGCCACCTCGTATGGCATTTGGAGGTACTCTTCCATTTTAAGACCCAAAGTCACGGTCACGTTCGTTATGTCCTCATCTGATCTCTGAGGCCCATGCCGGTGGAGCCTCATCGCGCTCATCACCCACAGAATTTGAAATATATATATATATATATCTCACAATAATTTGCACCCAAACACCCAAATATCAATCAAATATCTACATATTGATACATCTAAATATGATTTTTTAATTTAAAAAAAAAAGTATTCATGTTTTTTGATGTAACACAGCAGCTGTATGCCTCCCCCCATCTCTCTCTACAAGCTCAGGCTGCTGCGCCCACTGGAAACTGCGGAAGGATCGGCGCCTCAGCATCTCAAGCTGTGGGCACCCTGATGCCCAAAAAGGAATAATGTCAACCCTGGATTAATAAACCCCCAGATTGTTTAATTGGGAAGGTACCATTTAAGTATCATATTATGACTATTGGAGGGGTACCCCCCTAATTAATAAACCATGGTTTAGTCTCATCCGGGGTTGACATTAGAATTGATGACATTTGGTGATGTTGAACTGCCATGAACTAACATGAACTAGCTGTGCTGGCTGGACCTTCCATTTCGCACATATCCATCTGACGTCCATCTGATATATCTGATCGTCTTCTCGGGACATTTTACGAAGCCCTCACTTTTTGCTGCCTGAACTTCCCGGGTCACCATTTTCTCCACATGTGCCATGAAGAAAATATGGGAATGGCTTATGGTCCAAACATGCTAAAATACCCATTCTCAGATATCACCATCACTGTTTGGATTTATGATGATTTATGGGAAAAATTGCCAGGAGAATTGGATTCACCATGATTCACCTGTTCAGACTGGAATGGATATGGGTTGATCAACGATGATCATCCACCTGCAATCTCACCACAGGCTGCCGCACCCGGGGCACCAAGGGTGTGGGAAGCGCACCTGACCAGGAACAAATGGAGGATTAACCAGCGACAACTGCGGAAAAATATGTGATTTTAGGGATTTTTAGGGTGACTTAATGTAGTAATGCCCCTATTAAAGATGCCGAGTACTCTCTGGCAATCGAACCGTTTGCTATGGAAAATGGCCATTGAGTTTGATGATGTGGCGGTTCTCCATAGCTATCCAGATGGTATGGGAAACAACTCCATACAATACAACTCCAGTTTGAATTTTGGCCACAAAGATTGGAATTCAATGGCCGGCCAGAGTCAACGATGTCAACGTACCAAAGTTGGAGCTCAACACGCTCCAACTCTGCGGCGCCTGGAGCCCCTGCCAGCGCCATGTTGCCCCCAGGCGATTCTGCCAGGGTCTGCAGGATGGCCTGGGTGAGAAGTGAGGCCAGGACTGGAACAAGACCACAAGATTTTACCGGGAAAATATAGGGATTTTACATGATTTTAGCATGGACATTGGGGTTTAATATGAGTTCATGACTTTCATGGGAATGATCTTCAACAACTTATGGCCAATCATAGCTATATTATAGCTACCCTGCAGCGTTGATTTAGCTTGATAATACCCCAATAGCAAATTAGTTTATCCTCCCAATTTGATGGAAAAACAAAATGTCTGAAAGCACCGTGGCACCAATCTGTCAATACCTTGGGATGTTCAACCCGACTATCTTGGCGGTTTCCATCATTTTCGTGCTATTGGACCCTAGGAGGAAACGGAAAGTCAACAACCCCTGCTCCAGATCCTGATAGATTCAGCCTTCGAACCCGGTGACATTTTAAGCCAGCACAAGAATTGGGATGCGTAAGTGAAAAAATTATCAGGGTTTGACTATTGAAAATATGTTGATATACAGCTGTCTGAGGGAGCCGTGGCGAGACTTAAATGTGTGCCATGGGTCCAAACACCGCAGAATCCTGACATTTCTTTAAATAGATCAATTGAGGCGTTTGACCAAAGAGCGACTTGTGCTTGGGTACCGCTGGCTTTCCCTTTGAAGTTGAGATACACCTGCCCCCGACAAAAATTGCAGACTTGATGCCACACTCGGGTGCGCGCCCGCACTTTTTTCTACACAAAGCAATGGGCCAACACCACGCTCGTGGCGATGTTTGGAATCAAGGAATGATCAAACTACCTTGGCTGGTGGCTGTTAGCCACAACTTCTAGCCAAATGCAAGCTAGAACACCCAAATGGTTTTCAACCAGACTTCCCACCACATTTTCCAAGGTCAAAGTCAGGGTCAAATTGCCAAAGCTTTCCATCGCTTCACTGGTGCTCGTGCGCCTTAGCATCGCTGGCACCCACCACCCGCGCTGGGATTGCCTTCGGATGGTGCTGTTCCTCCATAGGCACACAGAGAAACGTCACCACGGAGCAGCCCATGGTGCAAAACCTGAGGCTGGGATCGTCTGCATCTGGGTGGCCACAAAGATTTTCAAAAAACGCCATCAAAATAAAAAGACATTGGAGTTACAAAATTTGATTCGAAGAGTACATTCGCCTTCATTTGAGAATCCCTCGCCCCTACTGGAAACCCTGGGTTAGTGCTGGATCTACCCTCTGGTAATTTAACATAGCTATTGAAAATGACCATTTATAGTGGATTTTCCCATTAAAAATGGTGATTTTCCATAGTTATGTTAGTTTACCAGAGGGTAGTCGTTTTTTGGGGTCCCAGAGGTCTGCCCTCCCCTGCAGCCGGGGTGACAGAGATGAGGTCACCAAGAAAGGAAAGGCGCCGCGGCGATAGAGGGCAGTTTCATGTTCTGAGAAGCGCGTAGCCACCAGGTTTCCCAAGATATTTCCTCAGTGGCACCAGTTGTTCCAACTGGCCAAAAAGATCCAAGAGATAGAAGCGATGTACAAGATCCGTGGCGTGTGCGTCTTAGAGAAGAAAAAGTGTGCATTAATTGCAGTAACATGCACGCATAGTTGGTCACATATGCACACGCATATTTATTTGTATCTATGTATATATATATATGGGCCTACAAGTATAGTAAAACATCATATCACATCCATACCTGGAAGGCTCAATCATTTCCCGGCAAATGCAACTGGAAGTCACCCATCGTCGTATCAGCCGTGGAGATGAGAAGCATCATTCCCTCATGATCTATACATTTCCCGCCTGGTAATCATAGACATGTAGAATGACCCATGTGTAAATGATGTTGTTCTTCAACATTGCGATTTTCCATTATCCATGGCTTTGTTATGACAGATTTACCCTCTGGTAATTTAACACAACTATGGAAAATCACCATTTATAGTGATTTTTCCCATGAAAATTGTGATTTTCCATATATATATAATTATATATATATATATTATATATATAGTTGTGTTAGTTTACCAGAGGGTATGTTAGATTACCAGAAGCTCTCATCATTCATCCGATACGGTCCGATACCGCTCATCGCCCAGATCGCCCAGCGACCCAGCGAGGACAGGACGTTCAGCAACGAGAAGATACGGCCCTGATGCTCTGGAGGCACAGCAATGGTGGCCAGGTGTTGGTAGCAAACCTGGCGCCATGACAATTCTTACAGCTGCTGTGCATGTAAAATGCACAGGTTGATTTCTAACCAGTTTTTATGGGATGTTGGTATTGATAGGTCCATGATCATCCATGGAAGTTTTGATGTTTGGAGAATGCCTCACAAATACACAATTCGTTCGACATCAACCGGAAGTGGTGACCATGCCTTCATGGTGCCACACAGGGCCAAGAAAGTCAGCACGTTCACCTCGCAGGCGCGTTTTAAATACTAAATCTGCATTGGGGATGGTCAATTAATGTTGATTATTCACTTTACGAGTATCACATTGTGGAAGGAATTCATGAGCAGGTTTTGACCCATCCTCAAGCTGCATATGGCTTATCAGCGCAAGCTGGGATGTGGTTGTGCAGCCATTGGCTTGACCAGCTCTAGTCTGCGATTAGTTTATGGTTTATCAATGAAGGGTTGACATTATAAAGGATTCAGATGGGAAGCGTGCGCCAACCCCCGAGCCACCAGGTGAAAAATGCTTGCCATGGTGCTTACAGCAACCACCTACAACTGCAATTTAGCCTCAACCGTCGCCTTGCCACTTTGGCCAAATGGTTCTGCTTACCCAACCCGAACGGATGCCATTTCGGGGCTAGTTTCACATGTAAATATGCCATTGCTGGTGAGGTCAAAGGTCAGCAAACTCACCTGACCCTTCTCTTGGGTCAGTTGCTACTCAAAAGGGTGGCCGCAGCTCCACTTCCCTACCTTCCCTCACGGGAAAATAAGGTACCCAAAATCACCCGGTTTCAAACCTGGCTTTCCACATTGTCTGATGGCCACAGGGGGCAAATACCCAGTTTCCGGACTAACCCATTCACATTTGAAACGTGATTCCAATCTATCCTAGATTACTTTCGTACAAAAACCATTTACAACTCATGGCCCCCTTAAAGTCCCTGTTTAATCATAGATGAGTTTCCCCATGACCTGTCAAACCTTCACTTTCCCGTTTCCCTTGATAGGTCACCACATGCACCAGCTGTCCATAGATAGTTGGCTCAGGCTGCAGAAAAGCCAAGGCCGAGCACACCGCTGCCAGCAGAGGAAGGGCGGAAGCAGTGGCTCGGTGGCCCAAAACTCGAGTCAGAGGTGGATACCTTGGCTTTTCCGAAGGTGAAACCTATGTTACCACCCCTTTTCGAGGACAAAATTCCCACGTTTTTTTCTAGTCCAAGTAACAGGTGTTGCAACTTCAATCACCCCAAAGCGGCAGGGAAAATGACGGTACCATGTTGAAACCGTTGTTTTGTGATGTTTTCTGCAGTTTTCAAGGTTTCTGATCATCCCAAAGATGGCCAGTTCGTTGGCTCGGCTTCCCCCACTTTCCCTGCCCCCACATGTGAAAGGAGGCAACTACCGAATATTTCTATGTGGTAGTAGGGTTGTAGTGGACCCAATTTCATCCAGGAATTGAAAAATCGGAATGTTCTTCTAGAAAACGTTCGAAAAATGCCTGCACAGAACCTACAGAAATAAAGGCTTAGGCGGCTTAGAGATTCAATGAACCGAAATAGGGAACCAGCAGTGGGCTATACATCTAGGAGATTCTAGGAGATATTCAGAGCCCATGGAGTTTTGCTGATGTTCAAGGGGATGTCGCAGGAAAGGAAACCTTGGAGCCCAAGGGGGTGACATCCCAAGGCGGCAGTATCCTCGAAACTTGATTTGAGGAACTTCACAAATGATTCAAATGATGTATTGAACGTATTGGACATGATTTGGGGCCCCTGATGGCCCCTGGATCTTCATGGATGGTCTTGGTCCCTTGGTGCCCCAGCTCAACGTTGAGAACTGAGCCAAGTCTCCCCAGAGTACTGACGATAATCAGCCTCAGGTGCACGCCAGGCACAATGTAAACCTGGATGTAAACCTGGATGCTTCACTACTTACCAAGCTCACAGCTAAGCTCAGACCCCTGCACCACCCCTCAACTAGAAAATCCTTTCTTAGCAAGATATCAAAAGTAATCCGGCATCAAAATCACCAAAATTGCAATGATGGTAACCGATTCACCCAGCATCCACCATTCACCCACCCTTCGCCCATCACTCGCCCACGCACCCACCGTTCACCTATTCACCGCTCATTCACCTCCCATTCACCTCCTAGTCTGCCCAGGTTCAATCCCAGGAGTAGTTTGCCTGGTGCAATTACAATCTCCCCATTTCCTGATGGCTGAATCCCTGCCCTATTGATGATAGTTCAACTAGTTCTTCCCAAAAAAATATCAAATACACCCCAAGAAACCCTGGTTTAGCATTGGATCTTTCATTTTTGGGTTCCTTCTTCCCTTTTAAATGATGCTTAAACTCTTATTAATTAACACCCCAGTTCATGATGGTGCAACTATTCTAACCTCCCCCAGATAATGATGATTTCATTATTGCCAAACTATGGTTGTGCCCCCCATTCGATAATGCTTAAACTGTGGCTAGACGCCCTGGTTAAGAATTGTTGAACTATGGCTAAACCCTCACTTCAAGGGGGGTTCAATCCCCAGCGAATGATTGTTGAACTATTTGAACCCCCAGTCACTGATGGTTGAACTGTGGCTAAATTATGATAAAACCTTTGCAATTCCTCCACCCGCAGGAACAAAATCGATTCTTAAAATATTCACCAAGTAAACCACAGGGTGGTGCCCAGTTATAAGTTGGTTTATATACCCCATTGACGCCATATCGGCTTTTAAACATGTTTGAACCCTCGAATTCACCCAGTGAACTGAACCAACTTGGCGATTCCGACCTCGGGCGCTCGGGCACCACCTTGCGCCGAGAATCAGCTGGGAGGACAGCTGCAACCAGGCAAGGTCGTGGGAACCCAAGTGCAGCTTTCGGAGGTGCAGGGGCCACAGCACCGTGACCACCTGAAGCGATGTCTGGAATGGAGGGAAGAATGGGATGAATAAGAGGACCGTAGTCGGTTTAAGAAGGTTTAACCATAGTTTAAGCACGAACTGGCGGTGTTTACCATAGTTTGAGCACCATTAAGTGGTGGTTGAACCATAGTTTGAACATCACTCATACGGGAAGAAGTGGATGGCAATCTCTTCCCCCGGCCCTGAAAAAGAGCGACCAATTGGAGTATAACTGTATGACCATCATAAATTTTGGACTTACTGGGGTTCTTTCCAAAGGTGTGTGTGTGTGTTCATTTGAAAATATCAGGGAAATTGTCCTGATTTCCGCTTCCATTTTGTATGCTATACCATTTCGTCATACCTTATCTCCCCAGGTCTAAAATGTCTCATCTGCCATGGCACGGTCTCCCCAAACGATTGCACCACACTTGTGGCCAGCAGAAGCAGAAGCTGCGAGGAACGCAGGCTGCGGCCTTCGCCTTTGCTGTCCGTCTTCTCATCGAGCCAGGTGGCCGGGCTGAAACGACAGACCAAATAGAAGAAGGCGATGACACAAAAAATGCTGCACTCACCTTGGCAGCGACAGCTGAAAAACAACCGAGTATACGGAGTCTAAGTCATGAAATATATGGATGCACATAGATAGATGCACGTATGTAATGCAATGTCATGCAACGCTACGAAACATACAGGCATGTAATGCAATAAAAATGTAGTGTCAATGTTCATCGACATTGTATGTTATGTATATGTGTACGTGTGGAGACGGTATGTGTATCTATTTGTGTAGACATGTGTACATATAGAGAAAGAGAGAGAAATAAATAAATGTATATATATATATATCGGTATCCGATCTCCCATATTTTTTGACAACCCCACATCATTCTGCTCCTATTCCACCAATTTTTTGCCAGCCGACTCATGTGTATCCGATATCTCAGCAGCTTGTGCTGGATGCCACCCGCAATCAGCAACGAGTCAATGAAGGGATACAGCGAGGTGCCGAGGAGCCGTAGAACTGAGACCTGAACCTTCAGGGCTGGTGAATTTCGATGGAGGATTGGGCAAACCCTGAAACCCTGCTGGAAACCCCAGCTTTGACCATCAAGAACGGAGATTGGGAACATTGTTTTTTTAACTGATTCTGGATTTTGTCAGGGACCTACACCTGACCGATGTTGACTTGAGATCGTGATAACGAAATTGATTCTGGCACGTTTTCTTGTGAAACTGATTCGGTCCCCAGAACAAAATCAAGCCCCAAACGAATCTGCAGGGGCCGCCTGAAAGCCGGTGACTACCACGTGCCGCTGTTCACGGGGGGTGGCCAAAGCAACATAGGCACCCACCACATTCCTGTCACCGCCGTTACGGCCCTGTGAGTGGTGTACTGCAACAGCGTCTTCTTCAAACAAACGAATTGTCACCAACAAAGCTGGGTTTGTTTCTCTCCAAGAACTGCGGTAGTCTCCAGACTTGGCAAAGCACCATTGATGATCAAACCATAATTAAACCATAACAGCTATATAACCTCATATAACCTCTTTTTACTCTATACAGCCTGGCAAACTGCTGCAGCCGCCCCAATGCCCGTCCAGAAATTCACTGCCCCCAGCGCAAGCACCACACTGGCCAAGTAGAGTCCAGAGACATCAGGAGCAAAGCCGTGGAAAAGACAGCCGAAGGTGCAGCAAAACGCTGAAAGCACCTGGGTCATAGCCGACATCAGAAACCTCGGCGTAGCATAATCTAACTATATCTAAATATGTACCGTATATACGAGTATAAATATATATATATATATGTGTGTGTGTATGTATATTTATATATATATATAACTATATATATATATATGTTCTCGACCTAGATCAAGCTAGTAAACCGAAGTCGAGAGTCAAGACTCAGATCTTTGTAGGAATCCTGAATCTACATTATGTCTCAGTCTCAACCAATCTGATGCAAAAAACAAGACCTCCAAGTGGTGGCCCTTGAGCATGGCACTGCAGGCGTGTAGGCCGAGTGCCGATCCAGCAGCCATCCATAGAGAGGAGACACCAACAAGACCCCCACCGTGCGGATCACGCCAAAGTTGCCGATCTCGGCCTCAGCCGGCGTTGAAGAACGCTCTGCGGCTCAGGCCAATGGGCCGTGCTATCTGGTGGCTAAGCTACACTGAAAAATATCATTGTCAATTTGGATAGTCATCCCAAATAGGCTGCAAAATGGAATCATGTGTGAGCCCACCAACCAAATGTCTGTGGCTTGTGGAGTTCCTGTCTGTAAGATCGAAATGTGTTTTCGTTTTTTTCCACATCCCCCCAAGAAAGAAGCGACCAAAGGGCCAAAGTCGGCCAATTTGGGTTTGTCTGAAAATATGGTACCCTTTACCAATGACCAATGCTTCAGCCACCATTTTCGCGTTAAAAATCTTCATTGCCATTGCCTCCGGGCGACGGTGCTGGCGCCCAGCTCCACCTGAAAGTAGGTGGTCACCGGACCATGCAAGGCTCCACCGAAGGAAGCCACCCAGATCCCAAGCATCGGCACCTCAGAGGGGCACCACGCTACGGGGCCCATGGCAACCATGGGGGCTGTGATGGCTATCATCCCATGTCATATTGGGGCTATATAGGCTATACCCAACAAATCATAAACCATCACAATAGCAGTCTATTGGGGATGTGGCATTGGCTAAGAATACCGCAGTTATGTATAAGAATACCTTCATCTATCTCCAGAACAATCAACAGTTATCGCAACATATCGCAACTCAACTTGATTTTTGGATATGTTTGGTGTATAATTGTGACCAACCACTCTCCAGTGTCCTCAAACAGGGCTGGCTGGGAAATCCCGCAACTAAATGGATGTCTCTAGCTTGGAAAATCATCGAACTAAATGATGGGTTTTCAGTTGCCATGTTTGATTACTGGAGGGCATATAGATCTCAATGAAAATGGATGAATGACAAGGACAATGACCATTCCCCCAGGAACTGGATAAATAAGTACAGTATATTACAGTACCCCAACTGTTGACCATGGCACATACGAGCCCAAGAATGAACAAATCCAACAGTAAACTAGGGCAGGGTTTCTAGGGTGGTAATGCAATATTAGAGAGAGGCTTATGATCCAGAAATGGCCATCCGAGTATCTGGAATCAAGATGCATTACTCAGTACAATAGATGATTCTCAAATATCTTCAATCTGAAAGGTGTGGCTCTTGCCCATCAGTTTTAAGGTCAATCTCAAAAAATCCAATCCGAATCCCCCACAGTTTTCGCAGCAGAGTTGGGATCGGTGGAGCCGAAGCCAAGATTCAAAGAGTTCCTGTCGCCTCAAGATGTTCTTCAAGAGGCTGTACTGCTCGCGAGCAGCATGAAAAATCTGCTCCATGGCGCATGGCGGTGCACAGCCTGTTGTGGCTCCTGTGATCTGATGGCGAAAATCCAGACTCAAAAAATTGTGCTGAAGGGAAAATCTACAGGAAAATATGGAGTTTCAGAGTTTCCCCTGAAATATGAGGTGTAAATTGGTCCAGGCATTTTTTCTGAAGGACAGAAAGTTTCCTGGGTCAAAAGTGCCAGAATCCAGAAGCTCAATGTGTGAGCGACAGCAGTTCGGTGAGCATTCGAACAAGGTGGGCTAGGATAGAGCTGGAGGGAAATCAGCCTTAGGATCTACAGGCTGATGGAGATAGATGTTGTTTCCAAACCTCTCTGAGTCAACTCTTGTGAGCCAAGAGCGGGCACAACCTGAGCTGGTCACCATCCCAAGGCCATCAGTATCCGCTATATTAGTCCATCAACAGAACTAAGTGGTATCCTCCTGTCAAATACGGCTAGCCGTAAAATCCTCTAGATGACTATCTGATTACCTCATATGTTCCCATAGAAAAGTAGCTAATTTTCCAGCAAGCCATTTTAAATTATGAGGCGACCCTCCCCCAAATTGACTTAGACCCTGAAAATCTCCTAATTCTAGTGAGAACGAATCTTCCAAGCCCCTATTGAGAAAGGTCTATGTTACCCTTCGGTCATCAAACGTGGCGACTGGAAATGGATGGTTGGTCTAAGAGGAAAATCCTCTATAAATGGAAGATGCCATCCGGTAATTTCACAGTCTGCAATGGAACTTCTCCCATGTTCTCCCATTTTTGAAAGATACATCATCAAACTAAATGGGCCATGTTCAATAGCTATGTTAAATTACCAGAGGGTCATTCGCATTCTCTCTCCCTATTTTGCTTGGTCCAATCCCCATGAACCACCATTAAAATCCATTAGTTCCCATTATATAAATCCATTGATTGATATTATATATATATATCTACATATATATATATATACACATATATATATGTGTGTGTGTATGTCCATTGATAGACTATTTTATAAACCATTTTGGTTGGTTCAATCCCTGGCTAAATCCCCATGAATCCCCAGAAAATCCCACCAAAAACGGCCCATCTAAGTCCCGCACTCGAGCCACTGCAGGATCCTTCAACATCTGCGCCTGGACGTCTTTTGAGGCATGGACAAACCTGGGCCACGGAACGATTCTTGATGGGATATGTGGGTTTGTCTGAAACATATGGGCTGAAACAGTTCCGGTATGTGTATATATATATATATAATTGTATATATATATACTGTATCATTTTTTTAAATAGCAATAGAGTGCGGTATACCCCATGTTTTGGGCAAACCCAAGTGAAGTTGCCAGCCAAAAACGGGACCAAACGAATCAACTCATGGCCAACGATGCCCTGTTTACAAATCGCTGGTGAGTACTTGGTGGTTCAAGACCACTAGTAACTGGACCAACCCTACTTTACCCTGGCACTAGGGCTGTAATCCACTTGCGTGGTGAGAACGACCAAGTAAATATCACCATAGAAGAAAATTGAAGTACCAAACTACCCATTCAAGTTTGACCCAGAACTAAGTGAGATGATGAAGGTGCTACGTCGAGAAAGATGGGAGAGGTCGAGTGACCCCTCTTGTGTGATATGTTGCGAAGGACGCGACCAAGACATTATAGAGCCATCTGCGACTGTGATGGCGAGACATGATGGGGAATTATGTCTGTGTATGTCCCTAGCTGAACGTCAAAAAACCAAAGATTCTATGAAAGCATGTGTTTGCACATAAATGCTGGCCATATGTATATCTATAGGATATATATATATATAGGCATAGATAAAGATATGGATATGATATATGCATATAGAGAGATAGAGAGAGAGAGAGAGATAGATAGATAGATAGATAGATAGATAAGATAGATAGATAAGATAGATAGATAAGATAAGATAGATAATAAGATAGATAATAAGATAGATAATAAGATAGATAATAAGATAGATAATAAGATAGATAATAAGATAGATAATAATAAGATAGATAATAAGATAGATAATAAGATAGATAATAAGATAGATAATACGATAGATAATAAGATAGATAATAAGATAGATAATAAGATAGATAATAAGATAGATAATAAGATAGATAATAAGATAGATAATAAGATAGATAATAAGATAGATAATAAGATAGATAATAAGATAGATAATAAGATAGATAATAAGATAGATAATAAGATAGCTAATAAGATAGCTAATAAGATAGATAATAAGATAGATAATAAGATAGATAATAAGATAGGTAATAAGATAGATAATAAGATAGATAATAAGATTGATAATAGGATAGATAATAAGATAGATAATAAGATAGATAATAAGATAGATAATAAGATAGATAATAAGATAGATAATAAGATAGATAATAAGATAGATAATAAGATAGATAATAAGATAGATAATAAGATAGATAATAAGATAAGATAATAAGATAAGATAAGATAAGATAAGATAAAATAAGATAAGATTAGATTAGATTAGATAAGATTAGATTAGATAAATAGATAGATAGATAGATAGATTGTGTAGATAGTGTAGGTAGGATAGGATAGGATAGGATAGGCTAGGCTAGGATAGGATAGGATAGATAGCTAGATAGATAGATAGATAGAGAGATACGTAGAGAGATAGATAGAGAGATCGATAGAGAGATAGATAGAGAGATAGATAGAGAGATAGATAGAGATATAGATAGAGAGATAGATAAAGAGATAGATAAAGAGATAGATAGAGAGATAGATAGAGAGACAGATAGAGAGATAGATAGAGAGATAGATAGAGGGATAGATAGAGAGATAGGTAGAGAGATAGATAGAGAGATAGATAGAGAGATAGATAGAGAGAGAGAGAGATGGATAGATTAGATTAGATTAGATCAGATCAGATCAGATCAGATCAGATCAGATAGATAGATTAGATAGATAGATAAGCATTTAATATATATATGTGTGTGTGTGCAGAAGGGGGATATGTATAACATATGTATGCAAGAAACCAACATGCAAATCCAACCATCAATGAAACAATGGGACGAGATGCTCCATGGCGATCTTCTTGTTGTTGCTATTGGCCGCCTTCGACGAAACTGGCCTCAACGATTGTCATCTCAAGCTACCAGATGATGGGATGGCTCGTGGGATGGCTCGTGGGATGGCTCGTGGGATGGCTCGTTTCACAACATGGCTTCCCCGGTTCCCCCAATTCAAGGGTTCATTCACAAGCCGCAGTTGAAGATTCTTGGATGTTCCATGATTTTCTTGGCACCTCAGTTGAAGATTGCTTGAGCCGGGGGCGTAATGTGCTTGGTGGCTGGTGCCAGGAGTACCTGCAAGACGGCCCCCTGAAAACAAGGAGGCACCGATGCTTGGATTTCACCTGCATTGCTCAGCCCTGCCATGGATTTCAAAGCGAGCGCACCAATTTGCCCATTGGCGCTGGCGCTGGGCACGCCTGGCAAGTCTTCTTGAGGTGAAACACTCATTCCTTGGAACTGTAGGTTTGGTCATTTGTAGCACTCAACCGTCACTTTTTTCCGGGGGATGTACATAGATATAGATTTAGATAGATACAGTGTAGATACTATATGTATATATCTATATACCTACAAATGCACATGTAATTTATCTATCCATCTATCCATCTATCCATCCGTCCATCCATCCATCCATCCATCCAACGATCCCTCTATCCATCTATCCGTCTGACCAATCTAATCGAATCTAATCCAAGCCAATACTATCCACTCTATCTATATATAATCTAATTTATATAATTCAATCCGATCAAACCCAATCTGATCTAATCAGATCCAATATATATATATATATATCAATCTCATCTTCTCTGATCTCATCTCATCTTATTATATATCTTATCTTATCTGCCTATCTAGCTATTGATATGTTCGCATTTTGATCGAATTGCTGTCCCCAAGCTTGCCCAGCTGCCTTTGCCAGCGGCAAGCCTTGCGGCATAGGCCTGAACTCTTCCGTAGCTGCCGCCCCCCAAGGAAAAAAATGGTGATCAGAGGAGCTGTGAGGGTATCACTCCAGTTATAAAGGTTACATCTATACATCTACATTTCATATGATTCATTCATTACTCTGTACTCTGTGTGTGTGTGTCATCTATCTTACCTCTTGTTGTCGATCCATCCAACATGGACCCCAAAGGTCACTCCCAGCACAATGTGGGCATTTCCTGTAGATGTTCCCTTCGTCCACTTGCTATGGTTGGTTTACTTTGCCTTGGTCACGAGTCACGGGGGGAACATCTTTCGGAACATTTTTGGACTTAAGGAATGTTAAGGACCTGCAATTGGCTGCACGGCTGCACCATGAAGCCTCCGTGTTTGGGATGACCCCGTAGAGCTGCAGAACTGTCAGAAAAATCCACCAGCTTCCACCCATGATTTCAACGATGCGGATATCCCTGCCATCTCTGACTAGAGGAGGCTACCCCAAATCGGTTTGGCCCATCACCAAGCTTCCAGACATCAGCGGCATCCCCGGATTCGGAGCAGGGATCATGATGCCGGCAGGCCCAGTAGGCGCCGGCCTTGGGTGGGGCAAGTTGACGGCTTCAGTGCCTTCCAAAGTGGGAAGGCAAATGCACCTGCTGATCAACAAAAGAGATCAAAAATTGCTTTCTTCGAGTGATGCCCACCCTTACACACCATTCTGACATAGTTTCCAACATACCATCTGGATGTATATATGGCATATATATATATATGTGTGTGTGTACATATATATATATATTATATGTACACACATATTCTCTCATTCTATCTGACATTCTCTCCGGCACATGCTCTGACATTCTATCTGTACATATATATATATATTAATACACACATATTCTCTCATTCTATCTGACATTCTCTCCGGCACATGCTCTGACAATCTCTGACATTCTATCTGGCATCCATTCTGGTCTATTCTGGCATCTTTTCAGGCATACTCATTCTGGCATTCTATCTGGCACCGATTCTGACATTCTATCTGGCATCTTTTCAGGCATTCTAATTTGGCATCTATTCTGGCATTCTAACGGCATTCTATCTAACATTCTGTCTGGCGTTCTCTCTGCCATTCTCTCTGGCATGTGTTCGGGTTCGGGCGCATTCCACAGCCTCCTGGGCTGGCAATATGGTGTTCGGGTCCATGCTCGCATCCGGAGCTGGCAGAGGGGATGAACACAACAAAGAGGCGGAGGAGGTGAAGGAGAAGAAGAAGAAGGAGTTGCACCTTTGTTGAAATCTAGAAACCCTCACCTGGCAGGGGAAGGATCAAAACTGATCAAAACTGAAGATCCCAAGCATTTTTCGATGGGTTTCATCCATGTCAGCAGGAGTCTCTTAGAGGCCACCGGAAGCTGACCGGGCTCCCTCACATCAAGGGTCCTTTGCCCAAACCTGTCGTGATGCCACGCCAATTTGGCGGATCTGAATGAGAAACTCATATTCGGAGATGCCCATCCTAGGATAGATGTCAAAGAATTTCAATGGAAAATTAGAAGTTAGAATCAACAGATCTGCCAGAAATATTCCCGCGGCATCGGCCACTATCTGGGCCTCCCTTGGCGCCCTTCAGAAGTTCCATCTGGCAGGATGGGAACGAAAGGGAAAGCACGGAGAGAATGTAAATCCGTGATGGCCTGTAATAGTCTGTAATATTGTGTGTGTGAATGCATTCCACGTCATTCTACCCATCTCGTCATCCCCACATCATTTTCGTTTGTGTGTCTACCGGTCCAGCAAACAGTATCGCATTGCATGAAGCGAATAACGACCGTTTACTGCCAATGACAGCACTTGGACATGTTTGTTGGCAAAGTTTCAAGACAACACGACAAAACCCTCCACACCTTGCTCCAAGAATCTACGATCTGCAGCCGGATTCCCAGCCCTGCGCACCTCTCCCAAAGGCGTCTCGTCCATACCCTTGCCAAGCATTCCTTTGCCCATGCCCATCATACCAGCAGACTTGTCCTGCACATGGTGCCTAAAGACAGCACAAAGTCATCTGTGAACCATTTGTACGTCCTGGGAAGAACTCTTAATCCGGTTGTCTTGAACTTACAGTATTCCTTTCCATGTGCGTGATTCCGCATGTAGCACTAGAAATTAGGATGGGAAGTTTGACAATTCCGATGGATGTATCCTGGAACCGCGGCCCTCCAGTTTCCAATTGGATGGGGCTGCTTAGAGGAAAGCTATTGTTTTGTGTGTCCGGACGGACCAGTCTCTAGGCCTTAATTAGGTACTATGCGTCTCTGACACATTTGTTCGTGCTAGTCTTATGTTTGTTAGTGATATCAGTGATATCCCCATGTTTGTTGGGTCCAAACCCATACTTCTAGACCCCTACACGACAATTGGCAGCATGCCACCGCTGCTCCTTCCCTTTGCCCTTATCCATTCGCGGACGTTTCATCTCTGGCTCTTCCGGCTGCGAAATCCAATTGCCTTACCCGAACTGAGCTATGTAGAGCAGGCGCAATGGCGGAAAAAAAAACTGTGTGCCGGGAAATGGTGTCAAAGCTTAGGCGCGGCCAATTGGATACTGTACTCTCCAAAACCTTGAGGGAAAAAACGAATGGTTCTTCGTTGTTTGTCTGTCAAGTCTTGACCAACAAAAACAACTTAGAAGCTTCTCCAGACATGCGGAAACCATCACTTCACTTCAGAAGATAGGTTGAGAAACCAGCTGAATCCAGAGACATCAGCACCAGACTGCTTCGTGTAAAGTGTTGATCCTTTGTTATCTTTGTTTGACATATCTAGTTCGGAATTCGTTCAGAATCACCTCAGCAAAGCTGGGAAAACAACTCCAGAGTTTCCAAGTAATTTGTGGCGATCAAACATTTATTGCGTATCCGGGAAAATGCCGAAAATGCACCATGTTGGAATCATGTTCCCATTCCAATTGCCCAATTGCCCAATGGTGGGATTTCCAGGGCGCGGTGCCTCCTTTGTCGCCCCGAGGACCCCATTTGCCCTGGCCCTTCCAATATTTGCCATCGCCTTTGCCCATTGCACCTGTCCATTACAAAGGAGGCCCGGGGTCAAGAGGTGTCTTACAGAAAGGGGCTCTGGAAATGACGGAATTTGTTGCTTCCCACTTCCCACACCTTTAACTTTTGAACTTTTCGCCCCCATGCGCATTCATTCATTTGCACGGATTGGTATATCTGCATGCATACATATATAAATATTATATGATATATTATATTATATTATATATTATATTATATTATATATTATATTATATTATATTATATATTATATATTATATATATTATATTATATATTATATATTATATTATATATTATATTATATTATATTATATTATACTATATTATATTATATATTATGTTATATTGCATTATTATTTATATTATATTATATATTATATTATATATTATAGTATATTATAGTATATTATATTATATTATATTAAGTAAGTTATATTATGTGTTGTTATATTATATATTGTATCATATCATATCATATCATGTTTTTTATATTATTATATTATATTATATTATATATATTATATTATATTATATATTATATATATTATATTATATTATATTATATTATATTATATTATATATTGTATCATATCATATCATATCATGTGTTTATATTATATCATATTATATTATATTAGATGATATTATATCATATGTTATTATAGTATATTGTATTGCAAATTATATTATAACTTATAACATATTAAATTATATTGTATTATACTATATAACATTGTATTATATTATATTATATTATATTTTATGTATATGTATATGCATATGTATATGTATATGTATATGTATATGCGTATACATTTGTATATGTATACGTATATACATATATATATATATGTGTCTCTCTATCTATCTATCTATCTATCTATCTATCTATCTAATTAATCTAATCCTATCTATCTATCTGTCTGTCTGTCTGTCTATCTATCTAACTATATCTACATCCATATCTCTATCTGTATTATCTCTCTCTCTGTCTGGCACATATCCCACCATAGTACTTTTTTGCGAATGTCATGATGCAGCTCTCACATCACCCAGGAACTCGCCTCAGGAACTCGTTGAGCCCATACGCGCAGCGGCCAAAAATGGCTGGGCGACCGGGGCGAAAAATGGAACGACTCTATGGGGGGTGGTTGTCCTGGCTGTCCTGGCTGTCCTGGCTGTCCTGGCTGTGGCCGTAACGCAACCGTTTCGACGCAGCGTTTGTGGCCAATGGTTTGGTGAAGGATGGTGAAGGTAAGTCCTGTTCAGGTCCTGTTCCTCCCCAGTCTTTCAGAATCTTTGTGGATCGTTGCCAATCGTTGCCTAGTCCCACCGTTTCGTGCTCTGAATCGATTGTGACTTGGCGGCCACGCTTGAGTGAGTGGCACCTCGCTCTGTTCTGTTGATGTGGTGTTGCCGCATTTTTGTTAGCTGCCTCTGCGGAAAAGGTTTCCTTGAACCAAATGAATGCAAAGCGGTTGCAACCGTCGCACACTTCCAGTGAGAGAAGCCCTGATGGTTTTTCCATACCGAATGAGGGGCAGCCGTGTAGCTGTGTAGCTATTCCCAGAGATTGCAAGATTTCATCGCGACAGGCCCCGAATTGTTCAGGAACATAGATTGCTGATTTCCCTAAATTTCAAGTCACGTCAGCCGTGTCAAAAATATCTTGACAAAATCCGAATAAAATGTTGGTTAATTGGGATCCTCATACTGGATCGTGATCATCATGGAGACATACATACACGCACACACATGAATTTGAACAAAAAATGAATATACAAATAAATGCATGATTGCGTAACTACATGAATACATGTGTATATATATATCTGTGTGTGTAATCATATAATATATATATCTATATATAAGTGCACACATAATCATGCCAATATGTATAAACACACATACAAAGATACGTATATACATTACATTATCATTGCCATTACAATTACCATTACCCTTACATTACAGTATACATACATACCCGTGGGTCTTCCCACATGGCGCGGCCATCTTTTCGGCCTCACAGCATCAACGTGTACGGTCTTCCCTGCAGATGCTCGCCCAGCGCACGGCGGGCATCGGACAAAGTGAGGTTCAAGGGATCCTCCAAGGGAACAGCAACTGGCGTTGCCTGAAATGTTGCTGTCTTTCTGGATATGGAACACTTCGGGTTGTGATATGAAGGGATACTACCGTAAGGAAGTTGATGGATATGAACTGATAGTGAAGGATTTCTATGGATAGTAATGGATTTCGATATATATATATATTGAAGGATATTGGTGGGATACACCCAGCAACATAATATCTGGGTTTGCCTGAAAGTCATGGGGAAACCCTGAAGTAAATTATCTGTATCATCAGTTTTCCTCTCAGCATTGCCATTTTGGCGGGTATACCCCAGTTTCAGACAAAACCAAATTGTGCTGGGATGCACTGACAACCACTATGCTGGTGAAATAGATGAAAATCTTACAAGAAAGGGATCTGAAATGCTCTTTCCAGACTCTGGCAAATTCAGTGCTCGCATCAATGATGCCCTTAAATTTCTTCCATCTCATTATTTCCAGAAAATACAACAAAAGTACTTCTTCACCTAGCTTTGGGGACTTGACCACATTTAACACTTTTTGGGTGCATTTCGAAATAGCCCGTGCCCCCGGGAAGTCCCAGCAGTCGTCGGGTCCTCATAAAACCATCGGCGAAGTGTCCGACCGTTCGGCCACATGGCCATGACCACGGACTTGGCATAGCAATCCACTTCATCCAGCCTGGGAAGTCCTCGGTGACATGCTTTTCTTCATGAAAATGGGAACCTTTATGCGGAATGGATGGATAGATAGATTGATTGATTGATAGATATATTGATAGATAGATCGATCGATAGATCGATAGATCGATAGACCGACAGACAGACAGACAGACAGACAGACAGGCAGACAGGCAGACAGCCAGCCAGCCAGCCAGGCGGGCAGGCAGGCAGACAGACAGACAGCCAGGCAGACAGACAGACAGTAAATAGATAGATAGATAGCTTAGACCAAGGGTTAAAATTAAGATTTATAGATTAAAATTCAGATTTAGCTTTAATTACGTTAGATAGGTAGATAGCTTAGATTAGATTGGATTAGATTAGATTTAGATTAGATTGGATTAGATTGATTTAGATTTAGATTTATATAGATTCGATTCGATTTAGATTACATTATATAGATAGATAAATTGGTAAGCAACCATATTTGATATCTGGGCTATACCCAAGATTTTTGGAATATACTACCAACAGTATATACTACACATATACATACACATACACTGTTATATATATATAATATATACAGTCTATGTGTGTGTGTGCAAAATAAGAAGATGTTGCCCGCAGCAAAACCGTGATGTTGTAACAGGCTTATTCGGCCATGAATTTCGGTATAATGATCATTGCCGCCCAGTGGCCCAGTCGCCTCTTCGCCGTGCTGTGCACGTACACGGCGTTACCGGCACCATACCACACGAGGTGATAGCCCAAGGGCTTCAACATACGCACCTTTGGGCAAAACAAGGTGAGGTTTATCCAACTAAGTTGACTTGCAGCTTGGTCAACTAGGGTTTATGCGGCTATAACATGCTATAACTAATATAACTGTGGTTCACCTGGTTTATCCAACTTATTGCTGGGGGGCCTCACCTTGAAACCTCCTGTTTGTCGAACCTCTGAGAGAACGTAAAGAAAGCGCAAAGCCCGCAGCGATTTTTGTTGTGTCATATCGCTGGAAAGTATTGCGGTTGATGAATTTATGAGATGTGAAGTTGTGAACCCGTATTTTCACCCCATCCACCTACCAGTATCCAACCCTATCCACCCATCCACCTGATAGCTCAAGGAGCACCCCCAGATCTTCAGCTCTCCCCATCGTAGTTCCGGATGCTCGTGTAATGCAAAGCGTAAGGGTGGTGGCAAACCATCGAAAACCTGCCACAGCGATGGCAGCTGCCCATGGCTGTGCTTGGTTGTTCCTTGGGGAAAATGAAAACGGCGAGCTGTAGGGTGCCCCATGCTGCCCCTGTGTCGCCCCGAAATATCCGAGTTCTCCGACGGGCCCAACCTCCAACACAACCAATTTGGCTCGCACAGAAGTCAGGAACCTAGGCCAACGCAAGCGAATCATCCAACATCTGTAATTTTAACTATATAACACCCCCTAAATGGTCCCAAATATGTGTAAAGTCTCTACCAAACCATGGTTTCTGGGTTGTGTGCAATAACACCGACACCAATTTTATGATGTCCCATTGGGTTTACCACACTTAGGAATGGAGAGTTGCACTATTGCCATGCTCGAGTTCAGGCATGCACCATTTAGACCGTGGTGCCGGTAAAACTCCTCAGGCTGACAGGCAATGTCAATCCCGTATGATTCAAAGAAAAAACTTCATTTATTGGAGTTATATACTTCGGAAACGATGATATAAAAACGTTCATCCCGGTGAGATGCTCATGGCTTTGAAAATGGTGCCCCTCTCAAGCCGCCAGGGGACGCTCTGGCAGCATCGCAGTCTGCTCCATCTAAGTCCACCTTCCTGGGCGGGTTTCACAAAAATGTGACCTGATCCAAACATTGGTCACATTGATTGGTCACATTATGATACTATGATCATCTATGATAGTCTATGATAATCTATGATAATCTATGAATATCTATGATAGATGAAAATCATGACATGTGAATCATCTGAAATTTTTCGGAGCACCAGTGGTGATTCCGTGCAAAAAAAACTCCGTTTTGTCGAAAGGCCAAGCCACAGGACATCCAAACGGGGCATGCCATCCACTTCCCGGCGGTGGAAGAGTCTGGCGTGTCTTACGCGAGATTCGAGATCTTAGGCGGGAAACCCATTGCAAAAACCCGTTGGATCCATTGGAATTCATTGGGTTCATGCAGCTTCAGCAGCAAGAAAATGCATTTCTTCCGCAAAAAGTGGAGCGTAAAAGCAATGAAATCTGCAGGTGTCCACCAGACGGGCTATCATAATGAGGTTCTTACAGATCCGACGTAGTCTGATCACCCGTGTTAGTCCACGAGGGTTGTAACTATGCCCAGTGAAGACCTGTAATAACCCTAGTGAGAAAAAAAGATGATAACCGATATGAAAACGGTGATTGTACAGCAGTTATACCCACAAAAGTAGCGGAAGTTTACTCCCAACATCATCAATGCAAACCAAAAATGGAGAACGCACCCAAAAGACATCCAAGATCATCCAAGTATGACTGTACGACCATTAAACTCTAATTCATCATTCCCATATCTTCACCCATATTTTCACCCCACCTGGCCCATGCAGCCTCCAATCGGGAACCTCTTTCAAGATCTCGGGCATCCGCTGTTGGGACACTCGGAGGCACAACACCACCACATGCGGCAGGTTGGCACGGTGTCGGGAACAGTACCTGGCTGGCTGTCGAAGAATGATGCAAAAACTTAGGCAAAAGATGTTGAAAAAGAATGGGTGTATATTGAAAAAATATTCAGATGACTTAAAACATTGGAACAAATTGGAAATATGAAAAACCTTCGGTGAGATTTCCTGACAACACTGCAAACCTATGGATGTCAAACCTATCATCATCAAGAAAAATGCACACTGGGGGAACAAGTATCAATTTAAACCAGTAGGATAGAGACATTACAGTTGGCACATTAGTCCATGGCCGCTTGGCCAAGCCGATGCCCCTTATCCACCATCCAGTCGCCACACGAACTACTCAACTCCCTGTGGCACCCTTTCGAATCCTCATCAACTCATCAAGCCCAGGATGCTTCTCCAGGTCTCTTGCGCACCCCAAAAAAAACAGTTGACCCCATCCACACAATGACGGGCCCCTTCTACTAGTCCTGTTTCTGGGGATGACTGACTGATGACTGATACTCATTTGGGGTCACGGCCTGCCTGTAGCATGAAATTGGCTCATATCCATAATGGATCAAAACTCTGGCACCCTAGTCCGCAAACAGCTGTTTATCCCTCCCATTCCTGTGGAACAAGCATAGGTTGTGTAATTTATATCATATAATATATTCATTGAATACATTGTATAGTATAGTCCTCAATATGTATATGTATGACTACATTTATATGTATATATGGGCACTGTATTTCCCAAAATGCGGGGCTGGGTATATCAATACCAAGACACACCAAAATAGTTTCAATTTGTACTGGCAGACAAAAGCATAGAAATGAACATATTCCAAATTTTATATCCCCATTATATCCTCCTATGGTTTGATTTTATAACTTATTTAGTTGTTTAAATCTCCAATTTGAGCGTACTTTTTCAGACAAACCCTTCTATCCAGTTTTTTTTAACCCGCACAAGTTTCTGCGCGTGAGACCGCTACCCCCCCCCGTGTTGGGGGGAGTCGGCTGGGGGAAGGGGGATCGGTGTAGCGGATTTCCGCCACCAGATCGTGAAACGAGGGCGGGGGCCCACCGACGGTGTCAAGGGCGGGGAGGGGGGGATCGAGGAACGACGCCGCGAATGCGCGCTGGGTGGCGATGCCGAGGAGGGCGGCCCATCGGTGGATGTACGCCCCAACGGTCGTGGGCCGCAGCCACGGGGGGGTGCCCCGGGCTTTGGCGTGCGCGAGGGCGCGCACCAGGTCGACCGCCTCGGAGCCCCAACGGCCGCCTGTTTCGATCGCGACAACCACCAGCCGGCACCGCCTGTTGTGGGCGAACTCGGGGTAGGTGGTGGTGCGCTTTCGGGCGGTGGCGCGCTGGAGGGCATCGCCGGGGACTGTAGCGGCGTCATGGCGGGCTTCGCCGTCACGCCCGACCGGGCTGGTCAGGGTAGCGTCAACGGCCAGCTGGGCACCGTGCCATAAGGGGAGCCCCTGCGCCAGTACTTCAATTTGGCGTCCGTCAGCGACGGGAGGGGCCAGGTTCATGTGGCTGAGGGGCACGTTGACGCTGACCCGGGCCCCGGCCTCCCGGAAGACGCGGGCTAGGGCGCGTTCCATCGGGGCCGCGCGAACACGGAGGTGTCCGGAGGTAGGGCACGCGGCCCGGTGATCGCCGTGCGGGTCAAGGGCGCCGCCGCAGCTGCATCGGGCCGGGGCCGGGTCCAGGGGGAGGCGCAGCCGCCGTTGCAGTAGGATGCGGAAGTGGGGGTTGTCGAGGGTGTATTCTGGGGTTGTGGGTGCCGTCGTGAAGGGAACGGCAGCGTGGACAAGAGCAGCGCGCGCTCGTGGGCAGGGTAGGTTGGTAAGAGCGCTTCGAACTGGGCTTGGTCGCAGGCTAGGCTGGCGGCCTGTTGCCATCCGGGTTGGTTTCCCGGGGCGCGGGTGGTCGTGGGGGAGGGCCCGGGGGTGCCGGCGAGCAGGGCAGCCCAGGGCGGGGGCTCGAACCCGGCGCGGCGCAAGTGGGTAGCGGCGTGTGTGGCGTCGGTGACGGAAGGGGGGCGGGCGCGGCTTCCCCCCATCAAGAGTTGGGCGACGCGGTCGGCGACGGGGGGCCAGTGTTGGCGCAAGGCGGGCAAGGTGTCTGCCCAACTTGCCCAATACGCGGCCGCCCGGTGTGCGCTGGCGCTTCGGAGGCCCAAACCTCCCATGTGGAGGGGAAGGGATGCTCGGTCGCGGGCGCCTGGGGGGAGCCGGGTCGCCTCTCCCAGGAGGGCTTGGAGACACCCTAAAACTGCTTCATCGTGGCCCCGGGCGAACTCTTCCGTGTGGTCGGGGCTCAAGGCGCGGAAGAGGTGGTTGGTCCGCGGGGCAGCGCAATAGAGGAGGATGGGACTGTTGGGATGGCGGCAAGCAGTCGGTCGTGGTCCTGGCGGACAGCGGACAGGTGGGCCGCAATATACTCGTCCGTGCCAATGGGCGCGCCAAGAACGATGACCCCTTGCTGCTCGAGGGGGAGGGTCCAGTCACCAACCCAAATGGGGGGGGTGTTGGGGGCAGGCTCGGGCCAGCCAGGCGGTGGGGTGCCATCCGCATTCCAGATGCGTGTCTTGCCATGGTTCAGCGAGACATTGGCTTCTTGTTGGAGGGCTTGCTGCAGCCGTTCATAAAGGGGGCGGGTGCGGGCTGCAGGGCAGAGGAGGTAGACATCGTCGAGATAAGCCAAGACGGCCTCACCAGGCTGGAGCGCTTGGTGGGTCTGGTGGAGGGCGGGGGCGACCGCGGCGGCGAACAGGCCTGGCATGAGGGGGTCTCCCTGTTCGCCCCCTTCGTGCTGGAGAATGCGGTGAGCAGTGCCGCTGGCATCATACCAAATGTATTCCGAAGGCGTGCTGTAGAACTGGCGCACGAAGGGAAGCAAGGGGTGGAGCCCGGCGTCCCTCTGGAGGCCGTGGAGGATCGCCTGTCGGGCGACATGATCATACGCGCCGACGCCATCAACGGAGAGGACGCACAGGGACGGCTCGATTTCTGTCGCGACGCGCACGGCTCTTGTGAGCGCTTCGCCGCCCGCCCGTGTAGACAGGGCGAACTGGTGGGGGGCCGTGGCCGCTTGGAATTGGGGGCTGAATTGTTGGGCGAGGGTGCGGGCGACGAGGCGGCGGAAGACGTCGCCGAGTACGAGGCCTCGGACGCGACCATTTGGTTTTTGAAGCGCAACGAGTCGCCCCAGCCGGATCGCGGGCAGGATGGAAGCTGGCACGGCCGCCGTGGTGAGGAGGTGCGCGGCGTGGGCGAGGTGGCGGCAATCTTCATCACACGAGAGAAGGACGCGGAGATGCTCCACGGTCATGCCGGATGGGCCAGGGGCTGCGCCGCGCCGCCCTGTGCGGAGATTTTTTAGGAACCGCGCTTCATCCAGACGGGCCAGGGACTCCGGGTCGTTGCGGAGGAGGGCGGGGTCAATGGGGACCTCAGGTGCTTGGGGCCGGTGCGCAGGGTTGCGCAACTCGGCCAGGGTTGCGGGGGTGAGGGGGGCAAGGGGCCCAGCGGTGAGGGCTGTGCGGGCCGCTGACAATTCTCCTTGGTGGACCAAGCGCTCGGCCCTGGCGGCCCGGGCGGCCGGGCCGGGGTCGCCGGGGCTTCTGTGGTTGGCGGGGGAGGGGGGGGCGGCGTCGTGCAACAGCCGGACCCAATCGCCGGCTCGGAACTGTGCAGCTCGGCGGTCCAACTCTTCGGGTGGGAGGGTGGCGCCGGGGGTGCCTTGGTGCAGTAGCATCCGGGGTGCTAGTAGGAACAATTTCCAGCCGCGGCATTGTTCCGCCCCGGAGGAGGGGTGGGTGACGCCAGCGAGGGCAAGCCGCAGTGCTTGCTGGAAGGTGGGTTGGAGCCGGCGTGGGACGGACTGGAAAAGGAAGGCACGTTGGCGTAAAACGGGCAGAAGGTCGATGCCATCCAGCGCGGTCCAGCCGGAAGGTTCCGGGGGCGGGGGCATCGGCGGCGGGGGCGGGGCGGGGGTGTGGAATCGGGCCGGGCGTTGGGAAGGCTGGCGGCGGGCGGGGTGAAGAAGAGCGCACCCGGCCGCCGCGAGGGCCACGGCGGGCGGGGGCACGGGAGGAGGTGTTGGGAGCGGGGGCTGGCGCGGGGGAGGGCAAGGGATCGGCATAGGCGGGAGGCCGGGGGCGGAACGTGTTGGAAGCTTGGTCCAGAGATACCGCGAGGGACAATCCGGCATACAGTTGGAGGCACACTTCCTGGGCAGGCGCGCTGAAATATCCGTCAGGGTGCATCAGCCGGTGGAGGACCCACGGGAGGTGGACTTGCGCGCCGGGGGGTAAACCGGCGGCCGCCGCTGCCAAGGCAGCCCTGGCAATGGCAGCGTCGTGGTGGGGGGACAGGTCGAGGGCATTCAGGATTGCCGGCACGGGCACGGGCCCGGCGGTGTGGAGTGCGATGCGGGCGCGGTCCCACCAATCGTCACATAAGCAGTGTTGTTGCCACGCCCGGAGCGCTGCTGGAGTAAGGGCTCCGGTGCCGGCATGTAGCAAGGGGACGTAGAGCCACGAATTCGCATCTGTGGTGACGGGGCCGGCGGGGGGCCCGCGGTCTTGCCAGGTGGCTGTCGGTGTGGTTCGGGGTGGGGTCGGGGTGGGAATGGGGGAAAATGGGGCGGGGGGGGGGGGCTCGGGTTCGGGGGGTTCGGAATCTTGGAAAGGGTTGAGCGCCGCTTGGTGGCACCGTTGGGACAAGGAATCATGTAGGGTTGTGAGCCAGGGGGCGCGGCATTGAGGGCAGCGGGGGGGAGCTGCACGTGCGCGGACGCGTGCGAGGCACGAGAAGTGGAGCCAATGGCCACACCCCGGCCACGCGGTGGGGCGGTGCCGGCGCGGCCCCGTACCTGAGACGGGGGTCAGGCACACGGAGCAAGCAGTCCCGTGGGCGGGGAACGGGGCATCGGTGTCGCTGATGAGGATAGGGGCGGGTTGGCCGGCGGGAGTGGCAACCGGCGCGCGGGGGACCAGGGGCCCGACGGGGCGGGGACTCGGGTGGGTCTGGGCACGGGAAGTGGTGGGAGAGGTCGACATCCACAGGGGTGCGGCTTTGAGAGGAGGCCGCGCAAGTGGTCGGGCTGGGACGGGCGGCTGGGGCGGCGCCCGTAAGTCGAAAACCCGGAACGTATGAACTCCGCACTTCCCTCCGGCCCCGTCCGGCCTGCGCGGTGGTGGGCACCCGCAGCTGCCGGAGGAGAAGCCGCCAGGGGCGCCGCGCCCGCAGCCGGTTTTTTTTTTGGTTTTTGTTTGTTGGTGCTTTCCTCTCGGGGTGGGAAAGCGGAGGCGCTGCTTGTAAAGGGGAGCGCGCTCTCCGGGCGGGGGAGAAGGGGGGCGGGGCGCCTAGCTTGCTGCCTTGAAATGAGGTGGCGCAAGCGAAGGGGTGCCCCCCGGCTAGAGGCCGCGGAAAGGGGAAGGGGCGGGGGTGACGGGGCGGCCAAAAGGGTTGGGTGCGGGTGGGGCAGAAGGGGCAAAGGGGGAAGTGCTGAGGATAGGTGCACGGGGTGCCGCAGCGCTGGTCAACGGCGGGTTGGGGCGGACAAGGAAAGCCGCGCGTGGCGGGGCCACCGGAGCGCGAGGGGCCGGGTGCGGCAAAAGGGGCGGGGTCCGGCCGGGCAGCAGGGGCCGCGGCGCGGGCGTGGGCGGGAATGCGGAAGCGGGGCGGCGCGGATCGGGGCGCGGGGAAGGGAAGGGACCGGGACCGGCTATCCGGGGTGGTGGGCGGCGCTGGGGGAGTAGGGGAGCGCCTGCGGCCAGGCGCCGGGGAGACGCTGGGGGAGGATGCTGTCCGGGGGCGGAGGTGGGCTGGGGCGCTGCGGGAAGGGGTCCGGGAAGGGTGGCGGGCGGGAGCCGGCGGGGGGGAGGGGGAAGAGCTGCGGAAAAAGCGGGGCTGGGGGAGCCGGGGGGAGAGGTGGCAGCGGGGGGGGTGGCGGCGGGTAGGGGGGAGACGGAGCCACCTACCCTGAGCCAGGCGGCCAGGGGGAAGGTGACGGTGGCCCCGTCGCAGGCGGCGGGGAAGGTAATCCCACGCAGGCCAAGGAGGATGGGGTCGGGGGGCCATGCGCGGGGAGCAACAAGCCAGAATGAGCCCTCTATCCAGTTGTATCCCCACTATATCCCCACTTAAATGGTTCTTTCACCCATGTGAAATATCCATCAATATCAAATAAACTGGCTGATTCCGGATGGGGTCCCCCCAAACAGTTATCATTGGCTACTAATACACACACAGAGACCCCACATTAAACAGCCTGGGGCTTCATTCATCAGAAGTTTACATTATATAATATCAATCAATATCAATGAATATCATATGCCTCCTACATATGTGGAAAACCCACCATTTGTAAACTTAAATGTTCCTAAGGAAGCCATTGGTTTTGATGGGTTTTCCACATCGAACAGTTCCCAGTCCCGCGAGGGCTCGAGGGCGCTCAGGATCCATCTCCACCGCCAGCGCGAACTCCACGTGCCGCGGGTCCCGCAGCAAGAACTGCAGCGGGTCGTCCGCGAGGCCGTCGCGAGCGCCAAGGTTCACGAAGGAATCCTCGGAGATTTCAGGGGCAAACTTAGGCAACTTAGCTGACAATCAATGGAGATTTCAGGAAGATTTCAGATTTGGGATTCGGATTTATAAGTCATAAAGAATGGGGATTTCATCGGGGTTTTATGGTGATTTCATGGGATTTCATGGATTTCTGATGGGGAACTAGAAAAGATAGTGGCTGTGAAATGATTTTGGCGGAGGTTTATTTTTGGGAAGGGTTGTAACCTGGCAATCTTACCGATACCCGCATGAGTCGGGATATAAGCCTGAAAATTATGGCAACGTCGACATACCCCCTTATTAATGATCTGGCTAGCGACTAGAAAGCATAGTGAACTAAGGGTTCTCCGGGGAGCGGGGGACTGGCCGACAATGCTTCCGGACTCACTCCCTGACGGCTCCGCCAAACTATTCTGACACTGCTGCTGAGCATCAAAGGGTTCATTTCCGCGTTCCATCCACCTGCACACAGAACACAGAGCAGTAAAGAGTAACGACAAACCAATGGCTCAACCTGGCTCATCTTGGCACGCACATCGGAATGGATCAAAGTTGGTCATTATGGTTACCACTAGATTCGTTGAACCATTCATTGTGGTGGGATGATGATAATTTGGACCCATACTCAGATGGCACCAAAAGGCACACATTTCTAGATGTAGGAGGACGTTGCTTCGTGCGCATGGACATGGACCATTTTCCACCATTTCGCACTGGTTGTTGCCAATTCATTCGCAATCATCAAAACATAAAACCGTTTTGCAGCCCCAACGGGTTCCCAACCTTTCCCAGAATTACCACATCACTTCGCTCCACCTTAATATCCTTAATGAAAATAAAGGAAACTGTCAGAAACCAGGAGATCCATTGTTTTTCATAGAAAACTCCCAGCCATTTTTCCCATGTTCCCCACCTTCCCAGCCCCCTTTCCCTAGCCTCAGCGCCAACCACGGCAGCGCCGTGGTATCCGCCATGGCCTTGGCCTGGGCCGCCTCCGGCTGCCCGCAGACGGCTCCACGCTTCGCAACCCGGGGCCGGGCCGCCAGGCTGGCGAGGAACTGGTTCCTGAAGGCGAAAAGAAAGCGCCTTCAGCGTTTCAATCTGGAGTTTGGGTGTTGGGTAGTTGTTCATTGTTCACGAATCTTAATGCAAATATATTCCCTTCTGAGTCTCATAACAAGCTCACACATTGGATCCGGCTCTAGCGCCTGTGCAAGGTGTAGTGCGAGTACTCCCACAACGCTTGCGGAGTCACCTCCATGCGAAGACTTGACGGTTCTCCCATTCACTACCCTACCCAACCTGCCTGGGAAAGTAGCTACAGCCATTTGAAGGTGTTCGCAATTCCCAACGCAGGACTTGTGTGGCTTCCGCCCGGAAGCCAACATCAATTGGGATCATTAAATGTGTACAGGATTAAAAATCCAAATCAAAACACGTCTACCAGGCGCCAAGTTGTTTCAGTTGCTTCTCTAGCCCCTGCATGCCCATGCCTCGGCATACTCATGGAACAGGCGGTGGTAAAAAATTGGTACCTCCTTAGACGGGCAGGTGATGAAAATTCGTAGGCAGCTGCTACATGGGGCAACCGACTGGTAGACTCTGCTATGAACAATAGCCCCGCTTGTAGATAGGATCATCATCTGACAGGTCTCGCGTCCTTTCAAGGCCCCGCAAAGGCTGAACGGATCTCAAGTCAGAACTTCACCGTCTCTTTGGCAGAACATATGGCTATGGATCGAAAATTCAGGCACCCTCTAGTTCAAATCAGCATAATCTTCAAATCAAAATAACTAGCAAATTATGGGCCTTCATCCGCCGGTTCCTATGGAAAATCAAAGGTGTTGCCATCTACGCCTTTATTTCCTATCTTTTTGAAGCTTGTAGCCCATGTTTGTAGACTTTGACCCGTCCCCTGAAAAAAACCATGGCAGGTGGGGGGGAAATCACCGATCAGTTGCCAAGTCTCTTCATCATGGCTGTTCACACGGACCAAATCCATCAGGATTGGGCTAGTGGTGGCCTTCCTGGTGGTTTTTTTTGCGCCAATCAGACTTGGACAAATATAAGGATAATGATGAACCAGGAATTAGAATGGCATGGAATAGAAGTATGATAGAATCGAGAAAATGAAGTGAATGTCAAATTCACGTATCATCCAAGTTGGCGCAGAAAACCGGCCAATGTTTGAAACCACCAACCCAATAATTATGGAAGTTAAACAAACCAAAGTAGTAATAAGGATTTCTTGATGGCAACCATATACACATACACAATGCGGACCCCTGATTAACAAATCCTGGGGTTGCCCCCAAGACAGTGACAGTGTGCTGCCCTAGTAAACAGCCAAGGGGTTGCTAATCGGGAGTTGAAATTGCATACATATGCATGCATGCATGCATGCATGCATGCATATAGAATGCAGCCATGCAAACACTCTTTTCAATGAGAATAGAGCAAAGATTTTGCTAGACCAAGCACTGTAGGGCCATTATGGGCAAAACTGTCATGATTTTAACTACCTGGTAGCTAAGCAACAGGGGCACCCAAAACTTTTGACAACTTGGGTTCCAACAATCCCGATGAATTATGGAAAAGTAACAAACAACATTTGAAGTCACTAATCCCTGAAACACTTGTGCACGTGCCAGGAGTTACCTTATTTACCTCACCTGGGTGAAAAAATGGGCGCTGACAACAGGACAAGCTCTGCCAAGGCTCATCGACAGGGCAGGCCCCGTTTCATCCCCTAAAAAGCCCAAGGCATCCAACTCCTGGGGGCGAGGGATGACCCAGGCGGATCAGGGGGCGACTTCCTGATGTCTGGGACAACCTGACTTTCATGTATACACATACATCTGCAAATGCGCGTGCATATGTATATTATATTATCTATTATGTACATATACATACACATGTGTCTCTGTGTGTGTGTGGTACGCTACAAATGCATGCATTAACTGCTGGCTGAGCCAAGACACCTCCTCCAACTTTGGGCCAAGGATGTGGAAGTTCCCCCAGGAGAAGAGGCATTCTGCCTCTGTTTCAGCCTTGGAAGAGACCAGGCCAACTTAGCAGTTGGCCTGGGGTTTCGGCTTCTGCATGGCCATAAAATGGAAGATATATCATTCATATATATATATATATATTAGCACTAGTATTATTATTGCTATTATTATTACTATTGTTATTATTATATTATAAATATGTATATATATATATTATATAACGTTATATTATTTATATATATATGTATGTATATATTATTGTATTATATTATATTATATTGTATTATATTATATATAAATAATACACCAATAAATAAATGTATTAAATAAATATATTATATATATATTAAGTAAATATATATTATATATTAAATAAATATATATTATATATTAAATAAATATATACTATATATTCAATAAATATATATTATATATTATATACCATATATTTTATATTATATTGTATATTAAATATTAAGCATTAAATATTGAATATGATACATACTATATTTTATATATTATGTATTATTTTATATGTACATATGTATAAATATAAATATCTTATTGTAAATATATATATATTACATTAAACATATTATTATATTTTACATATATATACATATTAGTATATAAGAAATTATGTATATATCATATGATCTATATTGGATGCCTTCAAGTAGGCTCTTCCCAACAAGAATCGACACCGGGCCCTGCCATGTCAAGCAACGCACGGATCCAACTGGTGGAGTTTGCCGTTCCTCAGAGGTCTTCGTGCTTGGGTCTATGGCTAACTATTTACAAGCTTTACACGTACTGTATTATATGTATGTGCATATATATATATATATATACATATGTTATATATATATATGTATATATTATATAATACACATTAGCCTAGAAGGAGGAGCAAACACACCTCCAATCTTTACTTGGAAAACTATATAGATCTTCCTTTTTAGATTCCATCATGTGTTGCCCAAAGTTAAGCAACACAAAGCAACCCTGATGCTAGCGTTTTCCCAATATCCAAATCACAGTCCCGTGCAAATCATCCAAGTTTCAGGGAGAAGGATCTGGGTGGAAGGAGAAAACCATAGAAACCACTAGGGCTGGTCTCCTGTCTGCAGCATTTCCCACCAATCGCATCAGCCAGCTCAAAACCTCGGCCATTCACCTACCCCATGGTTGTTCCAGCGTAGGCTACAGAAGGGTGCCCACAAAAAGAAGAACGTTGGAGGTGATAGTTCAACCATACATTATAAATTAGTATCAATTAGTTCCCTCATAGATTCATGGTGTCCAACCTTCCTAAGCTAAACACCTGAGGCCATTGCAGGAGTGGCTGTCTGGTTGGCAACATCTCTGGAGCCTCAGAGGTTGAAGGCATGGCGTGAATGACAATATGATTACTACGATCATACTATCCGAAACGAAATATCTGTTTTATATGAAGAAGTCTGAGAAAGAACAACGACCGTCTTTGGATGCTGATAGCAGGGTCTGACATAGTGCAAGTTGGTGGCAGCGAATCGCATCCCAACGGGCCAAGTGGCAAATCCTTTGGCTCCATATCTGTCAGCAAGGCGCACCACTCCAGCATTGGCAAACCATGCTGAACCTTCCATCCTGTGGTTGGCTCCCAAGCGGCAAGTCCACTAGATCTCTATGTGCCATGGTCCAACTAAATGGTAGATGGCTTATGGTCATCCGGCTCATGGGCAGAATCCTTCCAGAACTAAATCCCTGTCAATGGAATTCATGACCATCCTCCAATGTTTGGACAATTTTGGACATACCCACCTCACCAAAAAGGACAAGAAGGACCACGCTGGACGCACCTTCCTCTGCAATGGCACTGACCAGCCATGACAGTGCCGCAGCCCTGGTGGCCATGGCGTGCCAGGGTCATCCTGAAGCGGGACCGAAACCTTCAATGGATTTGAAGGATTTTGGAGGGAAATGCTGCAGGAAACTGCACTTTTTTTCAAAGATGAGGGGTTCCTATAAATTTTCCCTTCAACCAAGTCTTAGATTCCTCCAGACATGCTGGTTGATATTGCTGCAACAACAGGCCCAGTGCCACATCTTTTGATGAAGTGGGTGGTGTACAACTAGCAGTTGGTTGGGACTGTAGACAAGCCAGATTGATCTGCTTGCAATTATTCTACCATGATGTTCTGCATGATCCAATGGCGGAGTTGATCCACTGGCAAAATCTACAGCCCACTTGCTGTCTAATGAGTCTAATGTGGAGGTGCCGGTGCACCCTTAAGCTTGAGCAGAAAAAGTCATTGCAGACTGATCCAGCCACTACGCACATCAGGCATTGCTCCAGGAATGTCCTGCCCCACAACTTTGTTTCCTAATATTGTTTTTGGTCAGCCACTTCATTTGATCTGTTTGGTGCACCCAAAATCGGGAGACACGAGCCAGGCTGAACTGCGAGAAGGGCGCTAATTGCGAGAAGGGCATCAATTGCGATTTCTTCTGCCATCGAGGCCCATTACCTTCATATTGGGGGGTGGTTGATTCTCGATCGGTTTTGGAGCACAGTCCCAAGCACCCCTTTTCTCCGGTTCCGGAGCCATTCCACACGGGCCATGCGAGGGCCACGGCGGGACCCTTTTCGCATTCAGCGATCCTTGCTTTTGCCTTTGCCTTCAGGGCCCGTAGCCGGTGGTAAGCAGCTAATGGCTGAAAGCTTCCTTAGCCACTGGACGGCTAAATCTTTGCGCTCCCCCATCAAGTAGTTACATCCCCCATAATTTACTCCTGAAATCCGTGAAAAACACCAGGGAGCCCATAAGCTATGGCTGACAACTTCACCCAGCCTTTTTTTCCTTTGCCCTTCCCCTGCGCAGCCAGGCTGTCAATTGATACGAACACATTCTACGTGTCCAAATTCCATGCAAGCTCAGCACAAGCTCGGTTAACTTTTTTGGGGTGGGCTATTGTGAGTTGGCCTAAGGTGGCTAGAACTGCATTGCTTGACTAGATAGATCAACTTTCCTGGCACAAGCACTTGAAGTGGCCCCCACAATCAACAGCAAAAGCAATGCTCTGTTGCACTGTTTCCTAGCTCTTGCGGAGGGAAGGGCTTAGGAACTTCACTACCAACTAGCCATTCGCCATCCATCTGATTCCACTGAACACATGTCATGAGGACGCCTTGGATTTGCCTCTACCGTCCTGCACGGAAGGAGTGCAAAAGGCTTCCGGATGGCACGGAAAAGGGAGACATCCCAAGTTTGGTGCCAAATCAAATTAATCAAATGGAAAGGAAAAAAAGACTTCAATCTGTCCAATCTTTGGCAGTCCTTCCCCTTGCCCTTCTTTCCTTTGCCTTTGCCTTTCGAGCTTCCCTGGCGTTGGGTTCATACTGTCCGCACCACCGGTTGGGATCCCTCACACCCAAACTCCCGTGCCTTTTGCTGCAACCATGCTATTGCAGCCTGGGAGCACCCGGGATGTACTGGAGATCTAAAGAAATTCCAATGTGGAAAGGACAGAAATATCCATAGACTATCATAGGTTATCTAGAAATATTCATAAACCATCCAATTATCTACACATACTACCCGTAAATTCTGGTTTCTCATTATCTCTAAATAAGCCTGACTCTTTGAATCTTTGGAAATGTCAAGCACAATCTCCTTAAGCTTCCTGCCAGCTTCAGGAGTTCCTCCTGTCCAAAACGGCCCACTCCCGTGAGTTGGATCACCCCATGTCCCATACCCCGTCATATTAAACACCCCCAATTTATGGTCCCAAATATGTGTATACACATTTTAGTGTGTATATATATGTATATCTCTCAATATACATACATACATACATACATACATACATACATACATACACAGACATACATACGTACGTACGTACGTACGTACGTACATATATATATATATAACCCCCGCTAAACAATCGTGTACGGATGGTGTTTAATATTAGGGCGGGGTAATCACGATAGGTGATGGACTCACATGTCTCGCTGCAGCAGGAAGGCATCGGTTTTGCGAAATCCTCTCCTCCTCATCCCCGCTGACCTGTCGCACTGGCAATCCTTGGTGAACTCTGACACCATGCATCTGATAAGAATGTGCGGTCTGAAAATAGTGCACCCCTAAAATCCTATGATTAATCACCATGTTCTCCTTTAAAATTGCCATATATGGCCATGTTGCGGGTTTACCTCCTTTTCAATCACCCATATGGCGCTTCAGACATGCTAAGTAGGGCACTGAAGGTGACAGATTCTCTCACGGAATCGTCATCCTTTGGCCGGTGTCACCAAGTGGACGATACTCAGAATGCTGCTTTAAACGGCACTAACCACTATTAACTCGTATTTAACCACTATTAACCACTATATGGCCACCATTATAACCACTATTGACCATCATTAAACACTACTAACCATCATTCAGCCCCGCCTCTCCGGGGCCAAGAGCCTGAACCAGTGTACAACGTTTGGGGATTTTGGCGAAAACATATTGATTTTTATGGAGTGAATGGATGATGGGATCATGATCTATACATCTACACGTATATATATATATATATAATTATACATATATATATATATATATTAGTTTTTTTAAAGTCTCGTAAACATATTTTGGTTATCTAGCGTACGTGTAGTGACGAGTGACATGAACGGGGGTATGAACGTGTGTGTGAACGATATGCGTGCGAGTGAACGTACGTGCGAACGTATGTATGTACGAGTGAGCGTACGTGCGAGCGAACGTGTGAGCGTACGTCCGTGCGTGTGCACGGTCACTCGCCACGCGCGCGCGCGCGCACGTACGAAAATAAGGTCGACTTGAGTCGACCTTATTTTTGCACGACCCTGCCTCTTTGGTATTGATTTAGTATTGTAGCGCTTTGCACGTACAGAAATAAGGTCGACTCCAGTCGACCTTATTTTCGTACGTGCGCGCGCGCGCGGCCAGTGAACGTGCAAACGCACGCACGTACGCGCACACGTCCGTCCACTTGTACGCGCACGTCCGTTCACTCGTTCGCTCACACGTGCACTCGTCCGTTCACTCGTTCGCCTCACGTTCGTCACCACGTCCGTTAGCCACTCGTACCCCCTACGTTCACCGCGTCTCTTGGAGCTTTAAAAGCATTGTTTACGAGGCTTTAAAAAAAGCTAATATATATATATATATATTAATATATATATTTGTGTATATATATCCGCGTGTGCATGTGCACATGTACATGTGTATGTATGCGAACGTGTGTTAATGTAATTGTTGCAAACAATGAGTGTGTCAAGGTTGAAATCCAAGACCAGCTGCCTCTTTCATCGGCTCAGAAGCATTTTAATCAAGAACTCGCATTGCTCTTTGTTTTCCACATCTGATGGGTTTTGCTCTGTGAAACAAAGCTGCATCAATGATTTGGGCAGCGTTGATTGGCCAAACTCCCATCTTCCCTGCATCACCAAAGCTGCGGCCAAAGGGATTCTGGAATCTTCGTCTCCTTGAAGAAAATGGCTCTGTCAAGAATGGTTTGAAACGACCTGCAGAGGTGGTCTATTCGGCTTCGGGTTTCGTCAGAAAGTCTTCTATGGTAAGTTGAAATCGCACTCTCCTGCAGGTAAATCTCAAGCACTCTGGTTGAAAGCCACCTTCCTTTACGCCGGACAAATTCTGAGTCTTCAGTTGCTTGAAGCCAGAACGTGGCTCCACCTGGACGTAAGTAGCTGAGCGAGTAGATATGGCTGCCATCATGTCGTAAGGCCAGGCCAAGTGCTGAAAGCAACGTCGCAAATCTCCTCCTCAGGGTAGACGGTGAATGGTGCCACAGGAATTCAGTCGGTGTCAGCCTGCCGAAAATGGCCTCAAGTAGACAAACCACATCTTCGGGGTCAATTCGGCTTGACTGATGGCGGGCGGCCCGCCCTCGAGTTTTGGGGGATCTGATAAGCAGCAGAGCGTACCAGACCCCTGGTGCTGAATCCAGCGCTAGGATCAGATCCTGTCTCGTAGCGGCAATCACCTCGCCTACTCGAAGGACGCCTGTCCAGGCTAGTGCTATGATCGCAGCCTCGCGTGTCCACCCCCACAAAAGCGCCAAGGCCACTGTGGATAGCATGATGGAAATGGGCATTGCAGCATGGTGTTCATGTGGCTCGTCAACAACCCAGTTGAAGGCAAGATCCCAAGCTGCACTGACACGTCTGCGCAGCATGGGTCTTTTCGCAGTCAAAGCATTGATTGTCTCACTGTATCGACCGTAGGATTTAAGCCAGCTTGGTACATGCCCTTTCCGTACGCAACCAAAGCATCTGTGATTGTCTCAGCATCTATGTTTTCCCTGTCAATCAGTGTTTCCAGCGTAGTCCTCATGTTGGAGGAAATCCAAGAATCAAATGCAGCTAGCAGCACCTCACGCCTGTCCCTCGTTTGCTGGGGACAACTCGATCAGCTTGCAGAACCGTTCCAGATCTACGTACTGCGCGGGCTGCTTCTTCAGCTCCATGTGGTGCGAGTGGCATGGCATGGGCATGGCAAACTAGACTGCAAATAACGAGACCTTGAAAAATCCTAAAGCAACCTCTACGGGCACTACGCTGGAAACGACCTCTACAACCTTCTCCCCTGGAGGCAAGATGAGAAGTCCAAATCCAAGATGGTGAGGGCTTTGGGACAGTGATCAGGACAAATCCAAGAACGAGAAAAAAGAATGACGGAGACAAGAAAAATCCAAAATCCAAAAGAGTGGGTGGCAGAATCAGGCTGGCAGCGCTCACCAGGGCAGAGACAAAAAGTGGCAAGGATGTAAAGCCGAATCCATCCTGCCGCAGCTCTGGAGAACTGATGGGCGTGGAGCTCAGAAATCTGCCGTGCTGAAAGAAAGTCAATGATGGAGTGTACTGCTGAAGCTGGGAGGGATCTGTCTCGAGTCGGGGCATCAGCTGTGTTCAACCTAGTAGGAGCAAATCCATAAGCTGGGTAGAGCCCACCTGCAATCGTGTATGCGCATCCCCGACAAACAGGTGGTCTTAGGGCCTTTGCTGAAGATCTGCCCTTTCCATGCGCCCCTTTTGCAACCCTGCTGTCAAGCAATGCGGTGAACCGGATATTGCCCCATCAAGGACTAACTTCTTGAAGAGCGCGACAAGTGATCGGCTCTCGAGGACGTTGATGTGAGCAGGCTTTTGCCATCAAGTCCATTCTGCTTCAACCTCCCAATCGCCCTGCTGCAGGATGTCATTCAAGACGACGCTTTCAAATGCGACCTCACATATGTCGCTCTCATGCTTGCTACTTTGCAGCGCCTGCTTGAATTTCTCAGCAATGAATTTTGCCAGCTCAGGGTGGTACACGGCTGAAGGTTTTGTGTACTTCCCTTCAATTCGTACATGCTCATGGCCCCCAGGACATGGGATGTTCATGCTCTCAATGTCCAAGCCCCAAGCCAAAAGTCGAAAGGGTTTCTTGTGGATGCTGCCGTACGCACAAGAGTTGATGATGGCCTCGGCAAACCCAATCTGCAGCAAGAATCGCCAAAACGACAGCCAAGCCATCTTTGAAAGTTGAGGCTGTTCAAGAAGGGCAAGAGCATAGCATCTCCAAGCAAACCATTTGATCGCCAAGCATCTGGAGGCGAGTGTGTTTCCAAGCAAAGTCTTGGGCTCAGCTCTGTCGAACCCAAGCGGCTGAGAGTACGATCTGGAGGCAGGGTGTTGAGCAGGAGAGAAGGTGGTGCAAACAGGCTCACAGACTATGCTCTTGAAGCGTTTCTCATGCAGCATCTGGAAGATCCATTCAACCAACTTGACATTGGTCAGATCATAGTGCCGGCTGCTCGACAGATCAATAGGGGGGCAGACGATCAGCCCCTGATGTGTCATGGCCTCTGACAGCACGCCGGATCCTCCACATATCTCCACACAGTCAAAGTAGAAGCCAAGCGCTTTCGGAGGCCCTTGAAAATCCTCAGCAATGGGCTGGTCATCAACATCAACACCAAGAGCCCGCAGCTGCTGTCTGGCGGAGTTGTCAAGGAGGGTGTAGGCCCCTTTTCGGTCACCTCCCAACCATGCAATCTCAGCAACGGCCTCATCCACACGTTTGGAGGTCACAGCGCCTTTGTTGTTGGAGGCACCTGTGGCAAAAATCTGTTTGCTGTAGGGGACAGAGATATCTGTGACTGCAGTAAGTCCAAGCACGCTCGCAAGCACAAGTTCGTCCCCGGTAGCCCTTGTCAAGGGGAAAACTTCACCGGCATCTTGTGAGAACCTTGGCCCAAGAGAGAAGATTTCTGAAAGTACGCAGCTGCAAGTTCTTCGGTACATGAAGATGGAAATCCAATTCCCAGCAATCCTAGATGCCAAAGCTCTCGACAAAAAGGGAAGTGCAGCAGCTTTGAGAGAAAGCGCTATCATTGGGACCCTTTTCGCACAGGGGGCAGCAACTGTCACAACACCTGCTGCCCTGGCTTTGTGATCGGAGAAAGCCTCTGTATCGCGCACTGTCTTTTCTGGAGGTCCAAAAACTCCTGAAGCCTTGTAGGTCTCCTCTGCGAGATCAAGGCACTGTACTGCAACGGATTCCTCGCTTTTCTTGCCACCTTCTTCACAAGAAACTGCAAAATAGTCATCAATGACTAGCCCCTGCCAGAGTTGGCCTCTTGGAAAAACATGGTGCCGTAGGATGGTTGTGCAAGGATCAAGCAGTCCATTGGATCTCAAGAGGTTGGCATGGCTGGAGAGCGCGAACTCAACGCCCAAATGATCTCCTTGGAAGAGGGACCTGAATCCTGCCCAAACAGTCTTGATGTCCTTCTCACACAAGATTGATCTGGGTCGCATGCCATACCTATCTCCATCTCGCTCTCGGCTTCTGGGCCTGGAAACTTCCAAAACAAGCTCCTGCAGGGCTGCGCTCCCTCTGAACTGCTCAACCTCAAAGGAAAAGGGAAGGATGTTCGTGTCTGCCCTCTCTCTTGTAACCAAACTCTGATGGTAGAAGTTTTTCCTATCAGAGGCGAAGCCAATCAAACGCTTTCCTTCTGGGCAGTGAATGGAGGCAATGCTACGCCCAACAGGCAGAAATTTGGAAGGCCCCTGCAAATGGCGCTCGGTTGAATTGAACCAGCGCCTGTCTCCAATCTGGCGATCAGCCGACTCGTTCTTGCGCGCATTGAAGACTCTGCAGGCAAGTTGAGATGGATGCTGATGATCAAAAAGCGCTAGTAAACCTCTGGAGTCCCACACTCTCGCCAAAGCCAGGTTCTCCTCCTTCTTCTCTTTCTTAAAGTCTGGTCCATCACTGAAGCTCATCAGTGGATGCCTCAAAATCGCAGGCTCAAGGAATGGCAGCGACAAAGTATCCTCAAGGTAATCAGCCATTGGCCATTTGCCAGTTCCAGAAAGCTTCAAGCGTTGCACGTTGAGGCTGCGATAAGGTTGAACCGATGAGAATTCAGCAGTTGACTGAAACTGATGCTCCTTCTCAATGCGACCACAGGGTGCAAGTGGAGCCAGCATAGAGGTCTGGGCAAAATGCTTCATGGGAGCCGGCAAAATGCTCAAGCTCAACAAGTCTTGCAATGAATTCAGCGCCAGATCGCCAGGAATGATTGGGAACTGCTCCGGCCTATCACACACAGTCAGTAGAGGCCTCAGTGTGTCACAGATAGCCAGGTGAACAGGACTGGGTCTCCTCCCAAGCTGAGTAATGGGAACAAATGTCATGCCGCTGTGGATGTAATTCAAGGCCATCACAACGACATGAAGCGCCCGCTTGATGCAAAGTCGAGACCATCGTCGGGCACTCAGCCTGGGGCCAACCTGCGAGTCAAAAAGTTCAAGTTCAGGTGCAGGTATAGGAAAGACTGTGGAAGCAGGGCAGGTGCCACTGCGTCTGATGTGGAAAGTCCTGGCCAAAAAAGCTGCAAAGGTTGTCCTGGTTTTCAAAATCCATCTCGGAATGCATGCAAGGCACCTCTTAGAGGAGATTGTCTCATGGAGCCTATCTTCATCTTTCAAAACTAGGCCTCCTCCTCCGCATGGTGTTGATTCTGTTGGCCTTTCTGGCTCCGTCCACCTCCTTTGCCTTTCTGCTTTTTCTTTGGGGCCGCTGCATCTGCTCCGCTTGAGCTGGTGGCCTTTTCGGCCGAGGCTTTTCCAGCTGTAACCTCTGCCCTTCTGGTGGCTATCACGTCCATCTCCTTGAGATACTGCAGGGCCGTAGTAATCCACCGTTGATGGGCTGTCGGAGCGAATGGTCGGGGCAAGGCTCCCGAGGCCACTGACCGCCCCGAGAATAGGGCTTGAGGGGGGTTCCTCTGTCAGAGATAACAACAGTCCCACCTGCATGTTGCCGTTGTCCATGGCCGTCTACTCCAGGCACACGAACAGGAGGCTGAGAGCATCCTTTGCGGCATTGTGGTTGTCCTCCATCATATGATTCATCACTAAGCCCACCTGCCAGATAATGAACCCTTCGTAGACAGGGATGAGGTTGTTGATCCAAGATCCTGGAATGGATCGCTGGAAGTTGCTGTCAGATGAAAAACCAAAGTAGTCAAAGCCTGTGACTGCGCTACCATTGCCCGAGTGAGTTCTGATCCTCCGGGTAGTCCAGCGCCATCTCGCTTGCCTCCTCGGCAGAAAAAGTGACACGTGGTGTCTTCTGCTGAGCTGGTGAACTTTTCGGGGGTGGCATTGCCTTGACCAGGCTGGCAAGGTCCGGCAAGTGAGGATGTGATCCACTCGTAACTCAGCCTCCATGGCTTCTGTTCTCCCCTTCAAGTCGGCCAGGGTGGAGGTGATCTCCAGTAGAGCTTGAGTGATGGCTGCAATGCTCTCTGCCAGGCTCGCCACTGTCAGCTTCCTCCTCTGGGCCGTGGATTCGTCTCCACCAAAACCAGCTCCTGGACCTCTGCGCCGAGGTGCGCGTTTTGGCGCCTCTGTGGGGGTCACAGGTACTTCGTCTGCTGAGTAGTATTGTATGCGTTCTGCTACCTGCTCTCCCTCTCCATTTGCCCAAGCTAGTGCTTTTGTGACAACATCTTGGGGCCAGGGAACAAGGGTGGACTCCAAAAAGTCGAAACCGATCAACTCTTCCAAAACGTCCTTTGTGTCCAAGACTGTCAAAAAGCTTCCAACCTCTGCTGAAAAATCGACAAGCATAACCACAATGGGCCGGCCTTCCGCAGGTGAAGGCTGACGCAGCAAGGCATCTTCGTCCAAAACTGCGGCTTGCACTTCAACCTTCGTTGATGGACCAATGAGATCTGCTGGCTCTGCTGTCTGTCCTACAAGGACTGCCTCTGCGTCCAACGCCATCTCGGGGACGCAGAGCAAGAACCCCCGTCTCATGAGCGGGACCAACAGCCCGGCTCCCACGGCGTCCAAGCACATAGGGCCGAAATGCAGTGGCGCTGAAGTCTGAATGCAAAGGAAGAATGGCTGGATCCTCTGTGTCTTCCATGTTTCTCACCGCAGCTCAAGGGGCAATCTCCGTCCAGCTCCAGCAAGGAAAACACGCAGGACACGCGCGAAGTCTCGTCGACTTCGCAGGATCTTGGGGCCAGATATGTTGTTGCCCCGCAAGACCACAAAGTAGTTGGCTGGCAGATCAATGGAGATGACTGGCTCTTCGGAAGTAGTAGCCTGACCTTCCAATTGTTGCCCAGCACGAAATCCAAGGGCCCAGGCTCGCTCGATCCTGTCGACAGGTGAGAGGATGCTGGCCGCTGACAATCTGGACGACAGGGACAGAAGGTTTCTGGGACACTCAGGCACTGCGCTGTCAGAAGCAGAAGTAGAAGCGGGCACAGGAGCAGCAGCTGGGGTCGGAGCAGATTGTGATGAGGCACGAGAGCCTGTGAACAAAGTCCAATGCCCTAGTTGCCAGGCCTCGAATCGAGATCTCAAGCCCCTGAAACTGCACCGCCAGACAGATGGTGTCGTCGTTGTCTGGCAAGGGTTATGACCCCGTGTAGAACAGAGAAAGTGGATTTTAGCAAAAAAATAAAAAAAACACAATCAAAAACCGAATCACCAAAAAAACAATTCGACAGGAAGAGCCACCAGAAAAATCAAAAAAACAAGAAAAAACAAGAAAAAAACAAAAAAGAACAAAACCTGCATTTTCCGCAGTTTTTGTTTTGTTTTGTTTTTTTTGTTGTTTTTTGTTTTTTTCTTGTTTTTTCCTTGATTTTGTTTTTTATTACTTTTTTTTGTCAAAACCCGATATTCTCTGTGTTGCCGGGCTCATAAGGCAAGGGCTCCCCGCTGCTCATCAACAGCGTAGGCTCTGACACGTTCAAAGGAGGATTCCCTGGGAGCTGGGGAAGAGAGAGCAGCAGCTGGATGTGGCAGAAATCCAAAAGTCCAAGCACACACCAGGCAGCCGGAAATAAATCCAAAGGACAAGCCCAGCAAAAAGGTGCAGACAAGAGATGGCAACCTAGCACCGAAGCAGTGACTGGGACAGGAGAGGCCCCACCAGTTAGAATGCACTCCAGAGGAGATGAACCCTAACACCTTAGGCAACCAATCCATACAGCTGTTCTTGAGCATGAAAACCGTTCCAAACTCGCTCTTAGTGCACTCATGTTTTATCATCCATGCCAACAACCTCCCGAATTTACAAATCGTGAGGGCATAGTTATCCCCCACAATGCACCCACCATTGATCGAGCATTTTGGTCACTGCTCAACCATATTCCCATTAAGCACTGAGGTGCTATTTTCTCCCTCTCAGCACGACAGTCGGGAGCAGCACGCGGAATACTGTCAAAGACGGTGTGAGCGTTTGCGTTTTGGACCGTTTTGAATTTTGCGCTGCAAGCCTACACTAAGATATACCCAGCACGTCAAGCTCACACCGTAGAGAAAAGTATGATGGCAAACCTGTCTGCAAATGCAGCGATACTCACAGGATGTCACATTCGAACAGACAATGTTGCCTGGAAAGCTTCCCAAATCAAATGTATCTGCTGCTTTCCATTCTCACAATGCAAATGTGACTAGCTAGTACCGTAGTTTGGTGCTTAAAAGTCATTCTTACCAGCGCTAGGCCCATGTTCTGGGAAAATACATGTGTTATTTTTTGGGGCCCATAGTTTGTGAAGAAAGAAGCGACGCATATCTAAGCCTCCGAATTTCACACTGCTGCAGGCAGAAATGCCAAGTACATGAGCTTTTTACACGGTTCCAGTGCCCGAGCAAGTACCCAATTCCGGAATTTTCCAATAAGAATACCCTCTGGTAAATAAACAGTTGGACCCTGAAAATCACCAATTTTTAATGGAAACTAGTCTTCCAACCCCGATGACTGCCAGGGTCTATGTTAATTTACCAAAGGGTAAGCTGCAGAATATGAATTTGAGTCTTGTGCTACACATAAGACACCAAACTCCGCAGAAAAACTTCAGGCATTGCCACTGTGAAGTGGATTATTGCTCCAGCAGGAACTCAACGACTGTAGCGATCCAGGATCTCCCACACAAGACCCGATGGTCAACTGCAAGGACCGTCAGGATATCGCACGGCCACGGTGCCATTTGCCCTCAAGCCTGACAGGTTTTTCAGTGGAAAGGGATGGAAAGGGCCTGGAGTGGATGATGAGTCAGGACCTATGGGATCATTGGGGGGGTCGACATGCTGTTCATCAGCTCTTTTGGTGATTCCTGCGCCTTCAGCCCGTGTCCAGACGTTTTTCCCCCGAAGAGACGGATTGGCTGAGCGGTTCTTCGACGTAACAAGTGGAAATGGCACAGTGCTGTCATCATGTGCAGCATAAAGGGAGATATTCCCCATTTTTGGTGCACATCTGCATCTGCTGGTTTGTGGACATATGATACATTCGCAATATTCTCACATGAGCCAACTTTGGCGAATTAGTCTTTCTGGGGATCTGTCAATTGTGTACAATTGCCAGATTGCCACACCCATCTTCACATGCCAGTCCCCCAAGGCAAACGGTCACCGTGGCAAAACCATCCACAAAGAAATTGATATTCCCAAAATGGGAGATAGAAAGGACAAAAAAACACGGGAAAATGAAGCGATGAATCATGGGGTTCTAGGATGTTCATGGATGTTCTAGGATGTTTTAAGTTTTAACCCAAAATTGTCAGGCAAACCAATATCCCGCTGATTTGCCTGAACCAAAGCTGCCAAAAACCTATAGCCTATAGCCTGTACCTGACGAAAAAACATATGATTCACCATGATTGAAGGTGCCACTCCCCGCCTTCTTCACTGGAGCCTTCTCCTCTTCCTTGAGCATGTCCAAGCCCTGATAAGGTTCCAACGGGACCCACTTGGACCCACGGCACTGGGTGCTCGTCCAAATGGGGACGGCTCAAGGAAGTTCCAATTGATTTCAACTGAAAGATACTGAAAGTACTTTAAATTAATCATCTTAAATCTTCAATTTGAGTGCCTTTATAAATCATCATCTTAAAATGTTTAAAATCCATGAACAACACTGGTGCTAGATTATGCTATATTTATTCACATTAAATATTATTCCCTGTATCCCCCTTGCTTCACCCCCCCGCATAGTGCCCAAAATCTGCCAGTTCCCAACCCTGCTGGCACCTGGGAAAGGAAGGATTCGAAGCTGTCGATGGCCACCGAGATTTGCTCCGCAGCAGAGCCCAAGAAATCCATGTCCTGGTGGTCCTGCCCCAGGGGATTGCCCAAAGGCTGGGACAAACTGTAATCCCCGGACTTGTTTGAATCGAATCTATGAATTTGAATATGTGGGTAGTTCCTATGCGCGGTAAGGACTTGCCCGCGCAATCCCGAGAAACATCAAGTCTCCAGTCAACCATCTATAGCGGAATGGGACCTTTGCTGCAACGATTTTCCGCCTGGCACTGGTTCACCGCTGACCTCTGGACAGCCTATTGAAACTTGTTTGGGCTTTCCGCTTGGATCGATTGCCTCCAGCAACGCACTCTTATTTTTCTGGGGGTGTCTAGGAGGTGGGGATAGCCAAAAATCCACCAAAAAGATCCGTATTTTAGTCATAGAGGCACTTTGCAGAAAAAGAGTGCTGTTTGTTGCTGTGCCAGTGGAGGAACGGCTCTCATCACTTCTTGCTTTCCTTCCGCTGGCACAACCAGGGCAGCTCACACTTGCCTGAAATTTCGCGATCACACGCCCTTCCAACCGAATCTACTTAGATGACCATTCCACTTAGAAACAAATTAGTAACCCTTCTTAGTCAGTCTTAGTCACTCCCCCGGTTCCTGGGGCCCTTTTGAAAAATGGGTATCTGTCTAGCTATGAAGTGACCATTGGTCCATTTTCCAGTTGGCATTCTGGGATGGTCCGGTTGCACCGTAAGAAACTGACAGAAACAAAAGCTGAAACTCTGCAAGTGATCCTCCTAGGGGCCGCCAAGGCCCCCATTAAACTAGGACTAGGATGGCTGAAGCAGATTTTCAAAGGCCAAAAGGTGCAACACCTAACTTCTCACATTCCATTGGGGAAATACTTAGAGGATCATTTCACTTAACTGGTGAGAAAAAAAACCTGGTTAATGAGTCCCTAGGGGTGGGTTGTCACGTCACTGGTTTACCCCACTAACCAGTTACTTTCGCTCCATGGCGAGTTGCCCTCCAGGACCTCAGGATGATACCTCTGCAGCAAAAGCTTGGAGTAGGAAAAGGGAATCTCATTGGTGCAGCGCGCAGATCCCCACAACGAGACGTATCCTGAAGCAAAGGGAAGCAAAGGGAAGCGCGGTGCTGCTACCTGAGATAACTACTCCAAATTTATGGTCTAACCATCTTTGATTTTGTGGGCCAGAAATTGAGGTGTCCCACCTCCAGACTTGAGTTTCCTTGAGCTTGTATATGGAGCTATAGTAAGTTATGAAACTGGTTACATTTACCAGCTCAAAGCTGTTTGTCACACAATCACCCCCTTCCCCGTCGACTCTCTTTTCGGTATGTGACTGTGACGTTCTTTTAGTAGCAGAAAAGGCGGTACAGGGTTTTAAATTGTCCTTTCAAAAAAAACGAAACATCAGACATCAGAATGGAAAAGCAACCAATTTCATTATCCCACCTGTTTTGATTCGCAAAACCCATGTCGATGTTCTGTGGACCCCGGAACCAACCAAGGCTCTTGAGAGGTTGTAGCACAACTGGCAAACAGAATTCACCCGGCCGTATTCCGCGGGTTGATCCAGCGCCAATTTTTGATCCTCTTTCCTAGACAGAGGACATGACAAACAGGCAAACAAGTTCTATCAAATTTGGGGATGTGCGTGTGTATACATATATGTTTATTTATGTAGATGTGTGTGTGTGCGTGCGTGTGTACATATACATATATATATATATATATATATATATCTGTGATTATATATGTATATATGTGTGTGAGTGTGTCTGTGTGTGTGCATGTGCCTATATGTAAATTAGATACATATAGTTAAATAAGATACTTGTGTGTGTGCGTGTATCCATACAAGGCCACCCTGGAAAAAGAGGGGTCCCAGAAAACCTGAACATGATTTTTCACATGTTTTTATTCACCTTGCAGCCCAGTGTCTTGAGCTTGATGTTATAGGTAGGTTTACCTCCAGGATAACAAGAGCAGTAGTGCCGGAAGGCTGCATCCTTTGGCCCTGTCAGTGGAACGTCCTTCTGCTTGTCCTCAGATGGACCATGTTGGACGCAAACCACTTCGCCATGGATGTTCCAGGATAGTCATGGCAAAGTTTTTACATGGCACGTTGGGAATCTCAACTGAAAAACTTTGACAGGGCTGCAAACTTTAGTAAAGCATAGTGAGGAGAAAAACAAAACGGAAAGAAAGAACCGTTCGCTGAAAGAACTCCTGGGCTCCATTTGGGCTGTTTCTTCCCATGGCTCGATATGCCAGCCCCGCGCAGCCAGAGCAAACTGCATCGCGAAATCCGAGGAATAAATTTCTTTCGTGGCCCTCTCGCCCAGCCTGAGAGAAAATTCGAGCATAAACGAACTGAAAGGTTCTGCTTGATGAGTCTGGTTACGGTTCATTCTTCCATTCCCACCTTTTAAATGGGGCTTAAGATTTGTGCAATGGTCAAAACATGGTACGGTCATCCCACCATCAATAGGGATTCCCTAAAAAGGGAATATAAATGCCCATTATTTGATTGCTGACCATCCCCCAATGAAGGCTGCCCTCTCTGCTTCACAGGGCGCATGTTCCAATCCAACTTCATCATGTTGTCATCCGAGAAGGCGTCCAAGATCGCCTCTCTCCTGAAGTAGGCACCCCCAGCCAAGCCAGCAGACATGGCGGTCTTGGTCCATTTGAAGCCTGGCCACGGCTTTAAGGTGATCTGTTGCGATTAGCAGCTGAGTTTGATGCCTCCCCAACGTTGGAAAGAATCCCCAAAAAGTGGGGGTTGAGGATGATTTTACTTTTGGAAATGTTTACATTAGGATGTCCCATGCTTGATAAACTTTGGAAGCAGGAAGTTCGAAAACAAACTAATAAACAAAAACAAACAAAAACAAACAAAAAAAAAAAGCCGCCAAACCAACTCTGACCCCACCCAGCACCTGGCACCCGGCTTTGCGCCATCTTCTCCACATAGTCCACAAGCCCAAAGGAGCGATCTTTCACAAAAATGCCTCCAGCGTCATGCTGCGGTTCCCGCCGGATGGGACCATGGATGGTGTTGTCCTTGTGTGGTGCAGCTGGGAGGATAAAAAAAACTAAAAACATGGTTTTGGGGGGCAGGTGATGCTTTTGGAAAACTGTGGTTTGAGAGATTTGCAGAGAATGCTATACAAAACAGCTGCTCATGCAAAAATACAGCTCCATCCCTCAACTAAACCAGGACCGTACAGGAAAACTATGCTCCAGCACAATCTTTGGAGGCGGGTTCCAGCATAATCACCTTGGCACAGTTGGAAAGCCCCCAAAATGTGCCAAGAAATACACTCTGGCCAATGAAGTATGGATGTGTTAGGACCCTTTGATGGCAGGCACGCAATTTCGCATTCAATTAAATTCAATCATCCCATTCCCCACCCGAACACAGTACTACGCAGTTAGCCTCCTCTAGTGGCCCAAACCCTCCTGGAAACCCTCAGGAAGATGGGTGGATCGGAAACATCCAGCGCGTCTGGTACTGGCCATCAAAGTCACATACTCCGTATTGAGGCTTTGCGCAGCATCAACCAAGCGCTTGAAAAAGGGCCAGGGGTGCCAGCGATCATTGGCAGGCGGGCAAAGAACAAAGGTACAGCCCTGCTGTTTGCACAGCGGGGTGAAGTCCATACCACCATCACCTCTGCTTGGAGCCGAGTGATGATCCAAGTGTTGGCTTTGATTCGTTGCATCGCCATGATTTTCGCCCACCCTAGCAATATTGTGTTTGACGTGATGTTGCACCACTTCAAGACTGCCTACATGTACATTCCATCATATTGCACCCCTATGTTTGGCTCCAGACTTGCAGGGTTCATGCTTCCAGGGTTCCATTCTTGTTTTCAGGGCCGACAGAAAACAGCACGCCGGTTTGAGACCCAGAGATTGAAACCCAACAGTCACTGCTGTTGGGAATAAAACCCACAAAAACTTGAGGCCCAAGGAGGGTGCACGAAAGCTAAGGTTCATATGACTTGGAAACATGATGGGGCTTTGATATGGTTAGGACAGATTGTCGAGAGCTCAGCACGCACCCGGCAGGATTTGAGCCCGTGACGATCTGCTTCCAAGACCACTCCAAAATGCTCCGGGAGCTTTGGGGGGAGGCTCACGTGAAAAACCACTGTGCTGGACTCAGAGCCCCTTGTCGAAGCAAGAGTAAACTCCAGCTAGCTACCGCTGGCTTTCGTGAAAAAAACAAATATATAACGAAAATCTGCCACATGGAGCGCGGCCCACCGCTTTCTCCCAACGGATTCCCTGTCCGGGCGAGCTGCTCATGACATAGATCGGAGAGCCGGGAAAGAACTTTCGCAATTGGCGGACCTGGAAGATCACAGCGGCCGGATCTGCATAGACATGCCTCCAAGGTGCCACATTTCTGCCGCAGGATTTTTCCCTAAAAGTTGACTGTTTCGAGATGCTCTGGGGAAAAAAGGGGTCGGGAGCAAAGCGGATCTGGGGAATCCTGGGACAGCAAGTGTGACTTTTCCGCAAGATCCACAAGGCCCTCAGCCAAACCGACTCTCCCTGAAGTGAAAAGCCTTTGGCATGGTGCTTTTTTGAAATTTGTGCTTGGAAAGCGTTGTCAATCAAGAAAAGAATATGCTCAAGCAAATGGAGGTAAGCAAATAGAAGCCATACTTCGAATCCGACGGCTTTCTTTGGAGACTTCCATCGGGCTTGCAGAGCGTGGGCAAATTGCAGCCATCTGCCAACTGCGGATGATACTTCTCCAACATCACTTTGGAGTAGTTGAAAGGTAAGCGGTTCGTGCCTTACTTGCCGATGACAAACGAGGTGATGCACATTATTTTGAAAAGTGTGCTGGCCCCAAAAAATAACACACATGACTACCTTTGATTGCATGAGTAGAGGTCTGCACCGAAAACCATGCTTCCATGGCGGCGAAGCACATTTTGCAGAACCCCAATTCTCCTTGGTGGGTAAGGACAAGGTGTGGGAAGGAAGCACACCAACCACCCAAAGGAACGCACCATATTCACTAATCATGTTTTCCAGGTCCACAAGTCCAGCCAATCAGCTTCAGACTGGATCAAGTCTTTGGAAATCGAAAAGGTTGGGGCACACAACAAGGACTCCGTTTACTCATCATCACTGCAGGGTGACCTCTTCATGGAAAAGTAAAATCAAAATAGTCGGTATGTCGTATTCCATTTGGCTATCCTTTCATATCGATTCCATCTGGTCAGCATTCCCAGCTCGAACGTTTAAGCGCAGTTTCGATGTAGCGTTGCAGGTTGTAACACACCTGGCAATCGCCATTCGGCACATCCTGACATGGGAGAGGAAGCGTTCCAGAAACAAAGGAACAGTTCCTGAACTTAGATAGCTTTCAGATTTTGTAAGTATTTGTTTTTTTGTACTGGATATTCATCAATGCCAGGGGATAGGCTGAAAAGACAGGAAAAAAAAAGAGTTGATCTTCGCTTAGGCGGGTCACGTACTCGGCGGACCTGGGAGAAACTAACTCATCGGAGGCATCCAACTCTGACTCCCTGGATGCAGTAGCTGAACCTGAGCCCCGTTCACGACTCGTTTTGTGCAACTTTCAATTTTCGGCTGGCTAATCATCTGCAAGGGGATATCATTCATCTCCTCCCCCCTCCCCGTTTCCGCCGTTTCCGCCATGCCACCCTGATCGTACAGAAAGGCCGTCTTTTCATCGGCGCCATCCACCAGAGCCAGGTCGTCCCAGACCGAAACAGACCAACCACGTGCGGCCAGGGCATAGTTGAGGGCCAGGTCGAAGGAAAAGATACCCTTTCCTGCGATGGAAATCATGCCTCTTGGAAACCCCCAAGAATATATACTGGTTGGTGAAAAGAATGATCATCAGCCAACTTAAGCGTTTGAAATTACTCAAGTCCGTATCCTTGGGAACCAAAATAAAGCAAATGCCCACACTGAAAAACTGTCGCTCACTTTCCTCCAATCATCTCATTGGCTCACCCCCAGAGAATCATCAGTCAATTGTGATTTCAACTATGCAGTTGGGTGCTGTATCTTTTCTCGCTTCCTAGCACAGCTAGGGCAGGGTGACCTGACAGCGATGGAGGGAGGGGAGGGAGGGAGCGAGAGAGAGATCGAGAGAGAGAGAGAGAGAAAATCATCATGAATCATGACATGCTGAAACCCTGGCTTCACCCCTTCCGGTGGCTGCAAAAACTTCCTTCAAGCATTGCCCTCATGGCAATTGAAAATGTTCAGCTTGCATAGGGTTTTCACATGTTTTCATGGGGGTTCATTGGGGAATCGGAAGACTCTTCCAGCGACCAGCGCGTCCTCCTTGCTGTGCCAGGCGGTTCCAGTCCAGGCGCATGACCCGTTCATCAGTCAACGCATCCAACAAGGCTTCGCTCCAAAAGATGGCACCGCCACCCAGCCGCGCCATGGAGGTCCACTGGAAGCTTGGGACCTGGGTGGGGCTGGACCTCCAAATTTCCCCGAGAAAATCACAGACCCTGGAAGATCCTGAAAAGTCAATCCGAGAATTGTAGAGAATCTGGTCTGGATTCCAGTCTCAAAAAGGAAACCGGCAGTGGCTTTGGATGTTGCATGATGTTGCGAATTTCAGCACACAGACCCATCTCTCTCTCTCTCTCTCTCTCTCTGGCAGATGTTCATCTCTAAGTGTTGCGGAAAGACTGCAAGGTGGGCCCCCATCCACCAGCTGGCCAAGGCACACGTTCCTGTCCCAAGCTGGTCATTTCCTCGGCCAACACCATGGACCTCCTCTCCTCCAAACCCCAGGCCGCATAGCTTCCAATGGTTCCCGTGCTTCCTGTGCTTCCCATGGCAGGTGCATGGCGAATGGGACCCTGCACCAGGACATGTTGATCCAGGAACACCAAGAATTCAGTGTTCAACGCCAGCGTAGCGTCCTCAAAGGATAAGCCCAAGCGATGGCGTACAGCGGGTGCGTCTGAAGCTGGGGATATGTGAAAAACGGTTGGACGTCTGGATTTCTTGGGTTTTTGGGTTCGCTGTTTTCGGACAAACCTTGCTGTATAACAACCCGAGCGGCGTAAAGTCGGCGGAAGAAGGGCCACGGATGCCAAAGATCATTGGCAGGGGGGCACAAGGCGAAAATGCAGCCATTTTGTTTGCAGAAGCTGGTGAAATCCATCCCACCATCACCTGAGAACAGTGACGTGTCATGCCACAAGCAGCCAGCTATCCAACAGCATCCTTTCTGTCAAGGCCCTGGAAAATCTGGAAATGAGTCCCAGCTGCTCATCACGAAGATCCGCGACTTTGGGAAGTGGCGTTTCACCTGTCGCACTTGTCGAATTAGTGCTGCTGGACTGGCGGTTGCCGACTCCACATGAAGATAGAAACCAATCTTGGAGGACCTGCTTTCGGAGCCATTGAGCTTGATGCGGGAACTGGAAGGGTCAAGAATGGAAGCGTGCTGAAAGCAAGATGGGGATGCAAAATTGTGTTCAGAAGATTATAATACGAGCAAGTATGAGCATCTGGCCACATCAGCATTTCACCGACCTAACAACAAGTCGAAGAAGCCTGCAAATAGTAAGCCCAGTTGGGTGATGCTTTACCATAGCACCCGACTCAATGAATTCCGGTTCAGCCTTGGGCATTTGACCCCCAGGCTCAAACAAGTGACGACAAAGGCCCACTTGGTGGTGCAGGCGCCGCCACGTAGTTCTGCTGCAGCCTTCCTTCTGTCCTTCGGCATCGGTCAGAGTCATAAATATCTCCAAGAATGGTGCACCCCGACCCCACACAAATTGTTCCGCTCACATGTTTTACGATTTAATGATGTAACCGTCCATTTTTGGTGGTTTTTTCAATCAGTCGTTCCTATTTCGCCTGGCAGCGTCCTCGCAGGCAAGGCAGCTCTGCTGCGATCCGTTTCCTCTAGGGCTTCCAGAGCAGCTCCAGCCACACCGCTGGGAACGAGGGTTTCACCTCAGAGCATCCGCGGCAACAGCTTCCCTTGATGCCAGAAGTTCAAAGGTAACTCGAGGGATCGGTTGAGTTTTTGGGGATTCGCTTGAAGATGTTTACCCAAACATACCCAAACGAAACGTCGAGTGCTTCATAGTGCTTCCATGTCCCCACCTGGCTCGCGAAAGCCCACCAAATCTTTGGAGGAGTGGATCACCACAATGACGACCACCAAACTCACGGGCAGCAGCCGCCAAACCCCAGGCACTCGGCTGCCCGGTGGCATGGCAACAGTCGGGCTCCATTTCAAGCGGGTTGATGGCGCCGGGAGTGGGGGCCCTGGTCATTGAGTATTATCCATTACTATCCATTACTGCTAGTGCCTACCAAATGTAAACATGGTTTGAAATTATGTTCAAGTACTTGTTGGATCTTTTTGGGGGGGAGTTCAGTAGATTTTGGCAGGAATGTATGTGGAGTTTGGGGGGTTCAACATGCTGTAACATGGTGGCATGACCATGTCAACTATGCTCTGCTGTACAGCCCACGAGGTGGGTTGACCAAGGACTCTAGAGAATGAGAACCAGCGAAAGAGGGAGTTTCATCACCACAACTTGAAATAGTCATATATACTCAGAAGCTGTCACAAATTACAGCTTGAGACCCCCGACAAACGCATAGAATCGCTGGAGAGACTCCGAGGGACCATTGGATTTTTTGGCAGAACTATTCATGGAGGTTCCTTCTCCAAGGTGCTACGAATGACATGCCAGTGTTGCCACTCGAACGCTTTGAGCCGTTAAGGCCGTTAAGGTCCAAGGCTACTACATGCTGTGTCGGCAGTTCTTGCTGCTCAGGCTAGGGCACTGCGGTTTCGATATCTTTAGGCTGAATCCATCTGAATCCAAACAAGTACACTAAGATGTGCTCTCTCTCAAAGTTGTGCCGATATGTTCATTCAACTCCCACATTGATGCAACCGAGAAAAATAAACTGCAAAGTGCACTTATTGAAATATCCAGTTGCATTCAAGACTCTGTTTTTGCAGGAGCTTTAGGAATCCAATCGCTTGGTCAAAAAAGGAAAGTGACTCTCCAAAGCATTTCTTGAGGTATCAGGACCATTCAGCAACTACATACAGTAACCTCATCGCTACCAGCAGGCAGAGAATCTCTCCTCACGGATGACTTCGCTCTGCTCAGCCTTCTTGAGCTCCTGCGCTTTCAAATCGCCAGGGGGTGAAGGGTTTACTGATGAATCATCAATGACAAAAAAGATCAAGAAAAGGGATAATGAGCTAGAGGGTGGCCTCATCAAACCAAAATTGCGGATCTTGAACGAAACGGGATAAATCCATGGGGAAACCATCCTGAAACTGATCATCTCGCGAAACTTCACCCAAGCCCTTCCCCGCCTGTTGAAGGCCGACGGCAGAAACGAGGGTGATCAAGTCCAACATGGCTGCAGTGGCCTTGCTGGGGCTAACTCACCACATTCTGGTGAGCCTTCCATGGGATTTTTCGGGGATTTATGGCAATATGACAGATGGCAAAACATGGCTTAAAATCCTGGCCCACAAACTAACAAATGGTGAATTTTGTTTCGGCCTTTCATGGGGTGATTCCCCCCTCACCATCCTTCTGATGTCGCGATGTGAGGTCGTTAGAATTGATCCGAATGAGAGATGCAGGGTGTAGGTCCTGACTTGGCAAGCGATTTTTCAACGATACTCGACTACACTCGATTAGGCCCACCCTGAATCGTGACTGCACTTAGTGGAGACATTTCACCACAGCTGACGAGTGGCAAACACGGCGAAGGTTTCGAAAGCTCGAAATGGCAGCAGTGTGCGTTGCGCAGTCGCTCTTGAGCCAGAGATCCAGTTGTCACAACTTCCGCTACCCTCCGGTGATCAAACATGGCTAGCTGGGAAATCCATTGTAAGTATGGAGGTTTTAATGGGAAAATCATCGAACTAAATGATGGATTTTCCATTGCTACCAGAGGGTAAGGTAAAAAAGGCGGAAGAAGGCCGGGAGCTGGGTGCCGAATCAATCAGTAGATTTGGCTGCAAGAAAGAATTGACACTGACCCACCCGCCATCACTCCTTAAAGCTGAATGCATGTTGGCTAGTCTTGTGGTCTTGTATTTCAACCCAATTTCTAGATGGTCAAAGTGAAATTCCTTGCTGTCCAAATCCAACTTTTAACTAAACTCCTGATGTCGGTCAAGATAACTCAATCTCCCAACCTTTTGGCGGAAAAGAAACATGTTCTTTCCTCCCTCCTTCGAAGCCCCTGAGGTGCCTCAGCCTTGATATCCTTGGATGCCTTCTCCGATTCCTTGACCTCTGGCTCCTGAGGCTGAGCCCTGGACACCTTCGGACCATGGCAGCTGTGGGGATGATATCAATCAAAAACCATGGAAAATGCTGATTGTAAGCGCCCAGCTGGTTGAATTTCAATGAGCAAGCAGGCACCAGAGCGTGCAAAGAAGCTGGGTACAAGCTGAAGTGGAGATCAAGTGAAAGATTTCTCATGAAACCTATGGCATCGGTGTTCCCACCAGAACAGGCCCCCAAGCGTACCTTCGGGGCATCTGCAGCTGGTGCTGCAGCGTCCTCTGGTGCATCATCGCCTGGGGCATCTCCCTGTGCATCCGGCTTGAGCATTTCAGCCAGCGGCAGGTCCTGGAAATTGGAACCATTTCTTTTGGTACTGTACACTGTACACCTGGAGAAAACGTGGCAATTGGTTTCTGTTGATCTCTTCGATGTCAATAGAACCAGCTACAACAAGGCCATCCATGAGTCCTCCTCATCCTCTGCGTCAACCTTCTCCTATGGCCATAGCAGCAGGGAGGTCGCTCAGAAGCGCAGATTTTGGATCATTTGACATGATGCTATCCCCATTTCGGGGCCATGTCAACCCTGGACCAATAAACCCCTGGGCTGTTACAAACACAGAGAGAGAGAGATATATATATATGTGTGTGTGTAAAGATATATATATATATATACTGTATCGGGAAGCTTCAAAGCAGCTTATAACTTTTGGAACCGCCTAATAATGAGTTCTAATTTAGAATCAATCCAAGGGTCATCAATCCGTGGTTGGGATTATCCGATTATCCAATGTTGATTCACATCCCATGGGTTGTGTGGCTAGTCATGCTGCCATTTTCAGCTGCCCACCTCATCATCCTCAGCTTCCTCTGCTTCAACGCCTCGAGGTGTCCGGTCACGGAACCGGGGGTAGCACCTCAGGCGATGTTAGAATGGATGCAGGTCATGAGCATCTACTTGGAAAAAGATACAAGGTAGTGACGGTAGTGAGGAATAAAATTCCCGTGGCACACGGAAGGCTACGCTCCAAGTTTTTAAGGTGCGTCACCTATCGCGAGCACAGCAGCGCGGAAAAGCCGCAACGTAGGTTTTTCACCGCAGTCCACGGCTTCGTTTGCCAAAGATGGCCTCGCTGCCCAAGTAGCATGGCGGACGCCTCGCAGAAGGTGGCCATCGCCAGTTGAATGGCGGATATTTGGCTTCTGAAGGCTTCCTTAGCTGGGTCAATAGACAACGTAAGCTTTGCAGAAGCAGTTATGCCATGCAAGAAAAAGGCGGAAAAAGAAAATGGTGGCTGGCTCTGTCTCAGTCAAGCTTCTCGTTCTCTTCTGCATTCTGTTCTTCAGATAGTTTGACTTGTCCAGCGACCTGTGCTTCAGCCAGCACTGGCTCCGGCTGGAGTTTTGGCACTACCTGTGGCTGTGTAGGTGCTGGTGGGACTGGTGGCGGGACAGGTGGCGGTGGCGGTACCGGTGCTGGTGCTGGCACTGGTGCAGCCACGGGTGCGGGCACTGGCGCGGCCACTGGCCCCGGTACTGGTGCCACTGGTGGAGCAGGCGGTGGTGCTGCGGGTGTAGCTGGTGGGGCAGGTGCTGGTGCAGCCACCCGCGCTTCTGGCTGACTGGGCTTCGGCACCTTGGGAGGACTCGCCTTCGGAGGAGAAGGCACCACCTGAGGCGCGGTTGATGGGGAGAGGTCAGCAAATTGGTGCCAGGGGTGAGCCCCATCAATCAGGCCCCATTTTGTCTGCTTCCCTGCCCGCCTTCTCTTCCTCTTCCTCCTCATCCTCTTCTTCTCGGAGCTCATGATCTGGCACCTCTTCAGCCATGCAAACAAAGCCGTACCTCAGTGCAAGCACGTAAAATGGTGCCAAAAAATGTATAGCTGGAACTCAGCAGCTCGTATGGATCCATGAATGTAATAATTTCCCAAAGGGCCAGAGTTAGATTTGTGCGCTTCCAGCTGTTTGTTTTCAATAGAGTTGGCTGGGGTCCACTGTTTTTTTAGGCCAAGTTACTCCTGGAGAGCATCCACAACGTCTTTGGCACGCTTCTCAGTGCAGCGTTCCACTAGGATGGCCTTCGAAACAACTGACAGCACGTGTACTGTTGTTTTGGGTCAACCGCAAATGTATGGCTCGCAAGACTCCCCAATTTGAGACGAGGGAAAACCCATTGATCCCATTGCAACTCAGCTGGTGGACCTGTCCAACGCCCTTGGCTTCGGAGGTGGCCTGCCGTCTTTGTGACCGCCCCAAGTCTTCGGGCACATCGGGGGTCCGGCAAGTGATGAGTGGAATGGCATAATGTCTGATCATAATGGGCTGCAACAAGTGGTCAATGAAGCTCATGGCCCGTGTGGGTCGACTAGGGAACTTGAGCTAGCTAGACTTTGAGATCTGAAATACCGGAGCTTCCCACCTTAGCATAGGCATCGCTGATGGCTTCGTAGGACACATCCGGAAGAGTCTCCAGCATGAAACCCATGAAATACTCCTGGCAGCGTCCAGCGGAAGGCGTGGAGATGAATTCCATTCTTCAGATTCCAAAAATATATGTTTATTGGTCCATTGGTTTCCTGCAGGTTTTGACTTCCCATAAGACCACAAAGAGGCCGCCCCAAATTCCACCCCAAATTCAGCTGGAGCAGTCCCTCATCGTCCAAAAGTGGTGGCCAGTATAGCCAATACCTTGGACAAGGTCATCGTGACAGCTGAGTACATCCTAGCCGCGCCTGAATGGATTGTCCATATCTTCTTTGCGCTGTTCGGGTCTCCCCATCTTCGGGGTATTGAAAGCTCAAATCATCTCAAATCACCCTTCTGTTGGTGAGGAATTCTCACCAGACCACCGAAGCTTTGGCTCTACTCAACCCCCCAAAAGAAAACCAAGCACCTCCAAAGTATCCCTTCCACTCGCCATCAAACTTGCAGCCACAGCTTGCAGCCACAGCTACGGACACGCCAGGGGGGAGGCATAATGATGCGCTCGCCGTTGAACTCAAACTCCGCCAAGCCTGCCAGTCCTGCAAATTCTTGCTAGGCTCCTGTGTCCTACCCCGTGGCAGGCTCCCCTGAAGCAATCACATCTCCAAATGGTGGATGGTTTCGGTCTCACTTCGTGTGTTGACCCCTCGTTCAGCACTGGCCTCGCAGGTCATAGGCTTGGCGCTTCTTCGGATCCGTCAGAACTTCGAAAGCTTTGTTCACCTCGGCCCCACACCATGATCCGATGCGCCACTGCAGCTTAGAAGCGCAGCGCGGTCAAAAAAAATATGGTGACTGGTTGTCAAGAGTTTTTTTCATGAACATCTAAGGAATTTGATGTTCCCAAGTAAATCGAGAGATTCAATCTTCTAAAAAGGAAAATCTGTGTGATGGGCCTGGCTCTGCAACCCGTCTCCAGATCGAGGCCAGAAACTTTTGTTCACCCCTTGTCGGCCCTGCGAACACACATCACACATGCAGCTGAGATGCTTGGGTGAAACGTTCCTGTGCCATGTCCCGCTCCTGCCAATGTGGTTTAACGGTTTTGCTCGCTGGATATATATATATATACATATATATATATATATACATATATATATATATACATATGTATATATATATATATATGTGTGTGTGTCTGTGTCTGTGTCTGTGTCTCTGTCTGTCTGTCTGTCTGCATGCATGCATGCATGAACGTACGTACGTACGTACGTACGTACGTACGTACGTACGTACGTACGTACGTATGTGCGAATGTGCGTATGTCCGTATGTCCGTATCTACGTATGTACCTATGTCCGTATGTCCGTATGTACAGATGTACAGATGTACGGATGTACGGATGTATGTATGTACATGTACGTATGTACGTATGTACGTATGTACGTACGTAGCTACGTACGTTCGTATGTCTGTATGGATGGATGGATGGATGGACGGATGGATGGATGATGATGGATGCATGCATGCATGTATACATGTATGCATGTATGCACGTATGTATGTGTAAACATACATATACTACATTACATTACATTTCATTACATTACATTACCTTACGTTATGTTACGGTTTGTACGTACGATACGTACGTGCATGCACGCATACAAACACATATATCATATAGTGAATATATATATATATATACATAGAGAGAGAGATATATATATATAGTTTGTATGTGTAATTCTACATGTATACATTCTTATTGGTTGTAACCAACCAATCACTGCTGATTCGGTGACCCCCAACATCCCACAAACCCGCACCAAGTTTCTGGGATATACCAGGGGTGCAGGGGTCCCAAATATATATATATATTAATATAGAAAAGCGAATCACAATCCAGTAAGGAAATCCTTCAGAAAGTGATTCCTAATCATAATCATAATCCTATCATATCAAGTCCATGTTTTACATCGTTTTCTTGGACTAGATATGCGCCACAGTCAACACATAAGGTTAATGATGATTAATGGATTATGGTCTATCCAATAATGGGGATCCTTACGTTGAACATGGCACATATGGCTTTGTCTGAAAATAGGGAGCCTCATGATCCATCAGCATTTCTCCATTCAAATGCGCACATTTTGGACAAACCCACCGGGGGTTGTCGGTACCCCTGCTGTAAATCTCATGGTTGATCATCGTTTGCCATCATTTTCCCATATTTATTTATAAAGTTGCCATTTTCGGTGCCAAGCTCACTAGACCCCATCTCCAAGCCGCGTAGTTCCAAATCCTCTTTGGGTTTGGTACGGAAGAAGTCCGGATGAGTGCGCCGTGCCGCTTGACCTCGATGAATGTGATGGAAACAGTGAGTTGTGTTTGTGTTCAGATCACGAAGAAGAGAATACCAAGCCAAGTCAAATTAGGTGGCTCCCTGACGAAGAGTGAACATGGCAGTAGGGATTTGAATCACTGCTCCACCGGTGTTTCTGTAAGGCAGGGAACGGTAGGCAGCCTTGATATCGGGCGTCGTGGCATCTGGATCTACACCCAACAGCTCGTAGAAATCCACTGGGGGCGCCTCAACTACTGTGGAATCCTCAACTGCAGCCTGGCCATGAGGCGCTGGCATCACGGACCCAGGCAGTGGCATTTTTGTCTTGAATCCCCAGGCCCTGCTAATGCGATGTCCCTTTCCAATCTCACCGGAAGTAACTTCCAGGATTGGTCAAAAGAATCCACCCATTTTTTCATATTTCATTGTTCTTTCCAATGTAATTTCCACAGAGAGTTGGTCTAGAAGTTGGTCTTGATGATCACAGTGGGCCTGGAGCTCAACTCTGGACCCTCTGGAGCATTTCACTCGTGGCGTGCTGCGACTGGGTACTAAGAAGGTGGGGTGCAGCCAGAGAACCTCAGATCGGAATGGATTTGAGGGAAAGCCTGCAAGTAACCTATGGATTTTCAAGCCAAATCTATCTAGATGTGGACTATCCTGCGTTTTTTTGCCCTTCCAATTTTGGGATCATCACGTGGCAATCGACCCAGACACCCGTACTTGGGCCTTAGAACTGGGATAGCTTTATAAGATCCGAAGTCTCTAGGATGAAGGTTTTTGAAAATATGTTTTTTTTATTTTGATACGTTTCAGATATGATTTGTTGTTATGATTTGTTTATGGCTTGGTTTTGCTGTTATGATTTTGATATGGTTTCAGTTATGATTTTGATATGGTTTCAGTTATGATTTTTGATGTGGGTCAAACTTGTGATTTGAAGCCAACCCATCGGAACCATATCCAAAAAATATTCAAAAATCGTATCAAAACCATATCAAAATCGTATCAAAATCAAATCAAAACCAAATCAAAATCAAATCAAAACCACAAAAACCTGCAAAAAATCGACCAAGAACCTGTCCCTGGGCTGTTTATGTTTCTTTTTTTGAAGCCAACTCACTGGAACCACATCAAAACCGTATCAAAATCATATCAAAAACGTATCAAAATCGTATCAAAATCGTATCAAAACCATATCAAAACCATATCAAAATCATACCGAAACCATAAAAACACTTGAAAACTCGACCAAAAACCTGTCCCTGGGCTGTTTCTGTTTCTTTGTTTGAAGCCAACTCACTGGAACCATATCAAAACCGTATCAAAATCATATCAAAATCGTAACAAAACCCATATCGAAATCATAACCCCAAGTTCAAAGCATATCAAATTCATATCGTCAAATCGTATCCAAAACCATATTAAAATCGTAAAAAACATATTTCCTGAATTCAGCATCCTAGAGGGGTTCCGGGCTTATAAGGATTAGCTTCCGGAGAGCAAAGCTATTCAGTAGCATGGCATAGCATGGCCATAAGGACAGTTGATTTCTGTGTGTTCCTAATCTTTCATGACGATCCCTCAAAACTCCACTGAAAAAGAATGCAAATATGGGTTTGTCTGGAAAGCGAGCACCCCAAAAATCTCATGGTTTCAAACCTCATTTTCCCAGGTGGGCGCGTGCCGCAGTTTGGAGCAACCCAAATTTCGGCCGCCAAGCGTCCGCTAGGCTCAAGATGAAACAGCCATGTCCGTGTGACCGACCATGGGTACGTTGGCCCATGGCAGAAATCGGTCCAGAAAAAATGTGGAACTCGATGGGTGTGGGTCAAAAATCATGGTATCTACCAATGGAACCACAAATTGGCCTTAATCCATTAATTTTGGGGTCTAGGAATGCTTGACCCAGATCTTGGAATAATCTGGAAAATCAGCTCATTGCCGGTCTCAGGCCTTGAGGTGCCAGTTTCGAGGCTATCATGAAAACTGCTTGGGACCCACCTTTCATGTGACTGTAGGCGAGAACAAAAGACGCCTGCGGGAAAGATTCAAATTAGATGTGATCACTCACGAATGGCAGGAACACACTCAAAGATCCACAGCAATTTGATTGTAGTTTCAAGCAGAAGACGTACTTATTTTGGGAAATGCAGCCCAACTTCAAGTACGTCGAAAACTGTTCACAATGGTGCGGATCGAATTTTGGTACCAGCAGTTAAGTGCTAAAAATGCTCAAAATAACTAAACCTGCTCCGCCTGGGCATCAAATATTGACCACTACCCATATGAACTTGGGATCCTATATCCGGCAAACCGTGGCACAGCTTCAAGCTCCGCACTGAACGCACAGGAATCCGTCATCCTTGCCGTCCCAATGTGATACTTCGACATATCCCTATGTAGCCGTCCCAAACTCAAACCGCGCTTATCTCTTGTATGCAACTGTGCTTTGGTGGCTGCGGATACCAACTTACTATTCAATATGTTTAAGACAGCCAAATCTTCTCTGGGGATGTGCACACTTGCCCAATTGATCAGTGGTGTGACCTGTTCCTGTCGACGTAGTCGCTGCAACTAACCAAGCATCTTCTGAGCAGTGGCCAGTATGGTCGTATAAATCGTCCAGCAGGTAGATGGTTTATCCCATAGTCCCATTCTGTACTGTGTTTCATAGCTACCAATAGTTACCAACTGGCGCACGATTCTATCCATCCCACAATAATGTGGGCAAAACAATCATAAACCATCCCCCAGCCATCACCATTTTTATTGATGGCATGGTTACCATTCCCAGGCATGGCTGGTTTATGACGTCCTCCTTGGCGCAGCCCATGACTGCTAAAATGCCCTCCTCATCGCGCATCTGCACCTGAACGAAATTTCGCGACGCAGATGGTAAGATACCTACATAAATCAACGGGGCAATATATATATATATACATATATACATATATACATATATACATATATACATATATACATATATACATATATACATATATACAAATATACATATATACATATATACATATATACATATATGCATATATACATATATACATATATACATATATACATATATACATATATCCATATATCCATATATCCATATATACAAATATACATATATACATATATACATATATACATATATACATATATACATATATACATATATACATAGATACATATTTACATAGATACATATATACATATATACATACTTATATACTTATATACTTATACATACTTATATACATATACATATACATATACATATACATATACATATACCTATGCATATACATATATACATATACATATACATATACACATACATAAACATATACATAAACATATACGTATACGTATACACATACATTTACATATACATATGCATATATATTTATGCATATTCTTACCGCATATGGGACATGTAAGAATGGGATATTCTTTACTGCATATCGTGTATGTGTATCTATATATTTATATGTGCCAAACACAAAATGTATCAATGGGGTTCTCTCCAAGTTGGGCACCCCAACTCTAATTCCATAGTTCCTCACCGTTTTCTCATCTTTAAAAGGCTCTGAAGATCACCCCAAACTAGTCATTATTGCAGATATTACACCTGTTTCAGTGAGCCACCTCATGACCACTGTATGGATTTGGGATTTTGATCCTTGATGATGCTTGATTTTGATACCAAGAATCCCGACCCCAATGTTCGTGAATGTTCATTTTCCTCCCGTTTGGGGAGGCAACATGTTTCTTTCATCATCATCATCATCATCACCATCATCATCATCCTCGTTGCCGTCGTCATCTTATTCTTCATCTTCATCATCATTTTCATCTTCATCTTCATCATATTCACCATGTACATCATCTACATCACCTACATGTTCTTCATTTTCATCTTGATAAGGATATGATGGAAAACCAAGGAAATATGTGGTATACAAACCAGCGGGACCAAACCCTGGAATCATTAGCCCAAGACCACCGGGTGACCCAACCAACGCATGGCCGTTCTTCAGCGACACCTCAGCTCTTCACTGGCTCTTCACAGCTGAACCATCTCTCGTGGGTCATGTGACGCTTCTTGAATCCGCTTGAAAGTTTTGATGCCTGCGCGTGTCACAGTGTGTGTGTGTGTGCGTCTCTCTCTCTCTCCATCACCTTCTCCGAGAGTGCGGTGACAGACTGCAGGCGAGCCAACGGACCAGCCCGAAATAGTGTGTCAGCCAGCGAGCTCTGCAGCAAGCCCCGTCGTCATGTCCACACTTGTGTATGTGTTCGTTTATTTATAATGTGTGTATATATATATATATTCATTTACGGACTTATTTATACATAGACATACATGCATTTTTATTAAAATATCATATGTTACAATATATTATTTCAAATACTTGAACATATTATGCTTTACATTATAGTATATTCTATTTTGAAATGTATTGTATGATATGGTACAACTTTTTAAAATATGTTAAATTAAATTTTATTGATTAAATCAAATTAAATGAAATTTGGTCATATCATGTATTAAGTTATATCGTATTAAATCAAATTATATCATATTATGTTTTATTTTAATATATATATATTGTTATTCTGTTGTATTTTATATAAGGTTATATTCTTAAGTTCTATTGCGCTATATTTTAAAATGATATATTATATTACATCATATCAAATCATATTATATTATAACATTCCATATCATGGGATTTTCAATTTTCCTATACATACATTGTTGCATGATAGCTTAAGGTACTTCTCGGGGGGGAGCGGCTTAAGTCTCAACTTGGCCTCACCTGGGAACAGCTCACCCCATCCCAACGCTATGGCCCCCGACAAATTTAGCTCCACCGTAGGGTTCTAGGCCTTCCTGGCTTCGGCCATCACCACATAGTGCTTGAGAACCGATACCTATCGTATAACAAGATGACCCAGTTAGATCAGTGGCTTGATAAAAAATAAATCATATAACACATAAATATATATATATGCATACATACATACATACATACATACATACAAAACATACAAAACATAACATTACATTACATTACATACCATTACATACAATTACATACCATTACATACATACATACATACACATACACATACACATACCCATACACATACACATACACATACACATACATACATACATACATGCAAACATACATGCATACATACACACATACACACATACATACATACATAAATACATACATACATAACATAACATACAAAACAAAACGCAAAATAGCAAAACATAACATAACATTACATACACACATACGTACATACATTTATAAAAATATACATTTATGTCTACATACATACACAAATATAATTACATACATATATACGTACATATATACATACATATATACATATACACATACATATATACATATATACATGTTTACAAATATATATATATACATTCAAAAATACCTATATATTGGCATATACATACATGCAAAAATAGAGATACATATATATATATATATATATGTAAAATATATTAACATATATTTAAACATATTGATATTTTTTAAAGATATGATTACATTTAAATGCATATATATATACATATGTCTACATATATATATTTATATATACATTCAAAAATACCTATATATTGGCATATACATACATGCAAAAATAGAGATACATGTATATATATATGTAAAATATATTAACATATATTTAAACATATTGATATTTTTTACAGATATAATTACATTTAAATGCATATATATATATATGTCTACATATATATAATAGACAAATATATACATATATATCCATATATATACATATGTATACATACGTATATCCATATATATACATATGTATACATATGTATATATTTGTATATACATATAAATACATATGTAAACATATATACATATATATACATATATAAACATATATACATATTTACATATACATATATATACATATATATACATATGTATACATATACATACATATATATACATATATATATAAACATATAAATGTATATACATATTTATATATTTATGTTTTTAACACAAATAATTGCATTTATTTTCACATAGAAACGTATGTATATACATATACATATTTTGACGTATATATATATATATTTACATATATACATAAATATATTTACATATATATATACATATATTCATATATATATACATATATTCATATATATATACATATACATATTTACATATATATATACGTATAAATACATATATATATATATATACATATATATGTACACATATACATATATATGTACACATATACATATATATATACATATATATACATACATAGATATACATATTTACAAATTAATATATATATTGATATACAAATATATATATATATTATACACGTATATATACATAAACATATACATATATATCTATTTACATATATATACATATATATCTATTTACATATATATACATATATTTACATAGTTTTATTTACATAAATATATACATTTAAATATTTATACGTATATTTACATATATATATACATATATCTACATAGATATATATATACATATATATACATATATATATACCAATTTATATATATATATATACATATATATATTTATTTACATAGATTTACATAGATAAATATTTACATATGGATATATATTCATACATATATATATATACGTATTCATTTACATATTTACACATCTACATACATACACATATATAAATATTCACATTTTTACATATTTAGTGTGTCTATATATGTATATATAGACGTATTCATTTAAATATATACACATATACATACATATACACATATATACATATTTACATATATACATGTATTTAGTGTGTATATATATATATATACGTTTGTGTGTGTGAGTGTGTGTGTGTGTGAAACATCTGAATAGATGTAAAACTTCTAGCCATACGGGGGTGGATGAATGGCCTGGCAGTCATCCACCAATGAAGACACTGCCTTCCCATGGTGATATGACGAAGGGACGCCTTTGTCACGTACCTGCTTCATTTTCGGACATGGGATGTGGCCAACCCAAGAACCACCATGCCGTTTCCAAATAACTTGTTTTCAAATTTCTCGATTTGCACGGTTTTCGCAATCTGTCAACTTATTTCATCTAGCACTGGACATGGCGATGGTACCTTTTCAAATTTCTCGGGTCTCTTCACCGACCCATTCCTGTCACGTGTAATTGGAATGTTTTTGCACGTAAGATGCATTCCACATCAGAATTGGCAAAGATTGTTCTGAGCAAGTGTGTGATTCATGCTGGATTCGTCAAGGTGGCATGAACCCTTCGGGGAATGCTTTTCTAAGCAGAATGTGGATGCAACGACCCGATGTCTGAATTTACAGTTTTCAACCTAGTAATTCGTCTAAGTAAAGTGAAACTGCTGGCCATTTTTCGGGTCTCACCTGTCGCCTGTCGATTTGTTAAACAGTGGGCCGCTGTATTGGGCTTCACCTTTTTCTCTAGATCCTTCGACTTGATCTCTGAATTCATAGTTTCAATCTAGTAATTCGCTTACGGAAGTGAAACAGTTGGCCATTTTTCGGGTCTCACCTGTCGCCTGTCGATGTGTTAAACAGCGGGCCGCAGTACTGGGCTTCACCTTTTACTCAACATGGATTTTCAGGTATCAGGACATGCTTGCAGGTATGGTGACTCTTCTTTTTATGGTCGTTGGTACGGTTCAAATGTGCACGTAATTCGAGGGTTGACGACGTAAGCTGTCCATAGGGTTGACTTGACGTCCGAGGGCCTTTGAGCCTCATCACGAATCTTGCATGTTTTGTGGATGCATCATTTCACTCACTAGTCCCCCATGGGTACCCTATTTCATGTGTTCTCCCTCTCTACAGGTAGGTTGGGTTCTGCGCGTGCTCAGGTAGGCGTAGGTACCGCTGTGGTAGGTTGGTTTAGGCGCTTCCGTCCTCCCCCCCCAACGCTGGTCTTGTTCCGTGTCCGTCGGCCTCCGCTTTTCTTTTCCCCTGCCCTTTCAGGGTTTGCCCGCTTTGGGCCAGGTTCACTTGTGTTGGTGTTTGCTCCTTCCTTCTTCTTTTGCGTTCCCCTCTTCGCGTCCTGGCTGAGTAACTTTCATCTTAATTTCATTTTCACCTCATCTTCATTTCCTTTCATTTTCAATATCATCTCATTGTCCGGACCTTAATTTTCCCACCCTCCCGCGGGAGGGTGTGTGTGTGAAACATTTGAATAGATGTAAAACTTCTAGCCACACAGCAGGGGGTGGATGCATGGCCTGGCAGTCATCCACCAACGAAGACACTGCCTTCCCATGGTGATATGACGAAGGGACGCCTTTGTCACGTACCTGCTTCATTTTCAGACATGGGATGTGGCCAACCCAAGAACCACCATGCCGTTTCCAAATAACTTGTTTTCAAATTTCTCGATTTGCACGGTTTTCGCAATCTGTCAACTTATTTCATCTAGCACTGGACATGGCGATGGTACCTTTTCAAATTTCTCGGGTCTCTTCACCGACCCATTCCTGTCAGGTGTAATTGGAATGTTTTTGCACGTAAGATGCATTCCACATCAGAATTGGCAAAGATTGTTCTGAGCAAGTGCGTGGTTAGAAGATAATACAGATAATATAACCCTTTAATCTAAGCCATGAACCCACTAACCACTTAGATTAATGGCTATTAATGGGTTAGACGAAAAGATTTTACTTCAGATGATGCGTCGGGACCACAAAATGCCAGCGTCAGTCTGGGAAAAATTGAAGATAAACTATAAGATTTGGGGCGCCCTATTTACCCACTTCAACGTGGTGCAACTGAGGAATGACCCCAAAGCGTCCTTGAAATCCCTCCAGCGCAAGGTTGAAGGAAATTCGTCCTCAGCACCGTACTCGTGGGTTCCAGGACAGGAGACAATATGGGTGTGTCTGGACATGAGGTATATACCCGCAATAGCTATTTAGCTCTTCAAGCGCACTGTTCTTGTCTGGCTCCCCTTCGGTTTGCATCTTGTACACTGTCTGGTTGGCCCATTTGGCGTGATACAGGCTGGAACTTTTCATCCACACCCGGGTTGGGCGGGATTGGGGCGCTTGAGAAGAAAAACAGGATGCAGTTAGAGCTATTTGCAGCTCTTCAAGTGCACTGTTCTTTTTCTGGCTCCCCTTCGGTTTGCATCTTGTACACTGTCTGGCTGGCCCATTTGGCGTGATCCAGACTGGAACTTTTCATCCACACCCATTTCACCTGTCTGTCGCTCTGTAAGCAGATGCCACCATGATTCACTGGGAATGGACCATCGCAGAAAAGCTCTAGCCCTGGCGGACACCTCTGGAAAACTCTGAGCAGCTTGAAGGATTCGAGCTTTGGTGTCTGGCAACTGGCTCGAAAAGAAAGTGACAGCAGCAGACTCCTGCAGGTAAATTTCCATCGTCCTGCTTGCTAACCATCGGCCTCTCCTTCTTACAAGCTCACTGTCCTCTGTCAGGTTGAGGAGATGTGTCGCGCCCCCGGCTCGAAGCGAACCTAAGTCCAGAGCACGGTCTCCAGCAGTAGATTGGTCTGGCAGTTTCAGGGCTCTCAAAAGCTGTCGGAACCTTGTACGCAAAGTCTGACCTGAAAATGGCCAGAGTCGTTGTTGAGGCTGCAACCGCTTGAATTCTCGGCAACCAAGCATACCATGTCAGTGTAATCCATCTTGGCAACTTGATGGCGCGCTGCACGGAACCTCGTCTTAGGTTCCTGAATCTTGAACAGTATTGATGCAGAGGCGTGCCCAACGTCACATGGTAGCACAAGGTCTCGACGCAATGCCGTCAGTACCTCTCCTATCCGCATTATTGCGGACCAGGAAATTGCAATGACACCTGCAACCAACGGCCAGCCCCAGGTCAATGCCGCAGCAACCAGTCCTAGCAGCACAACTGCTGGGCAAGCAAGGTGATGCTCATATGGCTCTTCCCTGAGCCATGAAAAAGCATAGTCCCAGGCTCCTGACAAAAGTCTTCTGATCGAAGGAACTTTTGAACCTATGGCGTTGATGGTCTCGCTGTAGTGACTGTAAGGCCTCCCTGCAGGAAAAAGCGCTTGGCCATACTCTGATAGAGTTTTGGCAACGACCTCCGGAGTCCTCGGCGCATCCCGGAGCAGACCGTCAAAGTCTATTCCCCTTGAGGTACACCAGTCACTGAAAAGACCCAGAAGTCGCTCACGGTTGTTCTTCCTCAGTTGTTGGACCGGTCTTCCAAGATCAAGCATGATACTTCCCCGCCGTTCAGCTCGCTTGACGTCTTCAGCGTTCCGCGGCAAAAGACCATGGCTTGGCACAGGAGACCTAACTACAACTAAGCCAAGGAAGAAATCCAAAAGAAGAGGAGAAAACCACTGCCCCGACCCTCCCCAGGATAGCCCAAAGTCGAATCGAAGTCCATGGAAAATTCATGAAATCCAATGGGAAGCTGGCTGGAACGCATCCTCCATTCATCAGGGGAGGTACCTGGGATTGAAAGAAAACCACGGCAGGACAAACCTATCACAAGGGCGACCCAATTTGCGGCCCATCGCTTGCTTTTGGGAAGCTTGGAAAGTCCATAGAGCTCTGAGATTGGCAAGGTTTGGAAAGCTGGCTTGTCACTGCATGGAGTTCTAAGAGGAACAGATCGTGTTGGATCATCAGAAGGATTCAAACGCGTAGGGTAGGACAAAACAAACCAACACCGTAACAGTCAAAGGCAACGGACAAGGCCATGATCTTTCTTAGAAGCGGCGCCAGTGCCTTCGAAGCTATTCTTCCTTTGGCTAATGCTCTCAAGGCCACAAAAGAATCAACCAAAACTGAGAAACGGCCTCCACCTCGTCGTGCAATCCTCTTGACAACCTGAAGGATGGAAGCTAGCTCAAAAATATTGATATGGCTAGTCCCTGACCATGGCCACGCAGCGCCAACGGCCCACTCAGCATTCTTTGCGATGTCATTTACTAAAGGTGACTCAAGCCCTTCAGTTTTCAAATCAAACGCCTTCTCAAGTTTCTGACCATGGCTGAGGTGACGCTCGAACATCTCACCCAAGGCATGCACAAGTCCAGGGCAATAAACAGCTGATCCTTTGGCAAGAGACGCTTCTATCTTCACATGCTTGTGGTCTCTTGTACATGGGCGGCAAATGCCCTGAGGGACCATGTTGCAAGTCAGGAAGCGAAACTCTTTTTGGAAAAGGGAACTCAAGGAGCATGACGCCGTGTAGGTCTCAAAGATGTTCCGCAACGTAAGCAGAAATTGCCACTCTGGAAGCCAAGCCATCTTGCCTCTTCTAGGTTGTTCTCCAAGGCCAAAAGTGTTTGTAGCTGCTGCTACAAGCAAGAGGCAAAGAGCAGCGAAAGCCAATCGATTCCTACCCAAGTCTTACGATCTTGCTGGCAGAACCCTCTAGGTTGGCTGTACGATCGCACACACGGGTGTGCAGCAGGCGAAAATGATGTGCATGGCGGTTCCACGGCAAAAGATTGGAGGCGCCCATGCTGAATCAAGAAGATCAGCCATCCAAGCACATTTGTCTTAAGCAAATCAAACTGCTGGGAATATGTAATGTCGATTATTGGGCGTACACAAAATCCACGCCTATTCATTTCATCGCTCAAGACGCCAGAGCCGCCACAAATCTCAATAAAGTCAAAATACTGGGCAAGTGTGCGGCTGGGTGCTATGTCAGGAGGTGCCTCAAGTCCAGGCAAAGTCCAACCTCCGTCATCTAAGGCCTCTGCGAGCTCTGATTCATCAAGCCCATCATGAGAACGGATGAACTGATGAGGAAATGGCTCGAGACAAGAGTATCCCCCTTTGAAATCACCAGACTGCCACACAAGAGTAGCAACTGGTTCCGGCAGGGGGGCTTCACAAAATGCCCCTTTGTGGTTCGAGGCATCGCTGGCAAAAACACTCTGGAGAACTGGAGCTTGGATGTTTGATGCAAGGACTGGCAACAAAATGGCAGAAAGCACAAACTTAGCCCTACTCAGAGGCCAAAGCACTGGATGTTCGGTCGAAAGCTCTTGGGGGGGATCACTGCAAAAACCCTCGAAAGCAAACACATGGCACACCTACGGAAGCAAAAGGCTGAAACCAATGAGCCAGCAAGTGACGCATGAAAAGCATCTGTGGTATACGCAAGTGATGCTCCTTCCAGGCACATCCATGACAAGGCAAGTCTCTTCTGGGAGGGTGCTCCAACAGCAACAAGGCCTTTACTGGCAAGCTCGGCTCTGGAATCAATTTCAGCCCCAATGACAGTGGCCTTGGTTTGCTCTATGATATCCTTCAAGTCTGAGCCCTTCAAGTTCTCTGAAGCATATGCGTCCTTAGCTCTACGGAAGGCTTCATGGGCCTTGCTCCTAGGGAAGCTGGCATCACCTTGAGTCTTGAGCTGACCTACAGGAACTTGGGCGATGGCAAAACAGTCATCAATCACTAGCCGCACTAAGGTGAACATCTGAGGGTCGGACAAGGCGAGAACTGACAAGGTTTTCATCAGAACCAAGAAGTCCATGGCTTTTTGAGAAGTCCTGCATGTGAGTCTATCCCAATTTCAACTCCAAGCTGGTCTCCCTGCAGGATTGCTCCGAAAGCTCCAAACACAAGCGTATCTGCATCGATCTTCCTGGGAAACTCATTTGGGACACCATTCAGCGCATCTCCGAAGACAGCTCGATCAAGCTTGCGAGGTTTCTTCAACGCTTTTGCGAGAAGCGCAGCACGGGCCTTTGTGCCCTCGAAATCTCCAAGGCGGAAGGCTGGCCATACGCAGTTCGTTTGGCTTCGTTCATCGGAGACTCCTATTTGGTGGTAAAAATCAGCTCGGTCGGTGATGCAGATCTTGACCCCATGCTTGGGAGCAATCTGAAGCCTAGTCAACAAAGCTGCAGTTGGAAGATCCTTACTGGGGCCTGGGATCCTTGACTCGTATCCGTTCTGCCGGCGGCGATCTCCTATCTGTCGGTCATACAGGCTATCTTTAAATGCTCCAAACAATCGAACCTTCCGGTCAGGAGAAAGTCCAACTTGGGAAGCCGGATGAAGCTTCAGCAAATCCAAAGAAGCCCATTTGATCAGGAGATCGAAAATGGCCTGAAGTTTTCACGAGCTAGGTCTGGAACGGCTCGACCATAAACTGGAACATCGCATTCGAAAATCTTGGGCTCAAGAAAAGGCATGTAAAACTCAGGTGAAATATGCTCTTCTGCCTTCCAGTGACCGGTGCCTGAGATCTTGAGCCTCTCAGGTCTGACCTCTGAGAAAGGAGAAAGCTTGGGGTAGCCAGAATTGTCAACCTTTACTTGATGCCCTGAAGCATGCTGGTGGTATGGGCTTTCTCTGAAACCGAGTGAATCTGCAGCAGCTGTCAACTCTTGTAGCCTGGCAAGCAACTGCAAATTCTTTCGACCCGATGAAGCTACCTCGACTGGGAGTCCAGGGTCACACGCACTCAAAAGCAGTTCAAGGTGCTGAAAAGCACGGAGCTGAATCTCATGTGGCTGCCTCCGGAGCAAATCCAAGGGAGGTGTACCACGGGAGCAGTATGTATAATTTAATGCACACACCACTACATGCATGGCCCTCATCAAAGCTTGGGAACGAAAGCTACTCTTGGAAAGTCCAGGATCCACAGGTGCATTTGGCCAAAAACTGGGCAAAGGCAACGGGAACAGTGCGGTAGAAGGGGCTTTGGGCCCATCACATCGGAGAACCAGGGTGCTGGCAAGAAACCTACTAAAAGGGCTTCTGCATTTCAAGGCTTTTCGGCAAAGGCTCATACACCAATCCGTGAAGGAAAAACTGAACGAAGAAATGTCAGAAGTCCACTTGGTATCAGAGCTGGAGAAAGGTGCCGAAGTTGAAGAGGAACTTGGCCTGGAAACACCAGGCTGCGCATCGCAAGACTCAAAAGCTTCAGGTTGTGTCTTGCTGTTGAATTTAGGACCTGAGTGTTCAAACCGCCCAGGCTTGGTTCGTGGTGCATGTAAAGGTACAACAGGAGAATCAGCTGCCGAGGCTTTTGCTGTTGGCTTCTGATTGGCGCGCGCTAGGTTGTGTCTGAGCTGGCAGGTGGATCTGGATTGTTCCCCCGCCGCTTTGGCTTTGGCCTTGGTTTTGGCCTCTGGACTGCGTTTTGCTCGCTGCTTGACTTTGGCTTCGGTTGGGCAGCTTCGGATCTCTTTGTCGCCAACACTTCCTGCTCCTTCAGCACAGCTAGGGCTGTGGTGGCCCATTGTTGGGAGCAAAGTGGAGCAAAGGCTCTGCGACCTCCCGTTGCAGAAGCTCCGCGGTTCATCCATAGAGAATGAGGAGGATCTTCGAAAAGGCCCAGCATCCATGCAACTCCCCACTGATTGCCGTCCATGTTGGCTTGTTCCAGCATCACGGCAAGTAGTGCCGTATGATCCCTCACTGCACCCATGTTGTTGTCCCGCGCTGCCTCGAAAATATGAGCTACGCTCCACATCACCAGACCCAGTTCTCGCTGTGCACCAAAGCCTCCATACCGTTCCAAGTAGGTCATAAGGCTTGTGTTGCCCACATTCCCTAGGCTGTCTGGAGGAGCTGTCGTAGGACTCTGTCTGCGGTGAATTGCTTGACACGCCTTCAAAAAGAACTGGCCGTTCTGCTGGGCAAGCTCCCGTTGCAATCTCTCTCGCCCGGCTGCACCTTTCACCCCCAGTCCGGAGGAACTGCCTGTCAACTCCGCCATGGGATCCGATGAGGCCGAGCTGAGGTGAGAGACGAAAGAGACCAAGGCCCTGCTCTGCTGAAGTAGTGCCTCTGCATAGGGATGTTGAGTGGGATCCACTTCCAATGGACGGCCGTCCACCTCCGCCGTGAGATCTATCGGCTCGTCCTCTGGCAAAGCTCGGAGGTGTGCTGCTGGCGAAGTCTGGAAGCTCTTTGTCTTGGGAGGTGGACCTATCTGAGAAGCAAAGCTTGGGAGCAATGGAACTGTCAATGGAGATTGTCCCAGGACGCTTGACACTGGGGCCGCTGCTCTGCCGGTTGATGGAGGCCTTATAGGGACTGAGGGCTGAGCACCCGCCATGTTCTGTTCGAAGGCTTCCTGACGTGCAGCAAGGCGATCCAACTGTTGAGTCAGAGTTGGCAAAGCCCCCAACAAGGTCTCGACCCGATTCTGCAGTGATGCCACCGTGGCTCTCTTGGGAGCAGCTCTTTTTGGCCCTGGCGGCTTGCCTTTGAGCGAAGTGCCAAGATGCGGGATACCTCCAGGGGTGACAGGTACCGCTTCTTTTTGGGCCGTGTAGTAGTCTAGCCTCTCCTGTTCTTGAGCTGCAATCCAATCTTGGGCCAGACCCAGCACTTGAGAGGGTATCGGGATGGCATGATGCAGTCCTTCTTCGAAGGAAACGGCTTCGTGGTGTGCTTCTTGAGCTGGCTGAAAGTCCATCAACAGGGTCTCGGTCTGAGCAAAATCCATGTCCACTAGGAGGACCTCCGCTTGAGTATCCAGATCCAAATCCTGATCGAGGTCCATCAGTCGGCAGACTACTCGGCAGCATGGGCCTACCAACGCCTCCTGACCAGGGTCGATCATAGCTGCATAGGAGTCCAAGACCTCGTCGGAGATAGCCAGGCCCGGGAGTGCAAGAAGAGCTCCCCCCCTCTCTGAACAACACTATAGCCGCCTGCATGTAGATAGAGTAGTCCTGATCGTCTGCAGCTGGCCACACCAAAATCTTCATGGTTGGAGGGCCATCGGCCAGGGACCTTCTTGGGATCAGCGCCATTGATGTTGTGAAGGGAGGCGGGGTCCGGCTCCTTCACAATAGACGTTGGCTTCAGACAATGATGGGAAAGAGTGGCACACCACGTTGCTTCCTTCCAGGCGTCCTGTGATCCTGTAGAAATCCGAAGCGTTTGACACTCTTGTTGGTGCTTCCAATCCAGGTGCGAAGGATGACGTAGACCTTTGGACGAAGTGGAAAGCTCGGAGATGCTCGAGGTGTCCTGACTCTGCCTTGCAAAGTGAGCCCTGCCCAAAAGCCTGCTTCCCAAGCTCTCTTGGCCCTGAACTCAATGGAGGAGTCTCCGGCAACCAACGACTGGCAATCACGAAGAATCCAATGAGGCACCGGAGGAATTGTCTCCGCAAAGGAGTTGTAGTCGCTGTAGGCAATCTGCACTGGCTGAGTTCTGATACCTTGGACCTGAGGGGGCGAAGGTTCCTCAGTGATAAGTTCAAAGCTATCTTCCCTGGCTGTTGACGATACAGCTGGGGCAGCGGACGCTGCAGCTGGTGCTCTTTGCTATGGGCTATTTTCAAGTGCAATTGAGAGCCTATTCAAGGCTCGAACCCAATCTGAAACCTGGTCAAGAGGATTATCACTCATGCAAGGGCCTATACCCTGCAAGCCGTTGTCTGGCCCGGAGGACCGCAAGTTGGGCTGGTGCCCCGGCAACTGGTGACGATTGGTTCGATGGCACAGAGAAAAAAATCCACAGGCAAAGGAGGAAGCATGTGAGAAAATCCAGGATGAATCCAATCAGGAGAAAGAGAAGCCAGGTGGAAAGGGAAGAGCCCGAGCAGTGGATGGGACACTGAAGACCCCAGAAACCGGTCAAAAAGCCCTCGCGGATTAGGAGGAACCCTTGAAAGAGCTGCTGGAGCCCCATACGCGCTTGAGAAGAAAAACCGGGTGCAGTCAGAGCTATTTGCAAGTAGGATAATGATGATAATCCATTGGACTTGATAATTAGGGATACTCTATTTTCAAACAAACCCATAAAGATGAATGGCGAACGGCTGTGGTTCGCAGCGCCGAGAATCAAAACGAAGTACCACGCCCCTGTCCTCGGGGAGCAAATGCAAACAGTTCATCGGCTGTTCACCTGGGTTTGTCTAGAGATGGCTACGAAATCCCAAAGTTGATCAGGGTAGACACTGGAAAAAATTGCCTACTAGAAAAAACGTAAGATTCACCCCTACTCTCCACACTGGAGAAAGACTTAAGACACTGCGAAAAAAAACTTAAGAATCTGCACTCTAAACCTTTTTGCAGCTGAAATCTTTTATTTGTACAATATTTGCAGGGGTTTGGCACTTAAAAATGCATTTGGCATCATTTTAAGGCGTTTTCGCCTTGAGTTAAAATCTTTTTTTATATTTGTATAATATTTGCAAGGTATTGGAATTTAAGTGTGCAATTTGCATGGTGTTTAAATCGTTTTTGGCCTTGATTGAGTCCCTTGTTTGCACCGTGCTCGCAGCATCTTGGAGCCAGCATCTGTACTACACATGGTATTATCTGCAGTGAGAGGGGCAGGACAGACCCCACCAATTGGTTTGTACACTCTGAACCAAGAAACCTAAGGCCTTGGGCACCCAGTCCATACACACCTTCTGTCTTGAGCAGGAACGTTCCGACCACAGTCAGTCTTACAAAATGCAGTTTTGGTCAAGGTTTTTAGATGTCACTTTACGGCTTAGTTGGAATTGTTTGGGTGTTTTTTGGTGCTTCTTTCAGTCCGTTTTAGGGATGCTTATGTAGGACGTTTGGTTTAGGTTTGATTGAGGGTTGGTTTGTGGCCTGTTCAAGGTTGCTTTCGGGCTCAGAAAGGTTTAGTTCTGGAGATAAAAGGATGAGAAGGGTAAAGGATCAGGATGAGGAGGGGGGACCAGGGGATCAAGAGCCAGGGACCAGAGGACCAAGGGACCAGAGCAAGTCCGAGCAGCCCAATTCTTTGCTATCTCCACAGCTTCATCTTCCACACCTCACTGTGCATTCCAGCCAGCTACAGTGACTAGCAGGTGTCACCTGCATGAAGTGCAATTGAACCCTTGAACTGTGGCATCCTCCGCCATATCTAGGACCATCACGTCTTCGTTTCTCTTCTGGGTTCTCGTGAATGCCTCGGTCGACCCTGTTTCGGTCTTACATGCAGGGCCCTTGAAAAATCATGAAAAAGTAAAGCGAGTCCGCTGCCAGATGTTTTTCACCCACTTTATGGGTTCATGTAATGGTTAACCACGGACAAACCATGATGAAAGCCATCTGAGTCCACCAAACAAATCCAAAGATGCTCCCCCTGTGGGCCCGTGGCTCTCGTTTTTTCGCTTGGGCGCAGTCTCCTCAGGGTGGAATCCCCCTCGCCGTGGGGGACATGGCAGTTGTACAACACGAAATCATTTCGGGAAAGCTCATCCCTCAGAACCGAGCGTCATTCCTGACCATGACATGTGAAATGACCTGAAATCCTCAAAAAATTGGTGAGTGTCTGTTCCACATTCCACATGTCAAAAAGCATCACCCATTTGAACCCCTCCTCGCGCGTCCGTCGGAGCTCACTCAACTGCTTCCTCCGCCCCAGGAGGGCACAAGCTTTGAGACCATAGGGAGGTGGGGATTCATGCGACGCCCAGGATGACCTCCGGACAAATGGTGTTTATGCGCCCTTATTGTTTGTTGCGAGTTGTTGTTCGCACCTATTAAGACATCAATAATAAAGCCATGGTATATCATTATTGCCATCATTCTGATTGATAATGAAGCATTATTGTTGCAGGGAGGGTGGCGTGGCTTCCCATAACTCCCATCCCAAACCCAGAAGCTAAGGATGCTGACGCTGGTGCCAAGGACTCGCCCTTCCAGGACAAAGGTTCCCTCAACGGCCACTTCAATGAGCATCAAAATTCAATTTTCAAAACATGTATACCCCAAAATCAGACCTCGCTTACAACTCTTCAATTTTCTCAACTTACAACTCACACAGATTGCACACGCCTGGAAAGCAATGGTAAAAATGGACTAGGGTGGGGTGGGGGGGTGGGGTGGGGTGACAATCACGTTCAGCTGCACGTACACACGTCTGGAATGCGAGGGGAAGATGATGGGGGGTGGGGTGCGGCACGGTGGGGCAACAATGGCATTCAACTTGCAAACACGTGTGAATGGTCATCTCGAGAGTTGCAAGCGATGCAGAGACAAGAGGTTTCCAAGTTGAGATCTCCAAGTCCCGCACTCCAAGGCAACAATGGCAGCTGCTGCCTCCCAAAAGGAGAGGGATGCCATCACACAAGCTTAAAAAGACCTTCCAACCCCCCAGAACACTAAAGAAATCATGAACTGACAGTTGTTGGCAGTGCCTCAACAAGATCCCTTGGACAACAGGGAGTATGTGACAGCTCACTGCAAAATCGGGCGCCCCTTTCACTGAAGCAAAAAGTACCAGAGACTAACGAGGCAATTGGTTGGCGCTTGCGCCCTTGAAACACTGGCGATTCTCCGTCTTGGCTTAGCCAACCTGGCCCCAGGCTGATTTGCCAGCTGCACACCTGTGGCTGGACCCCTTTCACGCGTTGCTATGCGGACTCGCCGACGGCGGGATTGGCTGATATCTGTCTATCAGCCGCAGACTTGGATTGGTGAAAGGCCAGCACAACACAGCCATCGCTGTGGACCTGGCAATTTGGAGCAATGCGGCTGGAAGGGACGAGTCTCAATTAAGGATGGCGGATGGCACCATCTGAAGTTTCCACGAGTGTAACTAAATGTATGCAAAACAAGTGGCTGCACGGAAGAATCTAGATTATTAGCCCACCTTCATGCATTCATCCAAATCAAGGACTTACTATTTTCCCCAATTTTCCCCATATTTTCCCATATTTCCCTACAATTTCTATATTTTCTCAACGTCCATGCCTTCCAAAGAAGCCATCCAGACTGTTGTCCCCAGCGTTGCCATTGCCAACCATGCTCCAGGGATCCCACGCATTCACCAGCAAACCTGGCTTCGCTTATTGGCGCATGGTGCAGAGCTCCCAAATATAGATACACATAACACACAAAACATATTTAGACATATGTAGACATACACATATTTTTTTAATATATACAAGATGTGTGTATATGACTATTTTTCCTTATGGCTGCCAGAAGCTAGTGCTGCGGCCACTGCAGATAAATTATGTCTTTAGATGTCTTTAGGCTTCAAGTTTGAACCGCGAAGGCCGGGCCTGCGCACTTGCCAAAAATGGAAACCTTCATTTCCATGGCATGCCTTCGGAACTCCGGGCCTACCCCGACCTCCCCATCAATCTCATGTTAATGGAGAGTGTGAAAAAATCCTTCTGCTAGACCTACGCAAAGGGATGGAGGGTCTCTTTGAGCTAGCTCGTGCGCCAGGTTCCATCGGCTGATCAGCCAATTCACGTCTGCTGTCACTTGCCAGCATCCCAAATGGGGAGTCATCTCTGGGATATTAAGCAGAAGGAGCCCGGTTGGTTTCTTGCTGAAAGCACCCGAAAGGGCTGCAATAGCGAGGTGATCAAGAGCTCGATGGTGAAAAGCGATAGCGCAAGTTCCCCGTGAACAAGTGGTCCAAGTCTCGCAAAGCCAGCGATGCCAAGCCCCATAGTGAATATCTCTGTCTCGGATGATGCAAGGCACGCACTCAATGAGAGTCAGTACAAGCCTTGCCGCGTGCCTGTGACCAACTCTCACAGGAGGCCCACACTACAGCTCGTTCACGTACTCCACGAAGCCAGAATTCACGCACAGAGTCTTTAGAAGCGTCTCCCCAGTGTTGATTTATAGTAATCTCGAGCGACACCGTGTGAAAAAAAAACCGTTGTGCTTCTCCTGGATAGCGTCCAGGAAGTGCTAAAAATCACCTCTTCGTCGCCTGCCTGAAAAAGCTTGAGTGGAAAAGCGCTCAGGTTGTGGAATGCTCCATGCACCAGAAGCCTTTTCCTTCGATGAGCCCTTGTCGTGTCGAGCAAAGCTTCATATGACTCAAGCTCTTCTCTCATATCCGATCTCGGATGCGCCACTCGATGCAGGAAAGTCCACGCACAGGGCTGCTGCATATAAAGAAATACATCTCGTAGGTCTTGATGACATGGAGCCAAAACAGCCAAATCATCAGCGCTCAGCTCCTTCTCCATGTGCACCAGAGAAGCTCTGCAATGCTGCCAAGATATAGGTGTCAGCGTGATGACATTCTGAACAATGTCAAAGGTGTCCTGGGCCTGCTCACCCTCAACCAAACCAAGGTAGATCGCCTCGATGGGTCAAGGTCATAGTCCATGTCACCAACGGGAAGAACTGCAGGGAGATGAGGACCTTCACCTTGAAGAGTAAGATACCATCATGCTTGCGATCCTGCCCCCGGCACTGGGTGAACATAATGTCTCCTCTGCAAAAGTATGCCTCTACACCCGTTGGAACCAAGTAGATGAGTTTTGAGCTTCCCATTCGTGCGATATTCGCGCAAACAAGCACCACAGCTTGTTTGGTCAAAAAGCCGACGTACATGCGAGACAATCTTGTGCTTTTTGAAGTTGTGGGCCCCCAAACCTCCCCTGGTGCGGAAGCATCGATCACACGCGATGCATGCATGGATCTCGGTTTGTGACTCACCTGTCTGAACGTGGTCCTTCTGCACGCTGCCCTCCACAGTGATCAGGTTCTCCTGCTTGAGGACGTCAATGAATCTCCTATGCAACGCATGTACCAGTTGAAGGTTTCGTCTCTGCCGGCAAGCATGCTCTGCTGCCCTTAGCACCAGCCGCTTCCAGCAGGACCTGTGATGTCGCAATATATTCTCCCACGCCCCAAAGTTCACGTCAGGGTCACGAAGAGCGCACGCCATGCGCAACTGTCTCCACATCCATCTGATGTCATCCTCTATCATTGCCCGCCAAAGGCCGTCGGCTTCAAAAAGCCCCCACGGTACAACGTGAGCACAATGATACAGAGTCCCAATGTAATGTAGGCGTGCCACCCTGAGAACTTCGGTGGGAGAACCAATGCCTTTTGTTGCTAGCGCTTCTTCATCAGAAACTTGTTCTCGACAAATAGCTGAAGAAGCCGTTCGAAAAGCCTCAACAAAGCGCTGTGCACATAGCTTTTGGAAGGTTGCTCCTTCAAAGTCCATGATTCAATACCATAGCAAAAACGACTCATCACTAGGCTCGGAAACAGCTCTCTCCTACGTCTCAGAGAGGGTTCTGCAAAAGATATCTTCTGTGCTGGGAGAAGGTCTGCTCCAACCAAAGGAAGCCATTCTCACATGCAATCCACAGTCCATGGCCTGAGCGAGGACCAAAGTATTTTGTTTTCATCTGGTGGCTTCCAGGCCCTCTTAGTGGCATGAGAATCTCCGCCTTCCCTGGTTGCAGGTTGGGAGTGAGAGCGTGCCCTTCACAAAGACAAAGAAGTATTCCTGCTGCATGGCCTAGTTTGTTCTCTAAGCCCGTCGCTGTCGAAGAAGAGACGCATACACATGCGTCATCCATCCACGTTGGTCCTAAGAAGGGACCGATTCTGGAATCTTCATGTCTCTGGGCAGCGCAAACATGTAGACTCTCTCTGATGAGGATGTCCTCAGCCATGCCCAATCTGCGCAGCTCATCTTGGAGAAGATGCAAGATCTGACTCCATAAGTAAGAGAAAATGACATCTGCGAAACTCTCTCCTGGACGCATCCCGAGCTCAGTCCGGCAGAAGTCCCGTCGACCTCTGATCTGGAAAAGGGTGTCTACATGGAGTGCTTGAATTGCGTTTCTCATGTGCTGAGATAAACCTGCTTGACTGAATGCATCTGGTTGTCCTAGCAGTAGGTGTAAATCTCTCAAGGCATCCTCAGGGCAGCTGCAGACGAGCACACACTTTGCCCAGAAGCGCATCAGTAATGGGTCCACCTATTGCGAGTTGCCGGATGATCCTGTAAAATGCCTCCTTGAGGTCCAGGTACACCATTCCCACGCAGTCACCTGCTGCAACCTTGGACCAAAGAAAGGCTCTGCCCATGTGGGCCCCAAGAAAACCGGAACCATTTTGTGGCCTCCTAGTTGCTCTTGCTGGAGAAATCTCTCAAACAAAGAACATTGAGTCACGAATCGTGTGGTGTAAAGCTTTCCCCAGATGACTTGATGCCAGCACACTTCTGTATGATGATGGGTCATTTTGTGGCCCTTTAGATTTCCACAACGGACAGAGGAAACCTCCTTCGTGACTCAAAGCTTCCTGGCCGTGTGTCATAATCTTCAGGGCTTGACGAAAGGTCTTCTTTGCAATAATTTGGGGAGCAACTTTGCAAAAGGCTGGATGTAGAAGATCAGGTCCAACTGCTTTGGTGGGATTGATGCGCAGAAATGAAGCCTCTAGATCACAAAGGCGAGGAAATTCATCAACGTCAATGTTGAAGTGTGATTGTTGAAGTTTCCTGAGGTTCTCCCACCAAAGACAGCGCTATTTTGCGGACTGAACTCGTACTCCTACTTCCATGTTTTGGCAGTTCACATGCTTTGCCCTCTTCAGACAAGTTATGGTAGAGTGTTCACCTTCAGCTTCTTCAGGTTGGAGGGTCCAAGAATTGGCCGCAGGGTGTGAAGGATTTGCGACGCAGAGATGTTGTGGTCCATTGTGTCTCTGATCTTCTCCTTCTTTGCGTATTGCAGGCCCTTCCTGGGCGCTTTGGAGGTGCAATGAAGTTGATCCCATCAGGAAAAGCCTCCAGTAGCACATGAGTGCTTTGAGAATGATATCCTCTACGCATGCATTGAGCCACTTCACGCGTCAGATGTTTTCGCAGCTTGCTTTTTGCAGGAGGCACTGCAATTCGAAGATTATCCCCAGGATGTAGCGCGATGAGGCTTTGATCCTGGACTGGAATCGAAAACCCATTCCTCCACATCAAGCACGTGTCCTTGACGTACTTGCAGTAGTTGGTAAATCCAAGCAAAACCAAACTGTGCTTCCCTGCCTAAAAACTGGACTGTTCTCGTCATTTCTGGCGCCAGTGATGGAAAACTGTTGTGAAACTCAACATCGACTAGGACCAGCTGAAAAGTCGAGCCATGATTGGTGTCATTCTCAAGTTGCGCAATGCATGGAATGATTCCATTCAGATATTGATCTTTGGGAGGTGCATTCATGCGGTGCAGGTGCAAAGGTTGATGTTCACCTGCAAAATTCAGCCACATCGCTATGAAGCTCCTCATACCTTCTCCATCTAGGTCTGCATGACAAAGGCGCATAGTCCAAGGTGTATATCATTGTTGAAGTGCGAAAGTCGTCTGCAGTGCCCAAAATGCTAGAAGACTCCTCACTCTCTTCAATCTCCATGTCACCGTGATGGTCTTCAAGAGGATCATCTAGGTCCCGTGCCATGTTTGGATTGTGGATGACCGCTCGTTCTCTGCCATTTGAAAGTGCTGCAGTTCATCCGTTCTTGAAAAGCGCCCGAGGCCATCAAAGAAGTAACATCTGAAGCATCTTCGTCTCCAGAATGAGTTTTTGTTTGCTCGGACGTCCAAAAAGTCAACAATGTCCTGAGCAAGAGGTACTTCAGGATGATGTCGAAAAAGTTGAATCAGCTGGCGTAAAGCTGGACCTTTCTTGATGGGACCAGTTCTGCAATGGGTCAACTGAATGGGACACCATAGATGATCTCCCCCAATGGGAATCTCCTAGAAAGGAGCAAACTCTACCTTCTTGACTGTGGAACCTCCTACTGTGCGTGAAGTCGTACAACAAGATCTAGGTCTAGGTTGCCCTGGAACAAATGTGCCTAGTTCCCATGCAAGAGCAAGTTCTTAAATGGAAGCTGCCAAAGGGAGCTTAAATGGTGGTTCTTGAATGATGCAGTGGCTCCATCGCAAAAACGCACTCTCTGAGCCTGTACTCTGTCTAGGGCAAACCTCCTTGAAGTCTATTTGGCCGGCACTCCAAAAGCCTGCATTTAAGGCAAAGCATGCGAAGGACGTCCACCACTGCCATCTTCTATGGTATCGTCTTCTTCCTTCGGGCCTTCTGTGCGCGGCTTCTTGGGTCTGTGTTCTCCTTCGATGAATGCAGCTTCTGCCTTCTTCTTCATCTGCTCCAGGATTTTGGCCATGAAGCTGATGTTCTCCTTGATGGTTTCTGATTTGTCCACATGATCTATGACATACTCGTCTGAAATGTCGATCAAAGACTCCGCATCGCTCTGCTTAATGGCCTCCCTTCTCGCATCTACATCCGTTCACGCATCCTGAAGGTTCCACCTGGCTTTCTCTGCATCCTCTGAGACTCTGTGCGTGCGTCGCCCATTTTCTGAACTGCTGCCTGTTAACCCTTTTGTTAATGTCACTGGAAGATCTGTATTGGCCATGATTTGTTGCACCTCCGTGGGAATGGGCTCGTCTTGCTTTTTTAGGGCACGTACAAGTCGGTGAAGTTGTTTCTTTGTCTGAGTAGGTGCCTCTCCCGCCGTTGATGCGTTGCCTGCCGAATTGGGGTCCCAACGAGGATCTGGCGCAGGAAGAGGAAAGTCCTCTTGCTTGCAATTCTTCTTGCCTCCATTTCTTCTCGGTGCTTTCTTCCTCTGAGTGGCCCTCGGAGACTGATACCTGCTTCTTGGCTGACTTCTCCAGAAATCGTCTTCTTCTTCCCATCCGTTCTGACTCTCTCCCTTCTTTGACTGGCTTTTGGCCCTCGCTCCATGGACATATGAATTGTCGATCCGATACAGCGATGCCACATCACATCGCAAGTGCCGCATCGTAGTGCCAGCGCCTTGTTGGGCCTCCAGCACCATGCACGCCTCCAAGGTTCCTTCTTCGTTGCTGACATTTCCTTGCGGATAGCTGCCAGAAGAGTTGGATCCTTTGAGTGGTGACGATGAAGCACTTGATGCAATTTATGAGCTGTGAGTGCGAGAGGGTGGACAGCCTCTGCCTGTGGCAGAACCAGCGATACCTCGCTATCGCACGCTTGCGCCTCTCTCGCCTGCGCCAAGAGGTTGTAATTGCGCTCCCCGAAAAGGGCCACCAAGATGACCACAATGATGAAGTGCATACAATGCCCAAAGCCAGGAAAGATTGTAGACAACGTCCAGGATATTGCGAGAAAGAGGAACCGGATGAGCGATGGTGGTGGTCACCTGCTCAGTGTGACCAGAGCACAACGCTTGCAACAGCGCTCGTAGCAGCAGCGCCGGAAAGCCCGCGACTATCGCCGTCGCTCAGGTCAGATGATCAGCCGGGGGTTTACTATCCCTAGGTGTAATTAAACCTTATGTCTAAATATATAAATATAATTATATATGGCCCCAATTGAGATCAATTGAGATCAATTGGGATCATCTCAAATTCACATGTATATGTGCGACCAGCAATCATTTTTTCATGCTTCCAAGCAGCTTGTCTCCGCGTGCTCTTCCCCTTCTGGTGTGAAAACCTTTCAGGGATGGAAATTGCGGGTGGTTGAGGTTCGGGCACCGAGAAATCTATATACCCTCTATCTACAGACCCAGGGCCGGCCCATGCCTGACTAAGAAGAAAGCATCATGGAAAGTCAAAATAGTTTCGCACAGTATGCGAGGCGCCACGTGTTTAAAAAGACCCAAAAACGTCAATCTCACACAAAGAGAAGCAACCCAGTCTGGAATACGAGGCAACTCGAGGGTCTCAATCTCAGGATAACGTGCCTTCACAGGCTCTAGAGATTCCTCAGTTGAAGCCACCAGCTCTGGAGTCCAATGAGCCATTTCGCCATTTCTATTCTTGGCAGAGTTCTTGGCCCTTGCCATTCTCACCAACCCCCAAAGGCCCAAAAATAAGGGCAAAAATAAAGAGAGCAGGTATGCATGGGGGGTGGAGTTGTGAAAGGTCTGATTTTACAAGGTGTTGCATCGTTGGTGTGGTTATGAGATCACGCATTTCTACAATATGCACGTCTCCACCCCCCAATGGGTACCTCTTCTGAAAACAAAAATATGCTTTCTATCGCGATGAGTAGGATTCAGTCCTCAGGGAGTCATAGCTGAAGTTGCCTCCAAGAAGAAAAGCAAAAGCGCCACCGCCAACTTGGGCCAAGTAGACCCGCTTCAGGTTCTTTTCCTTGGCGCAGAAAAAGACGTATTCCTCAGGTGAGCACAACCGCAGTCTCGTGCCGGGCCCGTGGGTGTGGTAATTCCAAGGAATTATTGGAGGGTCTCCAAATGTGACAGGACGTCATGGTGAAACTCCTTTCTTTGAAGAATTTCCCTTGACGTGTTCCTTGGTCTGCTAGGTTCACCCGTACAGAATCTGAGATGAGTTGGATTATATGAGTATGAGTATACTCTGTCAAGGAACCTATGAAAAATCAACCAGTAATAGATCATTTCCTGGGTTCCCCAATCAATTGTCCTAAGTCGTTTTTCAATTACTGGAGGCTTGAAGTTGTTCAGCGTGCAAGTTTCCCACATGTGGCTCATCTTCTCCACAAGCTCTTCCCTCTTTCCCTCATCATCGCTGAAGAAGTACCTGCTAACAAAGCATTCGAGCCGATGAAAACGGGGGGCATGATCACCTTGGTGTCATGGGGATTGTAAATGCTGTTTATTTGATGTATTCCATATGTATATATATATATATATATATCTATATATATATATATATCCACATTCCACATATATATATATACACACATTCCACATATATATATATATACATATATATATATAGATATATATAGATATATATATATACGTGCGTGTGCACACGTGTTGTTGCATATTGACCTAGATTTTATGTGCATATATATATATATATATACATACAGACACACATATGCGTTCGTGTTTTGTATATTTATATGAGAATTTTGAAATTCACATGTGTCCAGCTTGTCATAAGTTTCTCATTAACATACCATGAGTGGATTTTGGATCTTTTCAGCTCCCTGGTGATGTCATCCTGTTTGGGCAAAAAGGCTCAGAATGAAAACCCGGCCATCCAAATGTAACAATGTAGTAGAGGAAACAAAATATACCTACCTATAAACATCTGACTATAACTGTGGATACACCCAATCGCTTTGCTGCAGAGAAGGCGCTGATAGTCAGGTTGCAGTTGTCGGTCAAAGGCAAAACCAATAACATTGATGACCTCTTCACAAAAGATGCAAAGAAAACAAGACAACCAGCAGAACTACATTTGTTCAATCGGGCAGCCCTAGAAAAGGGAACAAGATACAAGAAAGCATGGTTTTTACCTCCAAACACAAGGGTTCTTGCTGTAAAATAGAGAAAGCTTCACTTTTTGCAGCTTGGACGACATGAACTTCTCTGAAGGACACGCCGTCATTGGACATCGGAGTCTTGCAGTACATGGCAATATTGGGCATCAGCTTCTCTACCGTGCTATTTCCTCATGGCAATCAATGAGTGTAGGTGTTCCACCTTTATACTATGTATCAACCTTTCTTTGGACCATTGTGTGACCTTGTGGAAGATTAAAGCCATTCGAGGAACATGAGAATAAAGATCAGCTAAAAATGGCTAAAAGAAAATAGAAACATGAAACTGTTGGCCATCTTCGCCGTCACCAACCAAAACCAGTTACTTAAAAGCAATTCTTTTTGGGAACTGAGGAAGGGATGCCTTAGGCCCTGGGCAGCTAGACACATCTTCAGTGACTACCCGCCCGCAAGTCGTCCAAGGTTCCATAGGCTCCAGTGGCATATCCTTGGCTGGTGCTTGCCTGTGTCATTGAAATTCATCACACCCTGCCAGGAAGCAATATGTGAAAAAGTAGTGAAGAATATGCCAATATAGTTGGTCACTGGTTAATTGGTGTCATAGGACCAGGGCATCCAAGTTGCCAAACTCCTCCTTGAGTTTCTCTTTGTTGTATCGTCTCCTAGTGACTTCTGGGGGAATGCATGCTTCTGGTGCTTGGTGGGAACGATACCTTCAAAAACTTGGAGGAACAAGTTGGCTTATGGTCTCATAGTCCGGTTCAAGAGCTTCCCCATCCTACTTGAAGTACCTTGAAGTATCCTGAGCTCCTTACCCACCCATACCGCGACGGCTCCTCATCCCAATGTTCACTGGCTCACGCTCGCGCACCAAGCGAATCACGTCCTGGAGATTGGAGCCCTTGGGGTAGTACACCGTGACCTCGGCTGCAAAGCTAGAAAGGAGAAGGAGGAAGATGTGGTGAAAGAGCGGTGCGTGAGGAATTGGGAGATTAAAAAAGGACAGTAAGTCTGATAATGCTTATGATGCTGATGGCGACGATATAGCGACGATGTTCCCTGGGGATTGAGCCATGGCAAAACTGCTTCCAAGAAAACCAGCTAGGGATGAGGGAAGGGGAGTAGTGAGCTGTGAAGCTTCACTTGATTGGCGATTCCAACCCGTGCCCCTTGCTAAAGCAAGAGGGGCTTCAGCCAGCAGAATCTAGCTTTCGTGAAAGAACAACTCCATCCGAAACGGTCTGCTTACCTCATCCTCAAGGCTGAGCCAGATGCACACCCACAGGACCAGTCATCCTCAACAGAAATCCAGCTACGAGCTTTTTAATCGCAACAACTTTAATATACGCTATTGGAGCTGGAATTGCCGGGGCTGCTGGCAGTAGACTTGCCCTCCAATTGATACTCATAGAGAGATTTAAAGTTCTACTCATTCCAATTACAAGACATGGATGCCCTGTACTGTTATTTCTTGTCACTAGCTCCCTGTGCCCAACTCTACCAATCCCAAGCCGCCCTGGCCAAGCAGCCATCTCGGCGTGTTTCATCAGGTTGCCGTTGCCCAGCTCGTGCACTGTCCATTCAGGGAAGGCATAGCGCGGCTCGTAGATTGCACGAAGGGTGGCAGCTTTCTCCGCCAGCTGCTCAGGTTCCATCTGCAAGTCCTGTGCGCATACTATACGCATCTATATAATTATGTGTGCGTATGTATACATGTGTGTATATGTAAAATGTACATATGTATGTTTTGTGGGGGCCCCCGTGTAGCCGTATACAGTATACAGGTATAAATAAACTTTTGTAGGTAACTGCTGAACTGCTGGATATTATTGCAACCACCTGACATCCTCAGCCAAGCGTCAGCCTCCTGAACCTCTGAGCCTGTACCACTTGCGAGGCACTGATGTGTAAATGTAGATCCCATGGCGAAGGGGCGCAAACCACCCGAAACGATGCCGCCAAAAGAGAAGGTTCACTGCTACTGGTGTGAAACAGAACGTCCAAGACCCAGTGCAAGACGTTCCAAGTGTTTCTGTGGTGAGAAAATCTTCTTCTGCCAAGTAGTTCCGGGACTTAAAGTCCTCTGTTCCAAAAAGTATCAAGATTTGTTGCAGGGTTTGTGGGTCTCGGTTTCGATCTTGATCCACAGCAGTCCGGGCCATAACACGGAACAAGACCCGAAGAGAAACGACCCAACTCCGAAGGTATTCATGTGGCAAACCCAAGGCCGCTACCATACCTCATTCACGAACTCTACCATTCACAAATTCTACCACTGAGCAGCTTTTCACAAATGGTCTTAAAACTTTGAAAGCAGTGGAAGCCGCAGCCTCTTCCGCTTGGAATTCAATCTCTACGGTGCCCGCGAAGGGGTTGGGACCTGCCGCGACTGCCACAGAAATGCTACAGAAATTTTGGAACCATTGAAGAGATGCAGATTTACCAGAAAAAAATGTTGGTAGTCTACTGGCACAATCATTTTGCGAAGAAATCATTTGGATTTCGATCATCCCCACATTGGGTAGTATCATCCATCCAAAGAAAAAACTAATAAACGTTATGATAATGATTCAATGATAATATAATCCCCAACTACCCAATAACAGTGGTATATTGGCTATATCCAGTATAATCCTCAACCAATAGGGGTCCAATGCTGTTTCCCTTCTGGGTGGCACCTCCAGCACTAGGACCAGGCTCTCGCAACCTCGGTTTTTCAACTGCGCAGCTCAGCGCTGCCCTCTTGTAGAGACATAGCAATGGGAAATCAATGGGAACAAATCACCATTTCAAAAAAAAGGTGCCAGGGGGCCACAGAAAAAACAAACCTGAGAAGGGAGGAACGAAAGCCAGGGGAGTGCGAAGGTGGGTGCGAAGAAGAAGGAGAGGAAGAGGGAGGATGCGGGAAACAGAATAGATCGAGGAGAGGTGGTGCCAGGAACGCACGAGTTTTTGTCTCGCTGCACCCTTTACCCAATTGTTCAACCGTTTTACCAATTTTAACGCGAGTTCTCTATCAATTTATCCTTCCATTTCATCAATTGTTCCAGTGTTTTGCCATGGTGTTACTCGATTTCTCCATCATTACCCTTATGTTACCTCAGTGCGTCTAACGCTTACCCAAATGCACCTCCCACAATCCCTACCGTTGCACCGTATAAACGGTTTTGCTCGTTGCTTCCATGGTTTTATTTCCGTGCTTCTACTCCATAGTGGTCACACATCCAAACCGCAATTTGACCATTGCTTTTCCATTGTTTCACGCGTGCTTTACGCGATAAAGGTCCCACATCGGAGCCTCAATTTTTCCATTGTGTTTCCATCCCATCAATTTCCATCACTTTACTTCTATTTTACTTGGCATCATTTTCGTCCCGCATCAGAGCCGCAATTTTTCCATTGTTTTTCCATTGTTTTACTCCACTTCTTCATCATAGTCCCTCGATTTTTCCATTGCTTTTCCATCGCTAATGGTCTCACATCGAAGCCACAATTTTTCCATTGCTTTTCCATAGTTTTACTCGACATCATTTTCCCCTCCATTCCAGTTTCCCCAGTATTTTTTTCACTGTTTTTCCTCCAGTTTTACTCAATCGTCCCGTAGTTTACGCTATCAATTTATCCTTCCATTTCATCAATTGTTCCAGTGTTTTGCCATGGTGTTACTCGATTTCTCCATCATTACCCTTATGTTACCTCAGTGCGTCTAACGCTTATTCAAATGCACCTCCCACAATCCCTACCGTTGCACCGTATAACCGGTTTTGCTCGTTTCTTCCATGGCCTGCTTCTACCCCATAGTGGTCACACATCGGAACCTCAATTTTTCCATTGCTTTTCCATTGTTTCACGCGTGCTTTACGCGATAAAGGTCCCACATCGGAGCCTCAATTTTTCCATTGTTTTGCCATCCCATCAATTTCCGTCGTTTTACTTTTATTTTACTTGGCATCATTTTCGTCCCACAGCAGAGCCGCAATTTTTCCATTGTTTTTCCATTGTTTTACTCCACTTCTTCATCATAGTCCCTCGATTTTTCCATTGCTTTTCCATCGCTAATGGTCTCACATCGAAGCCACAATTTTTCCATTGCTTTTCCATAGTTTTACTCGACATCATTTTCCCCTCCATTCCAGTTTCCCCAGTATTTTTTTCACTGTTTTTCCTCCAGTTTTACTCAATCGTCCCATAGTTTACGCTATCAATTTATCCTTCCATTTCATCAATTGTTCCAGTGTTTTGCCATGGTGTTACTCGATTTCTCCATCATTACCCTTATGTTACCTCAGTGCGTCTAACGCTTACCCAAATGCACCTCCCACAATCCCTACCGTTGCACTGTATAAACGGTTTTGCGCGTTTCTTCCATGGTTTTATTTCCGTGCTTCTACTCCATAGTGGTCACACATCCAAACTGCAATTTGACCATTGCTTTTCCATTGTTTCACGCGTGCTTTACGCGATAAAGGTCCCACATCGGAGCCTCAATTTTTCCATTGTGTTTCCATCCCATCAATTTCCATCACTTTACTTCTATTTTACTTGGCATCATTTTCGTCCCGCATCAGAGCCGCAATTTTTCTATTGTTTTTCCATTGTTTTACTCCACTTCTTCATCATAGTCCCTCGATTTTTCCATTGCTTTTCCATCGCTAATGGTCTCACATCGAAGCCACAGTTTTTCCATTGCTTTTCCATAGTTTTACTCGACATCATTTTCCCCTCCATTCCAGTTTCCCCAGTATTTTTTTCACTGTTTTTCCTCCAGTTTTACTCAATCGTCCCATAGTTTACGCTATCAATTTATCCTTCCATTTCATCAATTGTTCCAGTGTTTTGCCATGGTGTTACTCGATTTCTCCATCATTACCCTTATGTTACCTCAGTGCGTCTAACGCTTATCCAAATGCACCTCCCACAATCCCTACCGTTGCACCGTATAACCGGTTTTGCTCGTTTCTTCCATGGCCTGCTTCTACCCCATAGTGGTCACACATCGGAACCTCAATTTTTCCATTGCTTTTCCATTGTTTCACGCGTGCTTTACGCGATAAAGGTCCCACATCGGAGCCTCAATTTTTCCATTGTTTTGCCATCCCATCAATTTCCGTCATTTTACTTTTATTTTACTTGGCATCATTTTCGTCCCACAGCAGAGCCGCAATTTTTCCATTGTTTTTCCATTGTTTTACTCCACTTCTTCATCATAGTCCCTCGATTTTTCCATTGCTTTTCCATCGCTAATGGTCTCACATCGAAGCCACAATTTTTCCATTGCTTTTCCATAGTTTTACTCGACATCATTTTCCCCTCCATTCCAGTTTCCCCAGTATTTTTTTCACTGTTTTTCCTCCAGTTTTACTCAATCGTCTCATAGTTTACGCTATCAATTTATCCTTCCATTTCATCAATTTTTCCAGTGTTTTGCCATGGTGTTACTCGATTTCTCCATCATTACCCTTATGTTACCTCAGTGCGTCTAACGCTTACCCAAATGCACCTCCCACAATCCCTACCGTTGCACCGTATAACCGGTTTTGCTCGTTGCTTCCATGGTTTTATTTCCGTGCTTCTATATACTCCATAGTGGTCACACATCCAAACCGCAATTTGACCATTGCTTTTCCATTGTTTCACGCGTGCTTTACGCGATAATGGTCCCACATCGGAGCCTCAATTTGTCCATTGTGTTTCCATCCCATCAATTTCCGTCATTTTACTCTTATTTTACTTGGTATCATTTTCGTCCCACATCAGAGCCGCAATTTTCCATTGTTTTTCCATTGTTTTACTCCACGTCTTCATCATAGTCCCTCGATTTGTCCATTGCTTTTCCATCGCTAGTGGTCTCACATCGAAGCCACAGTTTTTTCCATTGCTTTTCCACAGAGTTTTTCCTCCAGTTTTACTCAATCGTCCCATAGTTTACGCTATCAATTTATCCTTCCATTTCATCAATTTTTCCAGTGTTTTGCCATGGTGTTACTCATCTCAGTGTGTCTAACGCTTACCCAAATGCACCTCCCACAATCCCTACCGTTGCACTGTATAAACGGTTTTGCTCGTTGCTTCCATGGTTTTATTTCCGTGCTTCTACTCCATAGTGGTCACACATCCAAACCGCAATTTGACCATTGCTTTTCCATTGTTTCACGCGTGCTTTACGCGATAATGGTCCCACATCGGAGCCTCAATTTTTCCATTGTGTTTCCATCCCATCAATTTCCGTCATCTTATATACTCTTATTTTACTTGGTATCATTTTCGTCCCGCATCAGAGCCGCAATTTTTCCATTGTTTTTCCATTGTTTTACTCCACTTCTTCATCATAGTCCCTCGATTTTTCCATTGCTTTTCCATCGCTAATGGTCTCACATCGAAGCCACAATTTGTCCATTGCTTTTCCATAGTTTTACTCGACATCATTTTCCCCTCCATTCCAGTCTCCCCAGCGTTTTTTTCACAATTGTTTCTCCAATTTTACTTAATCGTCCCATAGTTTACGCGATGTCTCTATCAATTTATCCTTCCATTTCATCAATTGTTCCAGTGTTTTGCCATGGTGTTACTCGATTTCTCCATCATTACCCTTATGTTACCTCAGTGTGTCTAACGCTTACCCAAATACACCTCCCACAATCCCTACCGTTGCACCGTATAAATGGTGTTGCTCGTTGCTTCCATGGTTTTATTTCCGTGCTTCTACTCCATAGTGGTCATACATCGAAACTGCAATTTTTCCATTGCTTTTCCATTGTTTCACGCGTGCTTTACGCGATAATGGTCCCACATCGGAGCCTCAATTTTTCTATTGTTTTTCCATCCCATCAATTTCCATCCTTTTACTTTTATTTTACTTGGCATCATTTTCCAAGCGTTCTACTCAAATTTTCCATTGTTTTCCCATTGTTTTCCCATTGTTTT